TCCACCATCCCCGGAATCGCCTACTCCGCCCCCTTCACCAGCACCCTGCACCTCAACGCCCCCGCCCTAGCCGGCGCCTTTAACCTCCCAAACACAAGCGCCCTGCAAACGCTCCAAACCTCCCCCACCAGCGCCGCAAAACCAATCCTAGACGCCTGGACCGCCGAGCGCACGCAGTACAAGACCGCCATCTCGCTGCGCGGCATCCGCGACACGAAGCTGCTCGCGCTGTCGCAGGATCCGAAATACACTGTTATCCTGACGAGCGAGATGCACCCTGCTTTTAATGCGGCGAAGAATGGCGGTAGAGCTGGTGATGGGGGTAAGGCGGGCGGGAATGTCGACGGCACGAATCTGGTGTATCTTGCCGGGCTGTGGTATATTGGGCGGTTGGTGAGGGCGTGTCCGGAGTTGTTTCCGCGGTCAAGCATTGCGGGAAATGAAGGTGGAGGTGACAAGGGCGACGAGGATGGAGATGGAGATGCTAAGGCAAAAGTGCAGCTGGACCCGTATGATGTGCTGCATGGGTGGAAGCTGCTCAAGTGGGTGTTGATGAGTTGTGCGTCCGGGAAGAAGATTCGGGATCGGAAGGCGACGGGGCCGGTGTGGCATGTGCAGCCTGCTACTGCGACGTCGACTGCGACTGCAGCTGCTGTGAAAGTGGAAGGGGGAGAGGGAGGTGAGGATGGGGAGTCGGACGCTGTTGCGACGAAGCAGGGGGCTGATGCTGAGGACACTTCTGTACGTGGCTCAACACTTGTGTCTCATGCTGGGCAAGACTAACATTCAAATGCTATAGGATATCGTTACCAACAAAGATGATCCAGCCGAAACTGGCGCTGAGGATATCAAGGATGAGCCCGAGGCCGAAGCTGAACCTGAAGAGAGTGTCCCGAAGACCGAGGCAGATAAGATTGACAGCGTCATCAAGCGCGCCCTTACGGATGATGAAGACTACGATGCGTTGAGCGACGCAGAGAAGCACGAGGCAAAGAAGGCAAAGCCATGCTGATAGCTTTACGTTGCACTGATATGAGGTGTCGATACATTGGGCTCGTGTCTACGAAGTTTCCTATGCTTTGATCTCATGGTCTGGTTTTTGCCTTATTTATTACGTTCATTCACTGCATCTAGTTGCCCATCTGTTCTTAACAAGCTCCATCTGCAAATTACGAGACTGGTGATTGTGGGCTCTGGGCGAGAGGAGTTTGGAAGCGGACTTGAGGGGAAATTATATTCAGTGGTCGATGAACCAGACGGAATGGCGTTACAGAAGAAAACGATAACATGATGCACCCATCTAAGAGGGAATCTTGCGTTAGCTCAATCCAATCTTGACTTCTGCGCTTGATCAAATATCTGTATCCCCGGGTAGGTCGTGTAGAAGCGCGCGAGCGTCCTTCTTCCTGATTGGCCGGTGAGACATCAAGTTAGGGCTACGCACCACAATGGTTCTTTCACCACGAATATAGCAATATGCCTCTGGAAGACAACAGACGAACAATCATTCTCCCCCGACGATATGACAATCGTGCCGACATTCGAAGTGTGAGTTAACTGTGCCTGGACAGCCCCAGCCCCTTTTCCAGGCAGACTCTGCTCTGCCGAGGCCCTAGCAGGCCCTAAGACTCAGCCTTGCCAGCGCTAATTTAGCGCCTCGTGCCCTGCGCTCCGGTTTTCACCTCAATCTCATCGACCATCAAGATCTTTCTTTTTATTTGTTTCTCGTCAGCGTAATCCACACTGTAAGCACTCTACCGTAACCTCGTGCTCTTCTAAGCCCAGCCAGCACTAACCCAGTTCATACCATACCATAACCACCTCCCAGATTCTGCCAGCAGGTGCAAATCCGAATCAGCCCTAGATGCGACTTGGCATTGCTGATCACTGCCCGACGCAAATTGGCCTTGGTATAGCGCATCTCATTCGCCGCGAAGCCGAACTCATGTTTGTGCCTGTGGCTTAGCCGCAATCTCGTCTAGTTGTTAGCGGCGCACTTGTCTCGCTCTACTGGTCCCTGCGGCTCTAAGCAGCAAGTTAGACGTCGCGATTGCCCATGTGATGAACCTCGCTAGGCTGGACTGGGGCTGTGCGCCGGCTCGGGCGTTCTAGCGCTAGCCTCTAGGGTAGGTAGGGTACCGTGGGGACTCAAGGGTCCGCCCCGTAGCGCAGGCTGCGCAGCCCAGGGCGTAGGGCGATTTGAGATTGAGACTGGGAGGTGAAAACTTAAAAAGGCGCGATCCCCGTGTCGCTGTAGCCGGGTGATTCTGCGACAGTCAAACCCGTCTTTTGTGTCAACATGGCTCGCTATCGGTCCGGGTACAGCCTGCCCTCGTGCAGCGAGTATGCGTTTGAGACCGACGCCTCCCGAATCGACATTGCCTTTGCGGCGATCTTCTTCATCGCGACCTTCGTGCTGCTCTTCGTTGGCTCGAGCCGCATCGGCCGGGCCAAAAAGCAGGGACTCCATGTCGCGGGCGCAGCTCTCCTCATGATCTCGATTGTCTTTGCTTGGTTGTATGTCCACCACCCATCCACCTTAACCATCAAGCTTTTCTTGAAGGACACGATTTTTAATAAGTGGTGTAGCGCCTACATCATCCGCCTCGTCTACATCCCCCTCGAAGAATGCGACATCTTCCGCTATGACCGCCTCTACCAGGCACCTCTTCTAGCCTCCTGGCTCGCCAGTCTAGCAGAGTACCTCCTCCTCGCGGCAATCCTCACCTCGCTCACGCACAAGCTCCAAAAAGACCTCGGGCTCATGCAGCCGGCACTCCTTAAGAGCCAGAAGCTCTGGGCTGTCCTCGTCATCCTCGTCCTGCTTGCCGCGCTGAGCCTCTCAACCGCCTACAACCACTACATCTACAACGATGTCTCTGGCTCATACTACTCCGCCTCGCCCGAGCTGCTTCTCATGCCGATGCGCGGCCTCTGGACAACGTACTATGTTCTCGCGGCGGCGGGGATGGTCCTCGCTGCTGGCACGATGGGGAAGACGCTCTCCCAGGCGCCGGGGGGGTTGCGCTCGACGGTGCGTACCTACCCTACACTCCCCTTCTCCCTACCCACCATCTAACCGTGCCTTGCAGGCCCTGACCACCAGCACAACAGCCCTCCTCCTCTCCGCCCTCGGCCTCACCCTCACAAACATGGGCAGCTACGTCGACAACATGTTCATGTACGTGAACAGCAGGCTGTACTACGGCTCCCCCGCGTACAAGACATACGTGGCCAAGAACGAGGCGGCCAGCTTTCTGGAGTCGTTCTTCTACTGCGTTGCGTTTTGGGCCGCTGTGTATGTGGGCGCTTATCGGGTGGCAAGTGGTCCGCCGGCTTATGCGCCCCCGCCGCCACAGCAGCCGATGGTGTTTACCACGGGGAATGAGGGGGTTCAGAGTGGGTATAGCCGTGCGATTGCTGAGGAAGGGGGTTTGGAGCAGGGGCATGGGTATGGGAGGAATCCGGATTATGTGAGGTAGAGAGGCGGCATGCACGGTTACTAGGTACACTGATTAATGAGTTGGATCTATGGATCCATTGTCTTGGATGAACTACGTCCGGCCTTTCCTATTTGCTACAGTCGTATCGCTGCGGCTTGGAAGTAGATTTACTTCGATGATTCCCATGGTTAGGGTGTGGTACTAAGTGTCCTTATACTCCAACATACTCTGACATAGGTGGAAGACCATTTAAAATGACCGTCGCTTATCTAGATTGACTGTCTATAGAGGGTGGAACAGTCAAAACCTCACCCCCTCACCCCCCCAGAACAATTCCATATTCCCGAGCCCAGACGAAACCATCGACGTGAACTGGCCCCAGCCAGGACAATCCGACGGCGAAAGGCCGAGCCCAAGCCTCGCCATATCATTGTTTGCGCTTGCGGTGAAGTCAAGCCTGGCCCCGGTCTCATCCAGCGAGTTCTCGCCCGTGTAGCTTGTCTCGATGGTACCGGTCCCCGTACCTGTTTGCGGGCTCTCCTCATCGCCATACTGTACCTCTGAGGGTGGTGGGGCTGGTACTTTACCTGCACTGGGTTGAATGCTGATGCCATGATGCCCGTTATTCCGAAGACGAGGGTGACTGTGATGGCGAGATTGTGGGTTTGAATCGCTAGCAACGAGTGAAGTACATTGGCCATTGCCATTGCCATTGCCCGTCCGCCTCAAAGCTTCACCCCTCAACTCCTCCAGCACAAGACAATACCGTTCGGAAAGCGACCCCCTCTCCGCAATCGCCGACAGGTGGTTCTGGCATCGCGCCGCTGCAGAAAAATACATGCTGTGCAGGTGCATGTGCCGCGGGACACGGCTCTGGATGACGTGGATATACAGCATGATTGTTGCGTTGAAGGCGAAGTACGACGTTATCTGCCCTCCCACGCCCATTAGTTTGCGAAGACGACGAGGATGGGAGGTAGGGAGGGTGACATACCCAAAGCGCCCTGAGCAGCTGGCGATTCTGCGCGATCTCATCGATGATCTCCACGATCTTCAACGACGCGTTCAGGCACGCCTTTACACTTTCTTCTGTGTGCGCTGCTAGACCCCCTTTACTGGGACGGGAGCGGCCATCCTGGACGCGGGCGAAATTCCCCAGCACAAACGGCCGATGGGTCAATATGATAGAATGCCAGTATGTAAGGTTCAGGACGTTGCGCTGGCGCTGAAAAATCGGGATGATGAGCGATGCACTTAGAACGTCTGCGTCGAGGAACCAGGCGAGGTCGGCGCGCCAGGCGGCTAGATCGCTGCAGATGGATTGCACCGCGGAGAGACGTTTGTTGTCTGAGATGGGTCGGATGGAATAGAGATCGCGCAGGATGCGACTGATGATCCGGGCGATCTTCGTATGTGCTAATGGGGCGAGCATCGTTGACAGCGTGGGATTTCCGCTCGAAGCTCTAGGGTTGGACTGAAAGTGTCCCAAGGCCTGCGATAACTGATGGTCCTCCACGCACGCCGGAAACTCCGCATCGATATCCTCGTCGTGAAACGACCGCGGCCGTCCTAGCGCAGCACTAAGGTACGTATCGAGTGTGTATGCGCACCAGAATGTGCGCCGGCGACACTCGGTCTCAATTACACCCATCCCCATCCCACCACTCGAACCACTTGAGGTGCAGGTGGCAGGGTCCGGCTTCCTATTCCGATTCAACCCGATCGCAAGCGCGAGATGCGAGACCGTCCCGAACAAACTCCAGCAGTGGTTTATGCGCGACTGCGAGAGGAGGTAGTAGCATTGCGTGAGGCGGGCTTGCACGCTGCTCAGTCGGATCGAGCCTTTTTCTTGGGATAGTTGGTGCTCGGCTGCGAGGTAGTAGCGTGCGCTGCATTATCCATTCCACGGTTAGCAGGGAACTTCTGAAGGGGATACAGTGCAGAGGCCCGGGGTGGGTACCTCAGATCCGCTGGCCCCGGCCTCTCATCATCCGGCATGTAAACCCTCCCCAGGGCAAAGATCATAAAGAGCAGCGCAACCTTCGCGTTCCCGCCATTCTGGTCTCCATCTCTCATGACGCCTAGTGTCTCGTAGAACTCGGCGAACCACTCCTGCACCGTTGGGCGATGCAAGAAGCGGTACGTTGGCATCGCGAAGTCGAAGTACCGATCTATGAGCTTTTGTGCATCGTCGCGGGGCAGCATCATGCAGAAGGAGGGGTTGAAGTCGGGGAGATGTAAGGGGGCATCGCCGAAGGTAAAGATGCTGCCGCTCGGCTGGGCAAAGGAGATTGCGTCGTGCAGGCGCTTTTGCACGCGGAGTAGGAAGGAGACGCCGGACGCGGGACCGATGTAGTGGCCCTGCTGGTCGGTTGAGGAGGGTTCCGGGGAGTTGCGGGAGGAGGTGTTTGAGGGTTGTTCAGTATGTTCGGGGTGTGCACTATGCTGGGATGCTACGGGGCTGGGGAGGATGGTAGAGTACCCCTGTCCATGGCCATGTCCATGTCCATGTCCCGGGCTCCGGCTGCCATTGCTGTAGGCAGACGGGACAAGGAACTTCCTGCCGCGAGCATACGACGCGTCGAAAGTACAGCGGGCTTTTGCACGGATGCAGAACTGGCATGGTTGGGTGTTGTTGCACTTGATTTTCCTCCTGTGCTCACCTCATCAGTATGTCTGAGATACTATGACAGTGTTAGGGTTAGGGCTGGCTACCTCTTGCACCGATCACATGCCCTCGTAACCCTGACCCGCTCGGTGTTGCGTTTCCGCTTCATTTCCGCCTGGCCTTGGAGATGTTGCGCGGACATAGCTAGGCTCACATGTTAGACTTCAAAAGGAGGGACGGAAGGATGCGTAGGTGGACGGAAGGGCAGCGGGATATGTATAGACGGGACGGGACGGAGACGAGTTGCATATCCGCACGGAAAAGCATCCGAGATGCGGGGAAGCTGGGGGTGCCGGGGTGGGGACACGGCTTTTCCGTCATCATCTGATGGTCGATCAGATCCTCCGCGTTGGAACGGTTGGATTGATAGGGGCTCCTTGTTTGATTGGCCGATGCTGATTCGGCTTGGTGCTAGACGTTTACTCAAGTCTCTTAAGCCAATCCTTGCGTCTTGAGCTTTGAACGGTGCTTAGTTAACTGGAGAGTCGGAGTTTCACCGTGCTAGCCGCATACTCGTGCCTAGAGCTCAACCCAGGTATGTTGACTGCTAAAGAGAGTTGGAGATCAGTAACCGGCATCCGCCCACCCAGCAGTTCGGACGGAAGCCAGGCTTGCCCTACGCAATCCACCCATGAGCATTCCGTTCCGTTCCCTTATATCAACCGAAGCCTACTATTTCCTAGTACTTCAGATTCAATCCAGTGCACAATCCCGCATCTCGCCATAAGCTCTAGTCGACTATCGTCCAGACCTTAGTAAAATCCATCATGTCGTCCGCCGCGAAACGCCTCGCCGGCAAAACCATCCTCATCACCGGTGCCTCCTCGGGCATCGGCCGCTCCACAGCACTCGAGTTCGCCCGCACCTCACCCGACAATCTCAAATTGATCCTGACAGCGCGCCGCATCAACCGGCTTCAAGACCTTGCAGCCGAAATCACAAAGGAGCATCCCGGCGTCAAAGTCCACCCGGTGCAGCTGGACGTGAGCAATCCAGAGGAAGTGCGAAACCTGCTGGGGTCTCTACCGGACGAGTTCAAGGAGGTCGATGTCCTGGTTAACAATGCGTATGCCGCTACTCTCTCCAGCTGCCCCTCCCCCACACCATTGCGATGCGAGAATTCGATGCTGATGTCTTGCAACAATCCAGCGGCCTCGTAAAAGGCATCGCCCAAGCCCCCTCAATCCTCGAATCGGACATGCAGACCATGCTCTCCACAAACGTCACCGGCCTCATAAACATGACGCAGGCAATCCTCCCCTCCATGCTCGCGCGCAACAACGGCGTCGGCGCCGGCGACATCATCAACATCGGCTCGATCGCCGGCCGCGAGCCCTACGTCGGCGGAAGCATCTACTGCGCCACGAAAGCGGCGGTGCGTTCTTTTACAGAATCCCTGCGGAAAGAGCTGATTGCCACGCGCGTCCGGGTGATTGCGGTTGATCCGGGGCAGGTGGAGACGGATTTCTCGGTTGTGAGGTTTTATGGGGATAAGAGTAAGGCGGATAAGGTGTATGAGGGGTGCGAGCCGTTGACGCCGGATGATGTGGCGGAGGTTATTGTGTTTGCGGTGGGGAGGAGGGAGAATGTGGTTCTTGCGGATAGCTTGGTGTTTCCGAATCATCAGGCGAGTGCGACGATTATGCATCGGAGGTAGGGGGTTGTACCTAGGTACCATATTTAGGCTGTGCACTGGAGGTTGGAATAAAGACCATTGGAATTAAGTACCAGCGTAGGTAAATACTCCCAGATCAATGACAGTCACCAATGTGGTTTGGAATACCTGGAGCACCAGTACACTTGTTATACAGGATCTTCGATAGATGAGTATATTACCGTGCCCAACTAACATCAGCTGCATGGTCCCCTCTGACTATGGCCCAACGGGCTCAGCATCTGTTCGTCATGCTGGGCCCAAGTGTTGCATACCTAGGTATCAAACCAGCTTCGCGGAAACCAGCTTTGCCGCGTTTTAGGGCTTACTTCGACAATGGCGGACCCCATCCCTCCTGGACCGTGGCATGATTCACCATTCAAAGACCTCCTAGCCCATTAGAGCTAGATAGTGCCCATAAAAGCTTGATCCGACTCCCCTTGTTTATTTCATGATAAAGTCGCGCAATACGATTCGCCACAGAGGAAGCCAAGTGCAATGCCCTATACCACGTGAGTACACATACGGCATACTTCCACCGAAGGAAACCACAATCGAAGCATCTGTACAGAAGGGAAAGACCCATATTCCAAATCAGTCATATTTGGTGCTTTCGTAATTAGATACTGCCGTGTAAGGTACCTCTCTGCTCCTGCTGCACCGACCGCAGCAGGGGTGGTACAGGGGCCAACTCACCACCTGCACCTGCACTGAGCTAAGCCATGCATATGCATCAACAACTCAAGTCCAATAATGTCCACAGGATAGAGCCGCGTATTTTTACCTTCATGGTATCTACCCCGCACACAGACCGAGTCAACTGCCAAGAAGACCGCATAAATCTACAACAAATCCCACATGCTATGAATTCTACTTGAACATATGACTCTATACAATCCACTTCAACCTGACGGGATGAGATCTCTTCTGAACAGCATCATTATGGCCCTCGCGGCCCTGCTGACCTCCACGCGGGCCTGTGAAGTGCCCGACACCCAGTCATTCCAATCAACTCCCCATAGTTACCCCAAGGACGCCATTCCCGATGTCATTCGCGAACTAGGTGTCCTGCTCTCAACCAACGCATCCATTTTCGAGGCCTCCGATCCCCGCTGGGGGAATGCCACGGCGCGGTATAACACGGTCGTAACGCCTAACATCCAGCTGGTCGTGCAACCAGGCGTGGAAGGAGACGTCTCTACCGTTGTATGACTTCCCTCACTGGCTGATGAAGAGTCTCTAACAACTACCAGGTCAAATACTGCAACCGCCGCAGCATTGACTTCATGGCCGTCACCCGGGGCCACTCGTTCAGCACTGCAGTCGGTGCATTCAGAGGGATTCAGATTGACATGTCCTCGCTCCAGACTTATACCATCGAGCCGGACGGGCAGTCTGCGTGGTTCCAGGGCGGGAGCTACGGCGGCTCTGTGATTGACAGTCTCTGGGAGGAGGGCTATGTGCTGAGTACATTCCACCCAGTCCATCTACATCCACTACCATAGACTAACAATATTTAGCAACGGGCAGCTGCACCTGCGTCGGGCTCGTCGGCCCCGGCCTCGGCGGCGGCCACGGCCGCCTCGAAGGCCAATACGGTCTGATCAGCGACAACTTCATCAACCTGAACGTCGTGCTGGCAAACGGGTCCGCAATCCGCGTCAACGCAACCCGCAACAGCGACCTGTGGTGGGCGATGCGCGGCGCCGGCCACAACTTCGGCATCGTCACCAGCTTCCAGATGAAGATCCACCCGCGCACGGTCGACACCTGGCACTACCACAGCTACGTCTGGTCGGAAGATAAACTGGAGACCGTCTTCGAGCGGCTGAATACCTTCCACCGCAGCGATGGCGGGACGACGCCGTTCCGGATGACGAATTTCGGGTACTTCCGGATCGAGCAGGCGTTTAGCCCTAGCCCTGGCGAGGTGAGTGCGGTCCTGGCTTGACATATCATGTCATATCACCAACGCAGCTTTCTATCTACTACATAAAGGCCATCCTATACTGGATCTTCGTCTACGCGGGCCCCGCGTCTGAAGCCGAACCCCTCCTCGCCCCTTTCAACACCATCCCCGCGCTGAACAGCTCCTCCGGCGACGTGCCCTACCCGCAAACCGCCAACTTCCTCGGCGCAAACACAGACAGTCCCGTCTGCGCGCCACACAACAAAATGGCCATCCGGACCGCCGGGACGCTGGTCTACAACGTCACCGCCGAGCGCCAGATCTACGAGAGCTTCAACGCCCGGGCCGCGCGGTATCCGGAGCTAGCCCCCGGCGCGACTGTCGTGCACGAGGGGTACGCGAATAGAGCCGTGCAGGAGGTGGATCCGGACACGTCGGCCTTTGCGTGGAGGGAGGAGAACCATCTCATGTATGCGAATGCGCTGCTTAGCAGTTTTTTCTCGTAAAGATGAAGTATCTGACTAGGTTGTTAGGTATGTCGGGATATACCTCCCTCCTGGCTCCGACCAAATTGATGCCGCGATGGAATGGGCAGATGAGACGATGGATCTATGGAATGCGGGCCAACCGGAGCGTCGGCATTCGACGTACGTCAACTATGCGTGGGGAGATGAGTCTCTTGAGTCGATGTATGGGTATGAGCCCTGGCGGTTGGAGAGGCTGCGGGCGTTGAAGAGCGAGTATGATCCTGCGAACCGGTTTCGGTTTTATAATCCGATTGAATAGGCCTCGTGGCGCTGCAGATAGGAGGGTAGGGTTTGCGCACGGCGGTTGGAGCTCACGGGGCCACAAGACGGGCGAAAACATATGGTGTTGAGAGTAGGAGCCGATGCTATGGTACCCTAGGAAGCAATCTTGGGAGGCTTAGCATCTAGGTAGTGATTGGGAAAGCCACCTTGAGCTTGTACGTGAGGCGATGGTCGTAACTCTGCGCAGGTTAGGAATCAGGGTGCCTATAACGAGTTGGATTCCTTTGTCTTATGGATATTTCCTCAATCGAGCCACAAGAGGACGATACTGCCGAGACAGGAGGGAGACATAGCTTGAGAGTATCAACGACAGGAATTCAAGCAATCCACAACATCTGGAAAGAAGCCCAGAGAGATGGGATAGCACAACGCCCGAGAGTATGAAAGAAGGTAACTCAAGCAGCCTTAATGTTAACCATACCATACTGCCGAGACGGGAGCGACATAACGGAGCCCTCAAGCCTGAGAGCATCAAATCAAAGAGAGTACCTCAAGCAACCCACACCCCAAACCGCCCTGGGGTACTTCCTAAGCCGGCGGCAACGGATCCTTCGCCGTCTTCCCAACACTCGTCTGCGCGTTCTTCCCATACGCCCACTCCGTAATCCCCGTCCCATTCGTGCCCCCCTGATAATAAACCCTCAGCTCGGGCGGCTTCCCATCCCACGCAACCGCCGCAATCTGCGAGCTTGGCAGCGTGGCCCCGTGCATCTTGCGCTTGTCCCGGAACCCCGAGGAGCCCCAGCACCACTGCCAGAACCCGCCGTCGGCTGTGACCCAGTACAGACGGAGGTTGACGTCGGTGTCGTTGGGGTCGGAGTGGAAGTTTGTGATGGCCATCGCGGTGCGGAAGGGTGCGGATGCCACGATCACCTGGTTCATGTCGTACCAGCCTTTGCTGGCGTTGTGGCATTTTTGCACGATGTCGTTGTTGGCGTGTTGGACGTAGACTCTACCGTTTGACTGTGTGTTAGGAAGATATGGTACTGGTTGAGGGATGCGGTACGTACCGGATTGCGGACTCGCTGCCGTTGGTGAAGCGCGTGGCGGTGATGGCTGTGCCGGGGAGGGCCTTGCCTAGGTTATCGCCCGCTGTCCAGCCGGAGGATTCTATAATAGATGGTCAGCACGTCTACCTTCAATGCATGGGGAATCAATGCGCGGAGGCGTACGAGTCCACTTCCACTCCTGGATCGTATCGTCTGTCTTCTGCGCATAGACACGCAGGTCGTCGTCGCTGTTGGGCGGATATGCCGCCGCAAGCTTCGAGTACGGCGCCACCTGGATGCCGTAGTAGCCGATGTCGCCGTAGGACCAGCCCCAGTTCGGGACGTAGGTGCGCTGCATGATCGTGTTGAAGTCGGTCAGGCTGAAGACGCTGATCTGGGTGCGGTGATGATGTTAGCGGGACGTACGTCTAACATAGGGTAGGTAGGGCTTATGGGATTCATACATTCTTCAGCCCTGGGGTGGCGGCCGCGGCCAGGGGGGTGTTGTATCGGGCGTTGCCGATCGTGGAGCCGATGTTGCCGCCCTTCCATCCCTTCTCGTATTGCGTTTCACGGATTTGGCCGCTCGGGCTTTGGAAGTAGATGCGCATGCGCTCGGGTTCGCAGACCGCTGCAATGCCGGTGGCTTGAATGGCAGGTCAGAGAGAGTCACGGACTTGAAACAGCGCTTGCGGATAAACTTACGGTAGTGGATCTCAGAAGCCATAGTGATGGAAGGATGTTTGGAACTGGATAATCAGAAAGTGGTGATGGACTGTTTGATGTTGGAACTGATTTTGGCCGGGGGTTCTGGGGGTTTATATGCTCATATCCTCAGCATGCTGACGTACTCAATCTCGAGATGATTCCATTACGTGACCTTTGCTGGGATGAAGTGGATGGAACATTCAATGATAGTCCGTCAATCCACGTCCTAACCTTCCACCACTTGGACCGCCTTCAGTCCTTCAAAATCCGGGACAAGCTGACGTGAGGGTTGAACCTTCTGCACTGTACCTCGTGACTTTCTGTGATGAAGTAGATTGAACGTTCAATGATACTCCGTCAATCCACGCCATAAACCTTCTGTAACCTGGATGGCATTCGGACCTTCAAAATACAAGGCAAGCTGACGTGAGGATTACCCGGGGTAACCTTCTGCACTGTCGTAGACATGAGACTGGCTGATCCCGTAGATCGCGGAGTGCACCGTGCATGGCTCTGGCACCGGATGACGGCGTGGATGGAACTCGAGCTATGGATTACAGAGAGGATTGTACTTGTATGACGCGCTGAGTTGATGGATCGATCATCGATCATCGTAGAAAGCACCGCCGCCATGCCGGGGACGTAAGGCATGTAGTTGCTCAGCGACGAAGTCAACCATTGTCTGGGCTCTATATAGCTATTTCAAAGAAAAAAAGGTGTCATGCTTCTACGTCAATACCTAATGTTTCCTCCGGGTTTGTCACTGCAAGGGCTCAGAAAAATCGAACAGGAGTTAGGTATGTTCCCAGCCTTATTGCTTTTGCCCTAACTTGCATCACCGGAGGACTTTCTTTACTCCGATGCTGTCTTTCCCTGCTTTGAACTCAACATTGTTACAAAACCCCACGTCTACTCGGCGTACGGAGTATGTCAAACTCCCATCCATGGTTCCGGAAGATCATCCATGTCGATCTCAAGTAACTACGCTGGGGTTTAAAGCAACATTGTGACTTGTGTTCAGAAATAAGATGCCATTAGGTAATATCCAATACAGTGACGTATACTCCATGCATAGGATGTGACACAATCACCCCATATCTGTGATGCAAATGCAGCTGCGATCACAATGTTCATAGCGCAGTTCGTTTTGATACATCCCATTGTTGCGTGATCTGCAGGTCAGCAAGATGGAATGCGGGGTGTCCGGGATGCAATATACCATTCATTCTTACTCCGAGGTAAGCTAGTTTACGCTGGCGTAGGATGACTGGGGGTTTGTTGACTAGGCAGTTGCGGCCAATAGCGTTATACAGGGGGATCTTGTGTGGCAGCTGGGAAGAATGTTCTCACGCTCGGAGTATCTTCTCTTCAATCTGCATTTAGCATGACTTGGTTTCGACACATCCATGCTTACTTCAGAGGCGTAGTAGTATACGCAAGCAGGGCCAATGCGTTGAGCTCTGTGCGCAAGAAGCTGGATGTAAATGGTTGATGCCTTTCGGAATTGTCGTCAGCTCAAAGGCCACCCGGAACTTTATTAGGGGTCTACAAGGCAAAGATTATGATTATTAAGACCAAAGTGTGTCAAAAGGGTTTTAGAAGTGCTGCGTAGAGATACAAAACCACAAAAAGGCAAGGGGAAACAGAGAGCAGGGAACTCCGGATAATGATGGAAAATGTGTCTGAAAGCTTTCCCAATCATCATGGATTGAAGGTCCACACCATTCAACAAAGCCCTCACTAGGCAACGTATTTTGATACACCACTATGCCAACAAGTAATCACCTTTGATATCCTTCTCGAGGGAGCGCTTCCCGGGACTGGAAAGAGCACTATGTTCTTCAGCAGGAATCCAAGCCTCCCTGGACATGGGTGATTCTCTTCGATCCATGGATGCGAGATCCCATTTCGACAACGTCTTGACTATGGCTCAGAAAGCACGCGAATACCCGATTCCGGGTAGACATCCTCCATGGAGCCCAAGGCGCTCTGGGTCTAAAGTCTACGCGATGATGATATCGTCAGTATTGTTACTCATTGCATGTGTCGTAAACTCCGTTAGAGCACTTCAGAAACAGCGCCATCGGCGCGGTGGGACTCGTAGACCTGAAGAGGATTGAAATGGGTCTAAGAAACCCAATAATCGATCGAGAAATTTACGCTTATTAGCAGTGGAACAACTGCAGTTTGGCTGCTGGCCAGTGAAGACTTGACCCTACGCCATTGATGAGTGACCGGATTAGGAGACAGAAGATTGGAGCAATTCTTTTGCATTTTTTGATTCATTGGTGGTAGATACACGCAGACGGAGTGGCAAACGACTCTGATTCAAGTATAAATGAGCTAATATCAAGACAGCTGCAACGTCTGAGTCTCGAGGATTTGGCCGATGAAAATCGAAAGTTAAGACTTCTCCTGTTCAACGCCTCTTCACTCGCATGACTTCAGGTCAGCTGGATGCCGATTCTTCATTGCTATAGCCGCAGCAATACCTTTTCTAAGACACGCGCCACCCGTAATATCCCAGACGGACTCTAACATGTTGACCAGGAACCAAGACCTTTCATAACCGCAAAAGTCCAATATCAACAGACCAATGGATGGGAAGCCTCTTAATTGTCGTGCTTACTGCTACCTCTGGACAGCGGCAGGAATTATGAAGTGGGATTCAAACTAACGTTGGCTCTTGCAAAGAAAACAGCATATCCCATCAATCTTAAGGCGGAATCGGTGTTAGGGCTCAGAGCTTGGCTTAAACCGTAAGATAATGGCCCTGGTGCCGTGGTCCTTACCGAGTCCCCGCATCATGGGCTATCTGCTTGCTACCAGTCTGGACAGGCAGCTAGGCAAGGGTTTAGTTCTACTTCAAGTTCCTCCAGCCGTATTCTCAGCCAAGCCATTTCGATAGACCTCGCTGCCACCGAGGCAAAGGTACGCAAAAGCCCACCATGAGATCGGGATTCCAAAAGAAACAAGCAGCCAAGGAACCCGTTTCGGGCTTCTCGCCCACAGAGCTGGGAGCTCATGCAATGGACAGCTGGAGTCTGTGCGGCAACCCCTTGCGGAAAAGAGCATCCGTTCCCTTCCCCGGACACGGAAAAGTCGGGTGCATATCCGGCCCCGTTCCCCGCACGGCCCGCTAGCCCTACCGTACCGGTAACCCAACCACATCCGCTCTGGTGGACCCCGCCTGGGACATAAACTACAGAATCAGGCAAGGGAACCACGACACCTACCAACAGCTCGCTGGCTCTCAGGACGCAGATAACCGGATACCTAGTCGAGCCGCAGGGCCCTCCGTGCCAGGCAGCAACGATCCAATCCCCGGTCATACAAAACAGAACCGCGCCCCTTGTCTCGCCTCATACCTACCTACCTATGTCCTCCAATCTCCCGACGTTACCAAGGCGTCGACTTCATTATTTCTGTCTTACCTACCTCACCTTCCTTCCACAATGACCGTCCGAAACGGCACCAGCAGCAGCACCACAAACGGCACCTCCGCCTCGCCTTCCCACACCTCCCTTCCAACCGTCCCACCAAGCGGCGTCTGGGCCCCCGCAATAACATTCATCAACGCCCCAACCGACACGCTCGACCTCCGCACCCAAAGCAAATACTACGCCTACCTCTCTTCCACGGGTCTAAGCGGGCTCGTAATCCTCGGCACAAACGCCGAACCATTCCTGTTGACGCGCGAAGAGCGCAAAACCCTCCTTCTTACAGCTCGACAATCTGTCCCAGACACATTCCCGCTCATGGCCGGCGTCTCAGGCCACTCCACAAAACAAGTTCTCGAATTCATAGCCGACGCAAAAGACGCAGGGGCTGATTACGCCCTGTGTTTGCCGCCGGGGTATTTCGGGAAACAGACGACCAGCGAAGTAGTGGTTGATTTCTTCGACGAGATCGCGGCCGCGAGTCCGTTGCCGATTGTGATATATAACTTCCCGGCTGTCGTGAACGGGGTCGATCTGGACTCTGCGACGATTGCGGCTCTGGCGAGAAAGTGGCCGGGGAAGATTGTTGGGGTTAAGCTGACGTGTGGTTCTGTTGCGAAGATCACGCGGCTTTCTGCGGAGCTCCCTGAAGGGACCTTTGCGGCGTTCGGCGGGCAGAGTGATTTTCTTGTTGGGGGGTTGGCGGCGGGTGCGGTTGGGACAATTGCGGGGTTTGCGAATGTCTTTCCTAAGACCATTGTGAGGATATATGATCTGTACCAGGCGGGAATGGTGAAGGAGGCTGTGGAGTTGCATAAGAAGGCGGCGCTGGCGGAGCAGCCGTGTAAGGCGGGGATTGCGAGTGTTAAGTATGCGGTGGGGATCACGACGGCAAAGAAGGCGGGGATTGAGGGGGCGGCGGAGAAGTTGAAGCCTAGGCGGCCGTATAAGGCGTTGGACGAGAAGGGGAAGATTGCGGTTGAGGAGATGGTGGGAACGTTGATGGAGATTGAGGAAAGTTTGTAAATGAACGATTGAGGTCCTAACTTCGTAGATACAAGATACCTAGTAGAGGTCCGTGTGACGGCGATTACTATATCCAACTCCTAACTCCATCTCAATACTGCACAGGAATTACGCATTAGCACCGAACAGCATCAACATACCCATCCTGTTAATTTGTCTTCCAATGCTGCCTACAGCCCGGACAGAGATGGGTCTCGTCCCTACCCGACATCATGTGCTGAGCTTCTCGCACAATGCTCATGTATCCACTGTCCTGTCTACTCGCAAACTTGGCCATATCCTGCTGCGGTCAACAATACACCTCCGCAAAGAGAACTGGGGGCATACCACATGGTTAGCCAGGATGGGGAAGCACGGTTCCCCATCAATGGTAGCCGAGTCCTCAGAGACAACAACAGAGCGCATCATAGGGATCGTCTCGTAAAAGCAGACGATCTGGATCCGGCATCCTTCATCCTTCCGCTTCTCCAGGAGATTGTAAAACGACCGGCGCATCTCATGGAGGGCCTTGGACCGGGGTCCTAGGAGGCTGACCATCTGGTGGTTGACAGGCTTGAAGATGTTGAACATGCGGGCGAATCGCTCACCCCATGTTGCCAGGTTTGCCCCGCGATGTGGAGTTCCCAGGAAGCAGATGCCGATGGTGTGTGTTTCGATGTCCCGCAGGTGGTCTGTCCGGCTTTCTCGCGCCGACGTCAAGGCCTGCTGGACTACTAAGCCGCCGAGGCTGTGGGCAATAAACAGGAGGGGCCGCGTCCGCTACACCATAGTCAGGGAAGAGAATATACCACGAAGGGTTTGGGCAGATCGGTTGACGTACAGTTTGATTGTCGCTCCGGCAGCCAGACAGGCTGCCTAGCAGATCAGCGGCATACCCGGACAACCATCCTTGAGAAACCTGGTTCCAGGGATGCCATACGGCCACATCGTAGCCAAAGACGATGACTCGGGCATTGGCAATGTCATGGGGCAGAAGGTCCTGTGGCCAGTATACTTGTTGTCCTGTGTGGTAGAATGTTCGATATGCGTCCCCCATCAGTCCATGAAGGATAACAATGTCAACGACCGCGTCTGGGGGTTCATGCACAACTATCAGGCCAATCGACGGGCGTGTCAAACTTGCTGGACGAGATAGGCCTACTGGGTCCGATGCCGACGGTGGAACCGGCGGAGGGTCAACGGTCCGAATGGGACTTTGTGGATGAAGTGGTCCCTTGAGAAGCGCCATATTGAGCTGAAAACCGGGACAGCTCTTGGAGTGATTGGAGTCGTAGGGAAAAGAGACGCTAAGGTTCGTACCATGGTCCGTTAGCCTTCCGCGTGTTGGACGGCATCCCGAGCTTTGGGGTAACAAAACTGGAAGAGAAAAAAGTTCGGTGGTAGGGGCAGGGTAAGTAGGAGGAGTGAGCGAGAAAGTTGATCATGCCGTGGTTTCAGTATTGCTCCGAGTAGCATCCACAGAGGCGCTACAGTGCCGCGCACTGCTTGTCGAGAATTTGAAATAGTATCCTCAGACATGGATATTGTCTGGTCCCTTTGAACGTCCAGAGGCTATCCGAGGTGGGTTCCATGGTCCTTCCAGTGACATAATGGTCCATGGCTGGCTTTCCTGGTTCGAATCAGAAATTCCAATCCAACAGCGGCTGCTGTAAAGCCTCATGGGCCGTGCCATTCAAGGGTCCTGTCCGTGGCAAGTGGGCACCCATCAAACACTCCATAGATGTTCCAGTCCAGCAGCGGCTGCTGCGATGGACGGCAATGGCCTGAAAATCCAGTTTAAAGCAAGTGTGCAACATTTAACAACACTTGAGGTGTCCAAGGATCCAGTCTCACAGCGGCCGCCGTAGACAACATGAGTAAATTATTCTCAATTCCATGGATAGCAAGACTGAACATGCTAATAGAAGTAGATAAGTCCTGCAATGAAGGGAAACAGTTCCACATCAAAAAAAGCGATCCTCGAGGTTTCAGGTCCAGAGGAAATCCATATTGATGGAGGTGTGCCACATCAAACAACACCCAAGTAGTTTCCAGTCATACAGCGGCTGCCATAGACTCCAAACAAGGCAATGTCCAGCCCCCACCCCAGGTGTGGAGTGGCAGGCAGAGGTTCCTAAGTGTCGAAGCGAGCGTGCCAACATAAAACAACACTCGTAATGTCCAGTCCCCCACTCCAGGCTTGGAGTGGGAGGCGATTAAAATCAGCATCCTTCCCAACGTTGGGGTCAAAGGGTTGTCGAGGGTGATGCCAATAGATCATCATTATCATTTTGAGACCGTCGTGAAAGATTTGCGGTGAAGGGGTAGTAATAAAGAAGCAATAGGAAATGGAAAAGGGAATTGTGTCGGGAGAAGCCGGAATGGGAACCAAGAGGGACATACCTGAGTGTCAGAGACCTCCAGGTGCGAACAAAGCCAGACAAAAATATGTGAACGTGTAAGACAAAATAAGGAAAGGAGCCGAAATAGTGCAGGATGCGAGGAGGAAGGAAGAGACCAGACGAGATCTTTATGGTGTCGACTCGACAAGCGAAGACAATCTCCACTGGGGAAGGATCTAAGAGCAGTGCCTGATAAAAGAGCCAATAAATCACCTCGCTTCAAACCATTGGACTCGAAGCGCCAATCGCAGCAGTCAAAAGTGTTTGTCCGAAGCGCTGAATCCGTATCCTGAGCTGTTGGTGCCTCACGCAGCATGTCGGCCCAACCTGACGAGCCACAATCAGTCGCCTCACCTGACTATTTTCAGCTCAGATCTTCTCCGTCGGAATCGAAATCAAGGCGACCAATGCCGGGTCTGTGGACGCATCCATGCGTGCCTAGTCTACCCCGGAGTAAGGGCACGCTGTGTCTCCTAGGGTTTGACGGCCCAATTTGCCCTGATCTTACCGCTGCACCCGAGCAGAGAGATTCGTCCACCATCAAGGCTTGCCGAGTTTTTTTTATCCTGGAGCTAGCTGCTAAAGGATACCGGTGAGCAGTCTCTGAGAGATCATTGTCTGTTTGGTTCTTGAACTCGGCTCGTTGTGTGGTGACATTGTTCGCATATAACTGGCAGCACGGCTATCAGGACATGGTTCACCTTACTCGCTGCAGGCCAGAGAGTATGCAGAAGGTAGATACGTAAGCTTTCTACTGGCTCACTTCCTCGCCCGTATTTCGTTTTGTCTCGAGTCGCTGACTCAATTACGTGGACATACCGGCAGGCAATCTTGCCTGACGTTCCTGAGTAACGGCTGCATACTATGTATTCAACAAGACGCGTTGGTGAAACAGTCGGCAAGCTCGCCTTTTGTGGGTAAATCGCTTGGTTCAGATGATGCAAATCGGTTCAGCAGGTTAGGGGGTCTCTGCATCTGCATTTACCCAGGAAGGGGCTCTAGGTCGACGTATATTGGTCGAAGTAGTTAGCCTGACTCAAACACTGCCTGGATATTTCGTTTGGAATGAAGCGGCGAATCGCGACGCATCAAGGCAGCTCATCACCTCGTCACCTCCGCAATGTTTCCAATCATGCCCCAGTCCTCCCATCCTCCAGGGAATATCTCCCAAACTTCCGACTATCGACCCCCTTCTCAAACAGCACATCCAACTCCTCAAACGTCCTCCCCCTTGTCTCCGGTAAACAAAACCAACACCACGCACTGCAAACCACCGCGATGCCGGCAAACAAGAAACCGACCTTTCCCCTCCAGTTGCCCTGATCCTGATCAATTGCATAAGGTATACTGACACCGAATATAATATTCCAGATATGACATGAAACAGTCGCAAGGCCAATCGTCATTCCCCGCAGCTGTACGGCCGGTATTTCAGTGAGGATCGTGAAACAGGCAGGGCCGATCGTGATGTCATAGGTGAAGAGACAGACGAGGATGAGGGAGCATTGAGCCCAGATGGGACCTGAATTCGTTTGCGGGATTAGATCAAGGATACCAATGAGGAAGAGGAGGAGGGCGATGGCGAGGGTTCCCCAGATATAGAGCGGGCGGCGACCGAGCTTAGAGATTAACGGCCACGAAAGGATTGTTCCCACAAAGCCTACTGCTGTCAAGCCAACGTTCATGGAGAAGGCGTCTGAAGGATCGAGGCCCGCGCGCTGGAAGAATTGAACCGCGTAGTTTACGTACAGCACTTGGCCGGAGAGTGGTTGGATGCTGTAGACCATGACCGCAATAATAAGGCGGCGGAGGTTAGGCCCGCGAAAGACATCCAGGTAGTTGTGGTGTTTTGTGAGCTGTTTCTCCAGGCGCAGTGTGTGCTGGATATTGGCGAGAGTTGGGGTTACGTCGATGTTTGAACATGGGGAAGTAAATCGGGCCAGAGCTTTTTTGGCATCGTCGACGCGGCCCTTCCGACAGAGCCACCACGGAGAGTTGGGGCAGAACGCAATGAAAGCCAGGATGAGGACTGCGGGCGCCCATTGCGACGCGTATGGGGCTTTATAAGCCCATTTCGAGTCGAGACTGTCGGTCCCTTTAAGCTCTGCCGATGCGATAAGCTGACCGACCACAAATCCCAGATTGACCATTGACCCCGCGACGCCACGGAGCACAAGCGGGCAGACTTCACCAATGTAGGCGGAGCCGACGACGGGATAGAACGCGATGACTGTACCGTTGAAGAGCTCCCCGAGAAAGAGAACGACAGGGGTTTCAGCGAAGAACTCCATGAAGATACAGGCGATTGAAAGTAGAGAACAAGCAGCCAGGGTAATCTTGGGCCCGAATCGATCGTACACCCAGCCGGCAAACAAGGCACCGACGACACCACCAATGCTGTTGGCGTAATTGAAGGCTCCGTTCCACGCTGCGCTCACGACGTACTCGCCATTGTAGAGGTAGCCAAACTGTTTCTTGAACGGGTCCAAGCCGACAATGCTACCGACGAGAGCCCCATCGAACCCTTTGAGGACAACGGCGACATTAATCATCAGGGACCAGATGGCGGCTGGTCGGTAGAGGTTGACGGCCTCCCAAAAGCCTAGAGCATGTTGGGTGTGGGTGTAGAATTGTGATTGCTCTGCTTCCCACGCCAAGTCATCGATGTTGTCGTCCAAGGGTTTCCCACTCGGGATCGGGGTTTTGCCTTTAGTTGCCATAGTTAGTGCATGGAAGACGGACTGAATAATTAATCAACACAAGAAGCATGGTAGGGTGAACGTCAAGTTATACCTTTGCCATTGCAACGAGTATACGATGATTAGCTGGTGATAAGCTATCATGACCATAGTCTCTGTGCGGTTCAGGTTATACCGTAAGTAGCAATTTTAACAGTCGAGATCACCCGAAGCTTTAGTACACTGCAGGATTTGATGTTTCATATCGAAGTATCTCCAGCCAATGAAGTTGCTTGAACCTAAACCCAGATTAGCAAAAGTAACAGTAGAGTTCGGAGTTGGAGAACCCCTGTCACGCTAAGCAGTATCAGCCCAGGCGCGGATGTGGTCTCACCCACCTCACGTCTTGTCCCCGGTTATTTATTGAGAAAGTAGGTAGCAGCATAAGCGGTACTCTAGACAGCAGTCACTCGTCTGTATCAAAGATCCCTTCGATTCATTGCAAATCCCCCACGATGTCCTCCCAGCCAACCCTCATATCTCTATCCTCCTCCGAACTCGCGAACACCAAGATTTCCTCGCACAACCTCCAAGCCGCTATCGAAGCTCTGCACCGCGACGGCCTGGTTGTTCTGGCCAATGCCGTCTCCACGGAGCACCTCGACAAACTGAATGAGCGCATGGTGCCGGAAGCCAAGACCCTATATGCCCGTTCTTCGACACACCGAAACTTCGGCCCCAAGACCGGCAACATTCAGCAAGAACCAGTGCTCGAGAAAGAATATATTTTTCAAGATGTTGTGGCGAACCCCTTTGCCGTACAGGTCGTCGAGTGCATGTTCGGTCCGCGACCGTCATTGCGCTTTTACAGCGCGAATACAGCGTTCAAAGCGGAGGATCGACAGCCGGTTCACGTCGATGTGGACTTTGATTTCCCCAAAGTCCCCTGGGGATATGCAATTAATATAAATCTCGTTGAGACGACGCCCGAGAATGGCGCTACCGAGGTTTGGCTGGGAAGTCATACTGATACGACGAAAGACGTGCTTGATGACCAGTATAGCCATAAGCAAGTAAGGGCAGAGTTACTCGAAGAGCGTCGGAATATAGGTAGGCGCGGAGTTCAGCCCGCAATGCTTCCAAAGGGGAGCTTGATTATCCGGGATATGAGACTTTGGCATGAGGGGATGCCGAATCAGACTGATGAGCCGAGAGTCATGCTGGTGACTATCCTGTTTCCGCATTGGTATCGGAGTAATCAGAAGATCATTTTGCCAGAGAGCTTGAAAGGCGAGGTTGAGGGATGGAAAGATGTCGATGCTTGCGTGGAGTGGGTTGAAGAGGGGTATGATTATCTGCAAGGCCGACACGATCATGACTTTGCGCTGAAGCCGTAAAGTATCCTGTATATACTGTTAGCATTAGACAGAACATGAAGAGGCAGTCTTACTAGGCTAGATGCAGCATTTCTCCCATCTCCTTAACGACTTCAATGCAACCAAGCCGACTCATTTGCTCTGCGCCTTCCACGCAGTGTGTGAAGTCTTTACTAAGCCAGACGTGCTCCATCAGCTCCCACACTTTGCGAATAGACTGTATCCTTCGCATCGCGTGCATATTCATCAGCCGCTGCTTGACGAACTCGCGGTCCCTTGGCTCGGTTGCCTCACACCCAGCGGTGAACAAAGGCCAAACATGTGCAGAAACCAGGGGTGATGATATTGGTACAGCAGCAAGTGAGTCAATACACCTCCGCACATGATACAATGTAAGCGCATGCGGAGCTCCGATATCGTAGACAACTCTATGGAGGTAGATGAATGCGGCCGATCGGTGGGCTTCTGTTGTACGAGCCCGATCTGAAGGAAGCCCATGGATGTCCATAGACTCCAGGTCACTTTTTACCTTTTGACCAAGTACCATCAGGGTTGCCGGAGCACAACCCGCGTCTTTCATTTTCTTCAGCTCGCTAATCCGGGCCACAGCTTGCAGGATCGTCGCGTGATACCCCCGCGACGACTCCAGATCCAGCAGCAACGGAACCGTCTCGGTCTCGTTCAGCCCAGAGTGGCAAATCAAGGGCTCACTACCTTTGGCGACTGCAGAGAGTAGATCATAGTAAAGGATCTGAGTCAGGAGAAAGCGTCCGCACGGAGATGTCAGATATCGCAGTCCGCCTCGAGTCCGGATTAGTTCTGTCGCTCCGAGCAGATGATTGACGTCGCCTTCTTGGTTCTGGCCATTGTTGTCGAATTGCTTGCTCATTTCAAGTAGCAAGATAGACGCAAGTAGAATGTCATTGTTCGCGGTAGTACTGGGATCCTCGCCCAATCTCTTTCTCAGAGACGCGATTGCAGCTAAGCGATGACCCTGCGCAGCTAGGGCAAGGTTTTGCCCTGACTCCAAATGGGAATCTGAGGTTGCAAGGTGGCTAGCTGCAATTGACAGCACGGCGTGCCGTAGCGGACTGTTGGGGTCGCAGAGCGCCATTGGAGTCAGGTACATCTGAAATGAGTTGGTCTGAGAGGAGGGCGATATGCAAAGCAGCGGGGCGATATAGACTGTCCAATGGTGAAGGAGCCTGTATTGCTCCAATGTCATGTCGGATGGGCGCGGAGATACCAAGTGCTCGGGGTTTTGTCGAGAATGGCGTTTATTGTCGTTTGACCGGCGCTGCTTGCCTCCCTCTTGCGGTCGCCACTTGAGTCGTTGGCCGTATCCCTTGCAATGAATGCGCAGCCTAATACACCGTCCACATTGTGGCTTCAGCTCGTCACATTTGTAACCCGCCTCTCGACACGTCCAGCACCCTGTTCTGGACCTTGTCCGTTTATTCGGCCTTGAAGACTCGGCCGAGCTGGTGTTCTCCGTCATTGATTCAGCACGTTTGTTCGATAAAAGAAGGATGCGGAAGACATCGAGGAGATGGAGTCCAGATCGATCGCTCCGGCGGAGTTAAATAGAGGCCCCCGCATGCCCGGCCAGCTGACCCTCGGTTGATAAACCGGAGTACATCGATTGGCCAGCGAGCTATCTCCACTGGGGTGCCCGTCGACTCCAATACCTAACTGGAGCAACAATATGCAGGTGGCATTAGGCTCCGGGGAATTGTGGCCGCGAAGACATCTGTCGCGGAATCAATCATGTTCAAGAGGCAACGGACCTCGTCCCAAACGACAATCCCCTTTCGCCAAACGTTATCCATTGCCTAGCCTGGACATCCTCCAGCTTATGAACACCATACTCAATCTGTTTCCGTCGATTCCAATCCGTCGTTTGTCTCCGTGCTGCGCCGGAAAATGAGCTTTACAATTCAAACGGCTCATGATCGTCTTGCTGAGAAGTCGATGCGCTTCATCCCAGCGGTTCTCAAACACCCAGGACTAACAATCGGACGTGGTCGAGCGATTTTCCGAGTCAGGGACGCTCTTCTGATCGTTTTCTGACTGACAATCTCGAAGATCGCTCGGCTCTGCGGCAGCGAAGTCGACAACGTCTGCCCGTTTGAAGACGCGGATCTGCCAGAGACGCCGGTGAAATCGGAGTTTTCGACGCATCGTTTTGACGATGGTGTGTTGTCGGTTTGAGTGGAGAGAAAAGAGAGAAGTCCGGGAATGGAGGTGAGGCCGACGCCTTCAGCTGAACGCTAGACCGGTACCTATGTGCCGCAGATCTGTACGGTACTGAGCCAGCCATGTCCATCTGCAGTGTTACCTACCCTAACTACCTATTATTGCATTGACATGGAAATGGGTGCTCGGGACGACCTCCAGAAGAAATAAAGAGGAGGAGGATGGATTGACGGGAAACGAGGTCAGGAGTGAAGAAGAGATAAATAGACGGTCGAGTTTGACGGAAGTTGAGGAACGTTGGACGATGAACCTCAACGGCAGGCACGGATACACGTGACACGACATATACTACCTCTAGGTAGGTAGTGGACCAATGAGAAACCTTAGTTACCCAAGTATACATTACATGTACTCGTCACTTCGCTGAGCCCGACCGCCTTGGTGGCGGTTGGTTAGCTCCACCCTAATAAATACACCACCTTAATAATAATTATAAATTTTAATTGCGTTAAGTAACTTTAAATATTTATAACTTTACTATTTTTTAAAATATTAACCCTTACTATAAATAAATTAATAATTTAAGAGGCGCTTTTTAAATATACCTAAAAAAAACATGTTAATCCTATTATTATAATAGCAAAAGTTATAAAAAATTAAAATATTAATTATTAGCGCCTATAATAATATATAAATAATATAAAACTAGTTTTAAAATATTATAAGCCTAGGAGCTTGCTTAATAACACACAGGAAGCTATTTTCTTAAAGTTTATAAAAAAATAAAATAATATAGGCACTTTAATAACTTTTAGCATGGTTAAAGGTATTATAAAGAAAATTTTTTAATATAGCTATACTAAGGCTAGTTTAAATAGCTTACCATCCCCTAAAATTAGGCCTAACTAGGCATACCACTTTATAAAGTTAAAAAAAAGTTTTTTAAGTTAAAAAAAAAGGTAAAAAAAAAGGCGTGTAAAAAAAATAAAAACCCCGGGGTTATTTTTTACTAGTTTAATAAAGTATACTAGATTATTAAAGCGCATGGTATATAAAATAAAAATATTTATAATATAAATAAAACTAGGTTTTTTATAGGCCAGGGGAGGCGTTTAAAAACTATTTATATATATTATTTTAATTATATTTTTTTTATAAACTTTAAATTAAAGCGCTAGCTTATTATTTTAGTAAAGTATATTTTTATAAGTAGCTATATTTTACTATTACTTATAATTATATTAAAAAAGGTTTTCTTGCTTAAATAAATTACTAAAATAAATTTATTTAATAACTAGCTTATAAATTAAACTATTTTAGGCTATATAAATAAAAAGTGCACTTATAAATAATTTAAGTATTTTACTAAAATTATAAAGGCATGGTAGCAAGGTATATAGTATCTTTTAATTTTTAATTATTATAAAAGTTATATTTCTTACAAGATAACACTGCTTGTAGTAAAAAAAAAGATTATATTACTTTTTTTATTATTATATTTAACTTATCTTTTTTAACCTTTTAATTTAATACCGTTCTAGTAACTAAAAAAGGTTTATATAAATTATATTAATAAGTACTTTTATATTAGGGGTTAATATTATAATAAAGTCCACTTTTTTAATAATATTAAAATAATTAAAAAAATAGCTTATACCAAGCGGGTTATTATATAAGGTTAAATAAAAACTAGCCTTTTTTTACTAAACCTTAACTATATTTTAAAGAGAATTAAAGCGCTAGATTATTTAAAAAGGCCTTTTTTAATGCTTAATACTAAAGGTAAGCGAATTATTAAAAATATTACTAATATTAAGCCTTTAAAAACTTTTAAATTAGCTGCTAAAACCCCTTTAAAAGGTGTAATACTTATAATACTAAAAACTGTTTACTTAACGCGCTGTAATATTAAATTAATTAAAAAATAATATATTAAACTTTTTTACTTTTTAATAATCTAGTGCCTTATTTGCGGGGTACTATATTAATTTAAAAACCTTGCCTTAATAAAAAAGTAACTAGATAAATAACTAGTAAAAAAGTAGAAGCCTTATAATTAAAAACACTTAAAAAAGTAATTTAAAAAAATAACTAACTGCCTTATAGTTAAGAATACAAAGAATTATATTAATAAAAAGGTAAAAAAGTATATTAATAAGCTGTTTAGTAAGCGGGCTGCGGAAAGAATAAAATTAATAAAAAATATACTTTAAATAATAAAAAAAGAGGCTAATAATATACTAGATAAAGTATTATTTATTAAAAATTAAAATAAGCTTATTAAAAACTTTATATAGCTTTATTTTATTAAAATATTATTATTTAAAGGTTTTACTAGTATAATAGTAAATATTAAAATAGCATGCTTAACACGCGTTGGTTCGCGTAGTTTTTAAATTACTAATTTAATATTAGTATAGCTAATTTGCGAATACCTAAGAATTAGCCTTATTTATTTTATTTTATAATAGCTACTGTTTTACCTAAAAAAATAAGTTCTAAATAGCTTCATGTTAATAATTTTTTTATTAAGGTGGTGTATTTATTAGGGTGGAGCTGACCAACCGCCACCAAGGCGGTCGGGCTCAGCGAAGTGACGAGTATGGCATGTATTTCCAGTCTTTACTATTAAGTAGAACCTTTGTCACAAGTTCTTAAGGTGATCTTATCTGTCTGTTGCAACCCTCGCCAAAATATATCTTTTGACAACCAAGCACTACAAAGAACAGCATAACGATAAAAGATTCAATTCATTCTTACCATGCCTATTGACTAACATCCTAACAATGGATAACTTTCCCATACCCAGCCCCATCAACACCCACCACCCCACACCCCTACAAAACATGCTTAAACAGCGGACTCCGATCCCCCAAATCAAACAGCTCCTCCTCAGTATACCTAGCCCTCGCCTCCCCCTCCTCCCTCCTCTTCCTCCGATTCGCAATGATATAACTCCACTCCAGCAGCCCCGCCATAAGCACCCCCGTAACCCCCAGCGCCAAACTAATCCCAAAGCCCGTATAATACTTCGGCTTCTCGCGCTCAAGGTACATAAAACTGCCCAGAATCCCACCAACATTCCCCACGCAATTCATCAGCGCGATCCCGATTGCCCTTCGAGACGCAGGGGCAATGTTATTCGCGTTCCAGGACGCCGCAGCCGCTTGGATCGGGTAGATTCCAATCACGGCCAGCACGACGGAGAAATAGGCGACGCCTTTGTTGGCGGCGAGTTCGCCGTGCAGGCTGATTATCACGGAATAAGCGACGATGATGATCACCATGGGGATCACGACGAAGGGCATGCGCCAGTAGAAGTGATCGGAGAGGCGGGCGAAGCAGACTGCCGAGATGGCGGCGGCGACGTACGGCGGGGCGCTGGTGAGCTGGGCGTTTGTGCGCGAGAAGCCCATGGATTCGGTGATTGTGGGGAGGGTGAATTTGATCCCTGGACATCCATTATTAGTTAGGGCTTGGTTTGGGGAATGGGGAAAAGGGAGGTAGGTGAGTAGGTACCGTAAGAAAGCGCCGACTGCGCAAACAGAAACCACGCCTGCATGTATACCCTCCAGTTCGTCAGCACCATCGTCAGATCCCGCCACTTGAACTTGCGGTCGTCGTCGGCGCGTCCGCCCTGTTTGATGAACATGGAGAGCTCGAGGTACTGGATCTCGTCGGGCTCAAGCCACCGGCTCGAGAGGGCGGGTGTGTCAATGAGGAAGAAGAAACAGGCGACGCCTAGCACGACCGTCGCTAACCCCTCCAGGATGAAAATCCACCTCCACCCCTCATACCCGCCGACGCCGTCCATCTCTGCAATGGCAGCTGCAAGGAGGCCGGAAAATGCACCGCTCAGCGCACTCGCGCAGTAGAAGTAGGAGATCCGCAGCGCGAGGTCTTTCGGCATGTACCAGTACGAGCAGAGGTAGATGGCGCCGGGGAAGAAGCCGGCTTCGAAGATGCCGAGGAGGACGCGCACGGCCATGAGGCTGCCGTAGTTCTTGACGAGTCCGGTGCAGGTCATGATCACGCCCCAGCCGACGACGAGGATGCCGAGGTAGGTTGAGGGGCGCTTGAATTTCTTGAGGAGGACGTTGGAGGGGACTTCGAGGAGGACGTAGGGGATGAAGAAGATGGAGAGGACGGTGTTGTACTGCACGCCGGACATGTGGAGGTCGGTGACCATGCCTTCGATTTTGGCGTTGCCGATGTTGGCGCGGTCGATGTGGGCGGCTAGGTAGAGGAGGGCGAGCATGGGGACGAGGCGGACGTCGACCTACACTGTTAGATACCATCTCCAGGTACTGGGTGGAGGGACCTCAGATTTACCTTGCGGAAGACCTTCTTCCTCTTCTCCTCCGGGTAGTTGGTGTAGAAGTCTGCATCTTCGGGACTCAAGCCCACGACTCGAAAGGTGCCGATCTCGGTGATGGGGCTCTCGATGTGAGAGGGCTTCTCGATGTCCTTCTCAGCCATGACGACTCGGTATGATGTTCTGCCCTCGAGAGAATGACGGTGGCCAGGGTCAAGACGATCAACGGGGCGGGGACAGATATACCCACACTGTCCTCGTTGACAGCTACCCCGGATTGCCAGAGTCCTCCACAGCCAAGCACTACCCCAGGCCATGGCATGTTGGCAACGGATAAGCGGCCAATGACACGCCCAACCGACACGGATACAGCACCCGCGTCCGCAGATCGCTCGGAAAACGTGCATGGCCCTGCTTATCCGGGGTTATCTCCAGTTCCCCGCATTTTTTAACGTTGTTTGCTCTGGATATCCGGAATATTCTCCGGCTCCAGTATATACGTGGCTCAGTGTGTATAGCCTATAGCGCCATGCCGAGCAGCTTACACGCAAAACACCAACATGTCCACAATCAAAGACATCATAATCACCCCCGTAGCCTTCCACGACCCACCCCTCCTCAACAGCGTCGGCGTGCACGAGCCCTTCGCCCTCCGCAGCATCATCGAGGTAATTACAGAAACAACCTACGGCCTCGGCGAGTCCTACGGGGACTCAACGCACCTCGAGCGTCTCCAACGCGCAGCAGAGCTCATAAAATCCTCCGCCCTCTCAATCCACAACACAAACGCAATCTACCAAATATGCGTCGACAGCTTAACCAACGACACAGCCACCGGCGGCGACGGCATGGCAGGGATGGTAACGACCGCCTCCATCGCAGACAAACTCTTCTCGCCGTTTGAGGTCGCCTGCCTTGATATCCAGGGGAAGATGGCCGGTGTCCCGGTCAGCGAGCTACTCGGCGGCCGGGTCCGCGATAATGTCCAGTACTCCGCGTACCTCTTCTACAAATGGGCTGGACATCCTGGGTCGCCGGACGACGAGTTCGGCGAGGCCCTAACGCCGGCTCAACTCGTGGCGCAAGCAAAGAAGATGATAGACGAGTACGGGTTCAAAGCGATAAAGCTGAAGGGCGGCGTCTTCCCACCAGCGCAGGAAGTCGCCGCGATTAAAGCGCTGCACGACGCTTTCCCCGGCATCCCGCTCCGTCTGGACCCCAACGCCGCCTGGACAGTCGAGACCTCGAAGTGGGTTGCGGACGAACTGTCGGGGATAGTCGAGTATCTCGAAGACCCGGCGCCGGAGATCGAAGGCATGGCGGCCGTGGCAAGCGAAGCAAGCATGCCACTCGCGACAAACATGGCCGTCGTGGCATTCGACCACCTCCCGCCCTCGATCCTGCAGAACGCGGTGCAGGTCATACTCTCAGACCACCACTTCTGGGGCGGACTGCGCAAATCGCAGACGCTTGCTTCGATCTGCGCGATTTGGGGGATCAGGCTGTCGATGCACAGTAACAGCCATCTGGGGATTAGTCTTGCGGCCATGACGCACTTGGCGGCTGCGACGCCGAATCTGGATTATGCGTGCGATACGCATTGGCCGTGGAAGAGGCGGGACGAAGATGTTATTGGTGATGGGGCGCTGAGGTGGGTTGATGGGGGCGTTGAGGTGCCGCGGACCCCGGGGTTGGGGGTTGAGCTTGACCGGGAGAAACTGGGGAGATTGCATCGGCAGTACCTTGAGTGTGGGATTCGGAAGAGGGATGATACGTCGTATATGAGGCGGTTTGAGCCGGAGTTTGATGCGAGGATACCGAGGTGGTAGACGGCAGCGATAGTATGGTAGTATATGCCAGCTTGAAACAATATAACTGATAACTAAGCCAGTAACTTGCTATTGACCTATCATTTATGTTTACTTTGAAAAAAGAACTGGGGAAATCGTCTACCGATCCAAAATTCAGCGATCGCTCTCCCTTCTTGATTCCAGACACTCCGCTGCACTGCCCTGTAGCCCTAATTTCGAGTATTGGCCATGGGCACCACCAATAAAACCAAGGCCACTCGATGAAACAATTGGCAGATGTCGATGACAGCCCAGGTAATCAGGGATCGTCATCGACGACCCTTGAAACATACCAGGCTTGCTTCAAAAATTCGGCAGATCGACTCATGTTTCAGAATCGACTCGAGCCTGGCCTCGGCAGCGCTCATGTGCCGGCGATCAGGGTATAAAACCACGACATCTGGCACTTTGGAGATGTCAATCTATTGTATTTACTCTCAATTTAAAGACATCTACTCGCATCTCTATCTCTCTCTCGCATCCTCGGGCTCCCGGAAGTCACTTCTTCATACTACATATACATACAATATGGCCCCATCAGACATCAGCATCCGGAACTTAACCGGCGACTGGGCGATCGTAAGCCCCTTAAGATCCCCCAAATGCCAAACGCAGGTCTAATGCTTGACAGGACAAGACAAAATCAAAGAACATCGACGGCGCGCTCAAACTGGTACACTCCCTTTCCCTTTCCACACCTACAGTCCAACCAACTAACAACGAAACAAACAGCAAGGCATCGGCTGGCTCCGCCGCAAAGCCGTAACATCGGGCACCATCACGCTCAAAACCACACACTCGGATAACAGCCTGATGATGCAGCAAGGCCTGCGCGGGATCTTCCCAGGCGTCGAGCAGACCCGCTCCCTAGACTGGAGCGAGCACGAGCACGTCGACGCCGTGTCCGGGGCTGCGATCAAAGTGCGCAGTCGGTTTGTGCCGGGTGTTTTGGAGGGGGAGAAGGTCAAGCCTGTTTTGCAGGTTGAGACCCCGACGGCGACAGGGAAGAGGGGTGAGGTTGAGGAGTACCTTGGTGCTGCGGTTTCTGCGCCGGGTCAGAGTGATGAGACGAGGGAGAAGGCGTTTGTGCAGGATTTTATTGTTTGTGAGAGTGGGGGGTGGACGGCGGAGCAGGTGAGTTCCAGGCTTCCAGCCCTGCTTGTGGCACCTGCAGGTCCTTGGTGGAGATGAGAAGGGTGATGCTGACTTAGGGCTAGATCTGGGCCGTCGAGACTATCGGGGATGGACTGTTTCTGACGTGCAGGGCTGTTGCGGCGAAGGGGGATGCCATTGAGCAGGCGTATCAGGTGTATCAGTATGAAGAGCAGAAGTAGAGATTGATGACCATTGAATATTATCATGATTCGGCCAAGTAGTCATTTGCGCTCGATGCCATACTGCTTCATCAACTTACGCATCATCAAAGCCATCCTTACATATGTTAAACATCAATAAAAATAACCAAAACAACCGCATACTGCCGCGTCTGCCAATCCATATCTCAATGTTCAAACCCCAACAATTAAAGAAAACACAATGATAAAAGCAGCAACAGGCACGGACGACCTCTCAATCAGCCCTTTGATCAATGACGGGTCTAGTGCCATGATATGGTACCGTAGTCATCGGCACTCTCAGAAACACTCCTCCAGTAAACGCAACAACAACTTGGCCCACTCTATCCACAAAGGCCGAGGCTCGCTTGGGGAATTTCGAAACCCTCAACGTAATCCTTCTTCCTGGATAGACGTTCTTCGTTCAACCAGGCTAGCCGCGCGCGTGGGATGTGCATTAGGCTCAAACGCAGCGGCTTGCTCTTCTCTCTGGTTCACGGAAGTAGCAGTAGGTAGTGAAACTAATTTTAGCCGTTGATTGAGCGAGGAGTACTGCCAATGGGGAGGTTTCGTGGCCATCGCTCGTTCTTGTCTTGGGGTGGGAAGGTTCCGGCTTGCGCCCTTTCGCTTGAGAGCCCTTCTAACTCGTCAGCTTAGTGTAGCAGTAAGCGCCGTCGATATACAAGGTTAGTAGCAGTGGAGTGCATTCTCATGGAAATAGCAACATACATGCCAAAGGGGGCCGGCGGTTAACTCAAACCACCTGGGTACATAAGCCCAGGCACGGCCCCGTCTCTTTCCCAACTGCATCCTCTGCCTCTGCCTCATCAGTCATTAAACTTCCTCTATATACTCTGAACAGTCAACTGCCCGCTCGAGAATCTTGAACAATTGCAATGTCGGGAGTCCAGCCAAACGTCCAACCCAGTTCCATTCCCTCGCAGGGCCCAGCACAGCCGCGAGCCCCGGCGACCGGGGGCCTGAAAGGCTCCCAAATGTCCGATGACTCGGACGACGAGGAGACGACCTTGTTCCATACGATGGACAGCCTGATAACCGACCATCTGTCGAGCCCGCTATTCACCGAGACCCTTTCTCTCGGCAAGTCGAAGCCGAAGAGCCAAGCGAAAGAGGAGTATAAGGCTGCGGTGCTGGACTTGCACTGGCGAGTCCACTGCCATTATATATGTCTGCTGGGCGAATTAGACACCCCAGCTAGCAGTGAGTGCACGGCCCAGGTTCCTTATCGGTCATTCCATGTGTCTGACATCCACAGAAATACAAACGCACGATCTACTTGTTCTATGTGATGACCTGAAGGTCCTGCTCGCATCCCATCATCCTCAGCAAATGGCAGATGACGCCTACAAGCGAGCCCAGGAGGAAATCGTACAGCTGAAGCAGAGACTAGACGAGTGCTTGATGCCTGGGTATCCCTCGCAAGACGAGGCTGCGAGGATGATATCAGCGGCTGAAAAGTCGATCACGGGCAAGGAGCCTTACAAGTCCGTTCTGAACAGCAAGCCGAAAAAGGAGCGCTCGGGGTCCCGGTGGAAGCCGTGGAAGAAGACTTAGAGAAGATCCGCTGCTTTTCTGCAAGACCTAGGTATCTAGATATATTTTCTTATGTAGAGAACAACAGCCGAGGCCCTTTTATATCCTGCGCTTTGGCATTTGATACGGTAACGTTGAGAAATTGGATATCATACCATATCCTTTAGCTCTATGCTCCGGTTCTTATCCCGGGACAGACTTCTAACCTTGGTTTCAGTACCTCTCTAAAGAACGCCAGATGTGCAGGGGCAGTGAGCATCGACTTCTTGTGGTTCCTTGATCCGTCAAAAATCCTAGAGAACAAGTTTGATGGATGTTCGACACGGCTGGGGGTTGATTTTGGGATGTCATTTTAAAAAGGTAATTGAAAAAGTCTTCGGAGCCTGTTGCTGGCGATATCTTTAGGCAAAGCTGTGCCATTCATTAGGGTTACTTTGGATGGTGGGCGCATACCACCTGCATCTGGGCAACACCCATGCTCGTTCGGTATGATAATGCGAGCCTCAGCCCTAATTTAAATCTTACTACAGGCTCGAGGAGAATACGCCGAACATCCTAGAATACCAGTTGCAAAAGCCCAACCATGGCCCGAATGCACCACCGCAGGCTCCAACAATCCAGGATTGGTAATCCGCCCAGTATAAGTATGGTAGCAGCTTCCTCGTCCCCTTGCACCTTCCTTCCTTTCCCCTCCAAGCATTTTTATGATCTCTTTGACGAGGATCCTTGAGGTTTTCCCCAAGAGTCTTCTCATTGAGCTGTCGTTTAAATGTGAGCGTTTCATCACGGCTTCTACCTTGATGGATCTTAGAAATAGGAGTTGCTCCGTGCCATACTATAGAATCGTGCGGCTTGTTGTGAGCGCTTTACTTTAATATTTTCTATTGGCGGGATACACTACCATAGGTATATACCAGCGGAACGGGTGATTGCGCCAGGGCTGTCCATTATGCTACCTATGAGTATCAACTAACCATGATCACCATTCCAAACCAATCAAATAAACCAAAGATGGCCATGCCCCGTCTACCCATAAACCTACTATAAGAATCAACATGAAAATCAACATAAAGTACCCAACAACCTAGCAATCCCCAATACCCCAGACCAACGCATCCATCATGTTCCAACTAAACCGATCACTCCTATCCGGCCTCAAACTAAACGGCAGCTGATTGGGATCAGGCGCTATGACACTAATCGGGCCCTGAAGCCCATTGCGCTCCCCGCAGCAGGGACATGCCGGCGTGCAATGCCCCCTGGCATTTGCCCATGCTGGCAAATCACACCGAGCCCGCGTGCAGCACTCGCAGGATCGCCCGCAGCATCCACCAGACAGGACACACCTCTCCACGAGCCAGGGAGTCAGATGCCATGTAAACGTCTGAGCATCCGCGCACTGGGTGTGCCATAATGCGCGGAAGATGGCTTTGGATGCGATCGGTTTCTCTGCGTGAGATTTCAAGGAAAGTAGCTGTTCGCAGATCGTCTCGTTGTTTGTCTTTTCGTATCGGGTCATGTGGTATGCTGAGGCTATTTCTGGATCGTAGGGTTCTTGGAGGCCTTTCAACCGCGCGCATTCTTTCTCCAGCCACCCCTGTCGCTGGACTGCGATGTCCAGTGACTCGTGGCAGGAGATGGATAGGGCGAGACTTGCCCATTCGTCGGGTGTCAGGCCGAAGAGCTCGTGTTGCCAGCGGCGGAATCTCTGCGCTTTGGTTTTGTCGGAGATTCGGTCTTCCACGAAGCGGAGGATTTTGACGATGTGCTGTTTCTTTCGAAGGCGCATGGTGAGAGACTGGCGGAGAGTTGAGGTTTGGGTTTGTTGCTGGAATGGGTGTATAAGAGTGTGAAGAGCAGGGCGCAGAGGAACATAGAGAATGAATGAGGAAGAGGGATTCAAGGAGAGGTGTTGAGGTAAGTAGGCCCCGTTGAGTCACAGCATGAACCTTGATAAATCCCACGCGTCATCCGCATGGAAAGTGTCAAGCACTGGAAACTTTGTACCGCAGTGTAGATCCGACTGGGCTGGATTTGCTGTCCGTCACTTTGCCCGGCCCCGTGGTATACCGCAACCTATCTAGGCATTTCATCATCTTTCCAGCTGGAGAATACCATTCTTTTTGCGCACCTCCCTGTTCTAATCTTCGATGATTTCCGCAACTGCATCTGGAAGGAACAACCCTGCCGACAGCGCCAGCTGAATTAAAAGCCCAGGCCTTACAATTGCTATCATAGCAGTTCGATGGTGCAATTGCTGCCTGTGGTGCTCGTTTCAAGTACGTTTGACCCTCGTTCTGCTATCATGGGCACCCTATAACCCCGGCTTATCGTATTTCCTGCATAGCCACGAGCACAGTGTCATCGATGGCACTCTTGCCGCCGGGCCTTTCAGCGCCCGTGGTGATGCCGTACGCCTGGCCACCTTTGGGGCTCCTCCCGATGGCCGGAAATGTATGCTACCTGTCCCATATGATCCTAGGCGGGGTATAGATACAACTGACCACCCTCTCCCCCTGCCGGTTCTGCCGACAGCACCGGCCGTCAACAAGAGCCCTCGGCCTCGGCCCGCGCAGCTTCCTCCGAGTGCCTTTTGGGAAGGTCCTGGATGGACTGCAGTTGTCGGTTGATTTTGCATAATGGAAGGGGACGCGTTGTTTGGGATTTGGACAGGAAGAGCTGCCACGACTGTATATATTATTTTCATAATTATACCCTGGAATGAATAAGGCCGGATAAGAATATTCTGTTTAGTTCGGATATCGTAGGTGCGTTGATCTAGCCAGCGGCGATGGTTTGTCGACGCCTTCACCAGTGCTAGATAGGTACCAATACCATAGGGTATGTTGCCCTAACTGGCCATACTACCCTACCATCCACAAGTAACAAACCACCGCTACTGCACCATAAACTCCGCAAACCGCTCATCCCTCAACTCCTCAACCGGCTGCCGATCCACCCCATCAACGAAGCCCAAATACCACGTCAAATCCCTCCCATCACCCACCGTCTCCCGCTCCGCAAACCCATTCCCCAGATACGCGAATCGATTCCCAGCAACATACGTAAGCTCATAGTCCTCCCAGCGCGGCTCCCTCATCGTCTCAAAGAAGTGGATCCGCGACCCCGGCCACATCATGATCTCGCCGTCGACCGTGCCGCCCTTGAACCACGAGCGACAGGGCGAGTTCCACGCCGTCCGCGGGAGGAATGTACGTCTGTGCAGCGCGAAGTCGGATACGGCGCTGGCCTTGACGCAGAAAGTGGAGATGGATTCCTGCGCCAGCTTGCGCAGCATGAGCATGAAGTGCCGCGAGAGGGTCTCGGTTATGGGGAGGAAGCTGCCGTGCCCGTAGGGGCCGTAGGGGCCGTTGAAGACTGCCACCAGACTCGTCAATAACCTGCCTCTGTACAGCCGAGGGAGAGTGGGAGGGAAAGAAGACGTACTCAGGTAATTTGGAAACCCCTCCACCGCAATAGAGAGATACGTGCTGGGCCTCTCCTTCCACTCCTCCGCTAGACTCCGTCCATCGCGCCCGATGGTCGGGTACGCCGGTTTCCAGCTGACGTCGAACCCGGTCGCGCAGACGATAACGTCCACCTCATGTTCAACCCCGTCCGCTGTCCTAATCCCCTTGGGCGTAATCTGCTCGATCGTCTGTGAGACAACGGACACGTTATCCTCGCACAGGGCCTCGAGGTACCCCGCGCCCGGCGTCGGCCGCCGACACCCAACGGCGAAGTTTGTTGGGATGAGCAGGTCGGCGAGATGCGGTTTCTTAGCCAGACGAGTCCGCATGTCTTTTTCAGCGGCGGCGCGGGCGTCGGCTTGCTCTTTTGAGCCGTTGAGGATGAAGCGGAAGCGGGAGTTGAGTTCGGACTCGATCTTCTTGCGGTACAGCAGGTATTTGTGCGGGTCGGTGCGCAGGATGTGTTTTTGCTCGGGGGTGTCTGGATGAGCAGCCGGTGAGTTAGGGCTGAGTTTGTATGATAGGGTATTGGGAGGGTACATTTGAAGTTGGTGCCTCCTTTGCCCGCGAAGCGTTGGCCGAAGCTTGCTGTTACCCAGGACTGGCTGCGGATGAAGCACTTGAGGGATCCGACAACTATGCTCGTTAGATATCGATCATTCGGAAGAGAAGATGGCGTACTTGGCTGGATGTTCGGCACAATCTGCACAGCTGAGGACCCAGACCCAATGACTGCCACCCTCTTGCCCTCGAGCTGGATGCTGTCGTCCCAGTTGGCGCTGTGCAGCATCGGGCCTGCGAATGTCTCGCGGCCTGGAATGGCTGGCCACTTCCATTTGCTGTGACAATCAGCATCTCGATCTGATGGATATGCGTAGAGACTCACTTCAGCACGCCACCAGCGTTGATCAGGATATGCGCCTGGTCCTCAAAGACCTCGCCCTTCGCCGGCCCATCCAACCTCTCAATCTTAACCTTCCACTGACTATCCTCCTCATTCCACCTCGCATCAACGACCTTCGAGCTAAGCCGCATATACTTCATAAGCCCGTGCTCCTCCGCAACAGTCTTGAAGTACCGCAGGATCTCAGGGGCGGAGGAGTAGCTACCATATCACAAGCACGCATCAGTCCCATCCCATCTCCTTCTATTTCAAAGCAGACTTACAAACAACTCCACTCCGCACTCGGCGCCCACGAAAACTGATAATTGACACTGGGAATATCACACCCACACCCCGGGTATCTGTTCTCGAACCACGTGCCCCCGATCGACGGGTTCTTGTCGTAGCAGACGAGGTCCAGGTCCAGGGCGGTGTTTGTGTCGACCTCGTGCGCGAAGTTGATTGCGCTGGCGCCGCAGCCGATCACGATGATGCGCAGGTTGCGCCCGGTGCGCGCGGGCTGTTCCATTATGCTGTATGCCCCGCCAGAGGGGGTCGGGAGGCCGAGTGAGCCCATGGTTGTCTTTGTGGTGATTGTGTCTTGGGAGAGCTGGGGTAAGCTAGGCGTTTCTTTTGGCTGGGTTGGATGAAGGCAGGATGCTTAACTTTTGTATAAGGTCTCGTGTCTATGGCTCTATGTTGTGGCTCGGACGTTGGAGTTGGAGTTGGAGAGATGCCTGCTAGGTGCCCGGTGGAGCTCCACCGGTGCGTCTCTGGACAGGACCTCCCTTGTCATGTGGATGGCCGATGATGATCAATCCAATCATGATAAGAACCCTCTAATCTGTTATTAGGGATGTTAAATGACAAATGTCATGTCGTATTTGTCCGCCTATATGTCCGACAAGGGTTGACACAAAGTAATTGGACATGTCCGATCGGCTCCCCACCTTCCCAAAAGAGAGCTGCTTTTGTGAGTTTGTAAGCTACTAGGCCATAAAGAGAAATTTTAGGTAGATTTAAACTATTTTAGGACTAGCTTTACCCACCTAATCACGTGTGTGTTAATACGGGTTGACATAAAAAACATGGACATTGTCGACAGATTGACATAGTGGAGAAGATGTCGACATTTTAACATCCCTATCTGTTATTGACTTATTTCCGCTTATCATCCCCGCAGTGGACATGCGGTGGACAGTTGGAGAGTGAGACAGCCAAACCCTAAGATGGAGCTCCACCGTCGATATTGTCCGATTCGCCGCGATACCATCATCTGACAATCTTAATAACCGTTACGTCGTACAGCAGATGCATTATCTCCTCATCGTCGTGGTGTATGACATTAATCCAACTCAATCCATCCACATGCCTCCTAAACAGCTCGGCTGGGTACGTGCCCTAACCCAGACATCCGTGTTGACGCATAGCTAGACTAAGCGCATCCTAATGTATTTGACAGTTCGGCCTCGGCTCCATGGGCCTAGGCATGGCCCTGAACCTGCAGAAATACCTGGACGCCAACGGCCTCCCTCCACTGCACTACAGTAACCGCAGCTTATCCAAGGGCCAAGCTCTGCAAGATGCAGGCGGCATTCCCAAAGACGACTTTGAGAGCGTCGTGCAAGACTGTGATATCATATTCACAATGGTAAGTAGACATTCATCAAGCTATCCTTGTATTACAAGGTAGGTAGGAGTGCACTAACGAGACCAGATATCCAACGACGCCGTCCTAGCCACCCTCCTCGACAAAGCCCTAACCACGTCCTCCACGTCCTCCCTCGCCGGCAAAATCTTCATCGACGCATCGACCGTACACCCCGATACCTCCGCTACATCTGCAGGGCATCTAAAAGCGCAAGGCGCAACATTCATCGCCGCGCCCGTCTTCGGCGCCAGCCCCGTCGCCGCAGCAGGGAAGCTCATTTTCGCTATGGCCGGTCCGTCAGATGCCGTAGCGGCAGTCAGACCGTATATCCTCGATGTCATGGGCCGCAGTATCATAGACATGGGCGCGGATGTGCGGAAGTCCAGTTTGCTGAAGATCTGCGGGTCCGTACTCCTCTCCCTCCCTCTATCTCCATCTCCGCCAGAGCCCTAACCACCGACGGCAGAAACATCCTCGTAATAAGCTTCATGGAAGTCCTGTCTGAATCGCACGTCTTCGCCGAAAAGACCGGGTTGGGAACAACCCTTCTCCAAGACTTCATCGCCAACATGTTTGGCCCCGTGCTGGAGAGCTACTCCGAGCGCATCACCAGTGGCGCCTATGCGCCTCCCCCTGACGTCGCGCCCGGTTTTGCGGCCGCGCTCGCGTGCAAGGATATGGGGCACGCGCTTGGTATTGCGGAGGATCATGGGACGACGCTGCCGACTGTGGAAACGGCGCTGGGCAGATTAAGGAGGGCGAGGGAGACGGCGGGGGAGTGGATTGATAGTGCGGCGGTTTATGGGACGGCGAGGGAGGAGGCCGGGTTGGGGTTTTGGAGTGAGCGGTGTACGAGGGAATGAATATATCATATGGTATGGTAGTCTTAAGAGGTTGTTTTTGTTTGTCTCACAGTCTCCCAGCTTGTCCCGACCATGGACGGCGTAGATAACTCCAGCTCCCTGTGGAGCTCCACACAGGAACAACAATCCCAAACAAGATATAAGACATGCCTTCCAATAAGAGAGAGGTCATGTTTGGCCTTTTACTCTTTCCAAATCATCCTTCCAACCATGTCCCGCCCACCTTCCACGCCCAGGCCCGGCATCTACATCCCCATCCTCCCCTCCGCCCAGTCCACCTCCGACACAGCCTCAACCCTCCTCCATATACAGCGCCTCCTAGACACCAAACCCCAAATAACCGGTCTAATCCTGCACGGCAACCCCAACGAACCCCCTCACCTCTCCCACCCGCAGCGCCTGTCCCTAATCCGCACCCTACGCTCACATTGCTCCCGCCAGATGCAGATAGTATCCGCATGCGGCGCCCCGAGTGTGCAGGCGACACTGGAGCATATAGCTGAGATGAAAGACGCCAGCGCAGACTATGCACTTATCCTCCCGCCGCGGTACTGGGCGCCGTCTGCTCCTGCTGCTGGGGGTACGGTGCAGAGTTTTCTGGATGGTGTGGCGAGGTCTTCGAGTCTGCCGGTTGTGGTCTTTAATTTTCCGGGTGTTTTGGGGGGGATTGATATATTGGATGAGTATGTTATTAGTCCGGTGCCGGAGGCTGCTCCTAGGGTTGTAGGGTGGGTTCCTGAGAGGAAGGGCGGCGGTGATGGTGGTGGGCGGAAGGGGATAGTTGCTGTTCTATCACCAGGACGCCGAGAGGATGGGTTGGCAAACTATGATGGAAAAGACGGGCATGGTCGAAGAACTGGGAAGGTGCTTTGGGTACAGTCAGGGGGGTTGAGGTGAGGAGAAAGGGGGAACCTAGAGAGTGATAAAGATACCCAACATGCATTCTCGCTCGAATTCCTAGCTCTGACGATAGCGTAATATCAAAGTAGATGTTTACTTGACATACCGAAAATGCAACTGCTCGAAATCCGTCAGATCCATAAACTTCTCCCTCTCAACCCTCTCTCTCATCTCCTCAGTATCCAGTCCCATCCCATCCTCCTGCTGAATACGATCCCTCCTCCGATTCTCCCAAACATTAACCACCCTCAGCGCAACCAGCAAGAGCGCACTAACCCCATACATAACAGCCACGACCGTCTTCCCCCTCTTATACTCCGGCGCATCGTCCGCCCGGAACGTCTGCGGCCCAATCCAGTTCCCCGCGGCATACGCCACAATCTGCAGCCCGTTCACGGTGACTTTCTTCGTGTACCCGAGCGTATTGTTCGAGATGGCCGTCATCATGAGGCCCCATGCCGCGCCGGCCACGCTGATCATGTAGTATCCCAGGAGCAGCGCGCCTGTTTTGTCCTGCGGGACGGCGATCATGAGGATGGCGCCGATCAGGGCGACGAGGATAGCAAGGAAGGCCATGAGGGTGCGGTCCATGAACTTGTCTGAGAGTGTGGTGAAGAGGAGTTTACCGCCGATGTCAAAGACACCGGCGGGTGCACCGAGGAGGAGAGAAAGGCGGTCGTTGAACCCGAATGATTTGATGACCAGCGACCCAAAGGTCGTGATTCCGCCGTTGGGTATGTTCATGATCAGACTGAAGAGTACGTAGATGTATGTTCGGGGATCTTTGAACGCCTCGCGGAACTGGGCCCACTTCCAGACACTGCTGCCCAGGCCCTGGTAGTTATCGCGGATTCGCTCAATGGCGACTAGTTTCTGACGCTCAGAAAGGAATTTCGCATTTGTTTGGTTGTCTGGTAGATACCAGAAGTATAGCGCTCCTGTTAGCACGGTCAGGAGGCCGAGGATGAGGAAGAGGATGCGCCATGCGGCAAGGTGGGCATTCTGAATGGCGGACAGGCCGTACCCAATCACGGCCATTAGAATGAGGGCAACTCCGTTGCAGGACAGMCAGTATCCCATCCTTCGTCCTTGCTCGCCTTGTCGATACCACATGGATGTGATGAGCACAAAGGCCGGCGTCACGGTTGCTTCGAACGCCCCTAGGAAGAACCGGCACGCCAAGAGACCAGCGTAGTTTGTGGCAGCCGCGTGGCAAGTCAAAGCAATGCCCCAGAAGAAGATGTTGATTGCTGTGTATCGGCCTACGGGAAGGCGTCGGAAGAGGTACGTGGTTGGGAACCTGCATCTATCAGTCATTACACACTTCTGGCATGATTCGGATTCTTACTCCCAAGCAAGGTATCCCGCATAAAAGATACTCGACACCCAGCTATACTGGTTCCCGACCAGGTTTGTGTCGGTCCGGATGCCCATCAACGATGCATAGTTGAGGGTTGTCTTGTCGGCAAACTGGACCATGTACACCCAGCACATGAGCGGGAGCATGTGCGCGTCGATGCGGCGGAGGACACTCTTCTCTTCTTCCGGGGTAAAGGAGACAATGGCGCCGCCGGTTAGGCGGAGAGCTGGATCAATGTCTTTGCTGTTGGTGTCGAGGACTTCGCCTTTGGAGACGTCCATATTGGAGGCCTCCATGCTTGCTACCTCATTGGGCTTGTCCATTTTGGTATGAAAGACAAGATTATGATGAGAGAGTGAAAAGCTGAAGTAAACAAAATGGGTCGTGGAATGCAGCTATAAATACTGCACTCTTATCTCCATTCAATATGCGAAAAACCGGCGCACTGACTCGACAGCTGTCCTATCAATCCAAGAGCACCAGAAGTATCTATTGCCAGAGATAAACCCTAACAGCGCAGCCCAGGATTACCGGCACCAGCCCATAGCACCTAGGAGTGGGCAAAATTTCCCCAGGTCCGTACCTCTGTGGCTGTAACGCGGGGGACTGTCGGCTTAGCAAATGGCCTCCAAGTCCAAGCCCAACCGACTCTTATCTTTGCTGGTCCACTCAGTCCACCAAAATGTGGAGTATGACTTACCGCAGTCCACCTCCACCTCCACCTCCACAGATAGTCATTGCACTGATTAGGGTTATTTGTCTGCGGACAGTGTCAGGTGGGGCATGCTGCGCTTTCAGAGGACTAATCGGGCATGTCCGGCAAGCATCCTCATGCTGAAGTAGATCAGATCGAAGCGGGGCATCCCATTCAAGCGAGTGCAGTCGTCGTTTGCGGGGTGGCCAGTATCTCATCAATGACCGTTGCCATAGAGAGCCCAATTCCCCAGGCAGACCTGGCCCTGCAGATCTTCAATAGCAAGGAAACGAAGAGAAACTCGCCTTGCTCAAGCAGGCTGACAAAGGCATGACGCTCAGTCGACCATATTCGAGGATCTCTTTCGTTGATCCCATCAAGACCCAGAATCGAATCCATAAGAGTGTTGAAGATCAGCATGCATGGCTCTGAGGTCCGGGGAAGTTCGTTAAAGGTATCCAAGTGGGCTTGGATGTCCTGCCCCGCTCGCTTCAGCGCGCTCCATATGCACAGGAGGATTCCGTAGCTGCATGCGGTTACCCAGGGCGCTTCGCGAGTGGCTCCATCTCCTTCCTCGCCATTTATCCGGGATAGGACACTTGCCAAATCGTTGAGGACAGCCAAGACCCCTTCGTCACCCCACAAATGGGGTTTCAAGAGCGGGGCTGATCTTCTGACGGAGACGTAATTCCCAAGGGTAAGGTGAGTTGAAGTGGCCAGACCTGCGATGACGCTGTTGTCCACTATCCCGCCTATGAGAAGGTGGTCAGGCCTGCAGAGACTGATCTTGACAGAACAGTGAAGAATCTCGATCGTTCGCCAGAGTAAGAATTGAGGGTTGTCGAGAGTGTAAGCTTGGTCTTTCACGATCTTTGCAATTGCTCGCATCGCGGTGTATATTTGTTTGTTTTGGTGCTGGGTAAGGATGTGGAAGGCGGACGGGTCCGAAGGGCTCGGTGGTAGTTGGTAATAGCATCGAGTGAAGTCTCGCACCAAGGCACTGATATTCGCGAGTATACATAGTATGGAGAACGGAGATGAAGTAAGAGCAGCAACGAGCTGAGGGCTAGCCGGTTCGGTCATGAGCTGCTGTGTAGCTATCGAAAGGGACGCGGTCGAGATACCGCGAGGCCCGTAGAAGTAGCTTTCTGGCACAAAGCCAAAATGTTCGATAACTCGCTGCTGCCATATTTGCGGGTCTTTTGCGTCCCAGAGGTTGCTTGGAAAAGGCAGTTCCCATCCGAACTCCATAGGTGAGATAAGGAGGCGCATGTTGGCAGGGAGAAATAAATGAGAGTCTATGAATACAAGCGCGTATAGGGACAGTTTCAGCGATTCTGTGCTGATATAGCACATCCATCGAGTATACGGCGTTTTTGCGTCGTCATGCGAAGCGTTCGACTCTCCTTGCGCTTCCCAGGGCAGTGAATCTGGCATCGTGATTCCTTGCCGGAGTAGCCCGAGCTCGCGAACGGCCTATTATTGAGTCAGCCGGGCCATGGTCCGTGAGGGAGAACCGTACATCGACTATTGTCCGCATCATGCGTTTTGACTCTTCGAAGTCCAGCGTATCCTTGAGGTATGCTCCGTAAATGACGTGAAGAAGCCATGCCTGCAGTACCCAGGTTTTTCGAAACTCGCTGTAATCAGACGCGACCTAAAATAAGGCTTCAATTAGCCTCCAATCCAGCTTTGAAGATAAAGTGACCAACTAGACTTTGAAGTTCCCTGTTTCCGCTTCTCCAAATTTCCCGTCGCCAGTGCGCATCTGCGTCCGAGTCTACCGCATCCTGCCGCGCGTACAAGCTCCCTATGACGGTTATGATACTGACCAACAGTCTAGGCGCCGAGGATAGAGCAAACGTTGGTCGGTGTAGCAATGGGAAGGATGGATGAAAGTGCTCGAAGTATGCTTTTATGTGTAATGCAGTGCTCTCTCCATGCTCTCTGGAAATTGTCAGGACTTCAGTACTAAACGATGTTGCTTGAGCTGGACAAACATTGATGAAGGAGACCCAGAGTATGCTTGCGATATGTCAGTGGCAAAGGTAGCTTGCTCTGCCTGCCAGGAATCTCCTGCTTCGAGAGAGACATTTGGCAGCGGGGCTAAATCTGTCATCGCTAGGCGCGTAGTTTCCTGATTTCCTGGTTGCCGCTCGTCTTTCAGAGAAGCTAGTAGTCTGCAACGGGTACCGTGCCTCTTATATACGTCGCTGTAATCTGTCAGGCGGAGTAGTTGTACACTGGGAAAAGACTCGCCTTCGTGAAAAGCGCGCGCGGCACCCCGCACACTCAAAGCTCTTACGAGAGCTGCCACCATGTCCTTGTCTAGTGAGCGCCGTTTGACACTTGTTTCAAAATTCCGCTGTAGCTTGACTTACGCGCACGCTTATGTCTTTGGAGGTTTTCCTTCCGTTATCAGCTGGAGGTAAACAGGTCGGACGGTTCGGCTTACACTCCGCGTAAATGATTTGGAACACTCGCTGCATGTGAACGGGCGATAAGCGGCCGAGTCACCGGAAGTGTCTGCCATTTTTGAAGGCTGAATTGAGTCAGAATGAGTAGTCGGCCTGAGAGGCGTTATGTTTGTCTCCAACTGGATTGGTGGTGTTGGAGATATATTCTGATCACGTGCTGGCGACTTGATGCATTACGGGCTTCCTCTATTGTCCGCATATTTGCAGCAAGGTCAAGACCACTCTACTCAGGATGACGATGCATACGGTGGCAGTTTCGCTAAGTGATGTCATTTGAGTGATGTTCTAAACCGCCGTCATGTAATGATAAGCACAAGAAGGATAAGTACAGGTATTAATAGTAGGATATCAAACAGCACGCTCAATCGTGAGTCATACAGCACATAAACAACATAGACCCTCAGAGACGTGCGGTTGGTAGCTCCATCGACTTGGCAATCTTTCGACTCAGATGGTCCGCAATGGCCATGTTGGTCACCATGGGGTTGACGCCGCTGGCGCTCGGGAAGATCGACGCGTCGACCACATACAGCCCCTTGGTACCCCAGACCTGACCATCCGCATCGACGACGCTGTAACGTGGTGACGAGCCCATCCGGCAACTTCCCATCTGGTGTGCGCTGGCCCACATGACCCTGTCCGATGTCTTTGGTGCCTTCCGTCGGAGTTCCTCTATCCATGACTGGAACGCTGGCTCGTTGACCCCAAGGGGAGAATCGATTGAATCGTCGGCTGGCCGGACGAATGGCGGCATGTCACGGTACGATGTGTGAATCTCCCTAGCACCTGAGATATATGCAATCTTCGCGCTAGCAATCAGACCCTCGATCATATGATTGCGATCAAAGTGGGAAACGCTATAGTCGATTCGCACTCGGCCGTCGTTGGGGTCCGGGTACACCCGCCCAGGGTCTCGCTCTCGTACAAGAGTGATGAAGCCGGCCGAGCGAGGTAACTTGGCGGCCTGGAGCTTGAAGTCTAGTCCATCACGCCAGGTGAAGATGGGAAGTATCGCTGCCGGAAGCATGGATAAAGCCTCGAGCTTAAAACCGTGGCCTTGGCCATCCATGTCCTCAAACTCATTGACAGCCGCGGTCAAGCAAGCCCCTTCCCATGGACGGATCTCTTCGTCGAAGACGGCATGCGCAATGGCAACTATACGATGTTAGTGAAGATTGTGGACGGAGGAGATAGACTTACCTGGATGCAAGTAAAGGTTTCGCCCAATGTTCGAGTTCTTGATGCCACTTCGTATGAGCAGGAGCGGGCTATGCAGTGAGCCGCCGGCGACCACGACTTTCTTAGCCCTGATGATGATTTTCCGCTTGACAGCGCCGAGTCCAGAAACACCAAAGTGTGCATCACGGGAAATCCATGTGCCAAGGACACCAGAGGCGACCTTTCCAGCCTTCTTCTTGGAAAAGAGGACCCGATCCACATTGAAGCCTTCAATGAACGTCGCGCCCGCGTTGGCGGCATCAACGAGATAAGTCTCGATAGGACCCTTTTTGCCGCCGGTATGGCAGCCCAGTGTGCAATGTCCACAGTAATGCGTCGAGCCGCCGGTGTTCTGCGGGACCGCCTTGGCAGCATATCCTAGTTTTCGAGAGCCCTCGAGGATCATGCGATTAGCCTTGTTGTGGTTGATATAATCGGCACTGACTCCCATCCGTTGACAGACACGGTCAAGGCTATTCTGGAACTCCATGGAAGTGAAGAACGGCAGACCTCGGTTGGCCCATTCGCGGCGGACGTAGCCTTGGGTTTGGAGCGACGCGGACCAGTTGACGGTGCCACCACCACCCCAAGTAGAGCCAAAGAGTACACCCATCGACCCTTCGTCGTTGGTGACGGAGCCAGCATTCTCGAACAGATTGTTGAAGCCCTCGTTTGGCTTCATGGGGAAGTGCTGGGTGGTGAACGAATAGCCCTTGTCCACCACAATAACTCTCTTGCCGGCTTCTGCGAGGTTCTTGGCTGTGACGCTGCCACCGCAGCCACTTCCGATGACAAGCACATCTGTTTCGATCATCTCGGGCTTTTGTCCGGGGGGGAATTGCAAGAACTCGAACTGGAAGCCGTTTTGCGGAGATCCATGGATGGGAACGAGGGGAACACCGAGTGTCGGATAGAGGGCAGGGCTGAACACTACCCACATCTTCTTGAACATAGCAGTGAGTCCACGATATACCATCCGCACGGGAGGTAATCGCGAGTCGGCCCAGGCTTGGAAGATCTGCTCTCGAACGTAAAATGGTTGGTCTTGGATGGGGATCATCGAGCCCGTCAGGAGTAGAGAGCCCGCTTTCGTGCTACACAATCAGTCAGCAGGCGTATATTGTTAGGCGTGGAAGAATATACTTCAAAGCAGTGAGGATCATGCTCAGCCCATTTCGTCCTTCCAGGTGGACATGCTGCGTGAAGAGGCGTTGGAGTGCTTGGCGAACGTCCGGAATGGAGGTCAGGTTCTCCTCCAAGTACTGTGTGGCAAGGGTATCTGCATCGGGACTGCGGATCGATTCCTTGAGGGTTTCAAGCGCGGCATCCAGCTTCGCCTGCGGTACGACCTTGGTAGCGCGCGACTTGCGGGACCTGGGACCGCGCACAGACGGTATGACGGTATCGGCCAGGGATAAGAGTGTTTTCCATTGCAAATCGTTGAACACCTGCTCGTTGGAAACGGGGGTAAGCGGAGCAACCAGAGGCGTGAACGAAACGAAGTGCTCAGCCATTGCGACGACAATGGCGACAGCTCGGCTACTGAGCCAGTGTAAGGATAGTCAACGAGAGTCGGGAGAAGAATAGTGGCGAGAACTCCTCACAAAGAAGACGCTGTGGGAGAGGAGGCAGCAAGTGAGGGAAAGGAAAATTGATATACGGCAGCGGAGATCGTCAACAGGGCGGAGAGCGCCTTCCCCGGAATGACGGAGCTTCGAAGCAGGAGGGGCTGGCAAGGGTGGAGGTCGAGGCAGGAACGATCCAGAAGCGGCAGTCTTTGCGAATTGCCAACACCAGACAAGCAATACGACTACGCCCGGTACAGTACTTCAAGTCTGAGCCAACTGTCCTGATGAGAGCTTCCCCCCAGTTTCAACCAATTATGCGCGATTTGAGACTCGAGACTCGAAGGAAACCGAGGAGGAGGGGGTCTGGGACCACATGGCCGATCAACCGAGGCAGGTCCACCGTTAGAACAAGGGATTGAGGTCAGGCCATTTCTGTCCCGTCCAGTTATATCATGGGTCTCGCGTACTGTATCGAATTCGAAGACACTAACAGAGCAGACGGCCTAGTTGACGCTGGGATTAGTGGAATGAGTGAGATGCGGGGAAGGAGAGTAATCAATTCCATACCGTACGGAGTACCTACAGCGTCGGACAGCCGAGCAACGCCGGGCCCATGTGCAACTGCAGCGACTGTGAGGTTGTCCATCCTGGGGCCCTTGTCGTCGAGTCGACACCGTCGCCTTTGTTCGACTTAATTTGAGGTCCTCGATCTCAGTTGCGGAGATGATCCGAGCGGCCGATGGTCACCAGAACCAACAGGGACAGTCTCCACTGACGGCATGAAGCTTGGACATGACCGCAAAGACAACGAACACTCGTAGAAACCGCCTCTGCATGAAAGGTCAGGCCGAAATCTTCTCAGGCATGTCTCAAAGTCCTCTGTAGAAATGAGTGGGAGTGTTTGTAGCTCGGAATGCCTCCGCCGAGAACTCCGACCGCTCGTGACTTGGATTGGAGATGGAGTTCAGCTCCAGCTCTTCATTCCAATCATTCCCTTGCGACCAGGGCCTTGACGACTTCTCAACCTTTACCCACGATATACTCCAGATACTCGTTGGCCATTGCCTGCATTCACTCAACTTGTCTCCCAAATTGGCCATTCCAATCCAGATCAACCGTGCTATGCGATTGCGCCGATAACCTCCACATCGCATCTGAGTCGAACGAGGAAGATGGCAGCAGACCTACTCACACCGACGGACTGTACATTGCCGCGCGAGAAGGTATTCTCCGTGCAAATCGGCACGAAGCTCTTCCGTCTCTCCGGCGCCTCCATCGCATCCGACGGTTAGTTGGACCTGTTCCCCAAAGTCGTGCGGTCATTCTTATGGTGATGGTTGTTATTGAGCTCCCTCGTACTTTTCGCGATTCTTCGAAGACCAATTGAGTCAGAACCCCGATGGGAACAATATCCGCACCCTCTATATCGACCGCGACCCGGTCACCTTCCAGGAAATTGCGCGACATCTGCAAGGTATGTCCACCCGCCGCTTATCTCCAGAAACCACTTGGATGCAGGGCTAACGTATTTTTCCTAGGATATCACTGCATGCCCAAAGATGGAGCTGAATTTGTCAAGCTCTTCGCCGATGCGCAATTCTACAGCCGTACGCAGCGCTGTTGTCTTAAAAAAATGCCGCTCACTAACCAGCCATCATCACAGTCCCCCGCTTAATGTCGCAACTCTTCGAATCCCAAATCATAATCCAAATCGGCGACCGCCACTTCCAAATCTCCAAGGACATCTTCTCCAACCCCGGCGACAGCCCTAACTTCTTCACTCTCGGCTTCGGCGCCTTCTTCGCTTCCCCCGCAGAAGTCTTCCCGGGTCTAGACAGACGCGGTCTCCTACGCCCTCCGGCCATCATACCCCCCAGCGTACCCAACCGCTCCGGCGACGTCTTCGCGCAACTCGTCCACCTCCTGCAAGGCTACCCTCTTAAAATCGAAAGCGAATCGCAGCGTGCAGAACTTCTCCGCGACTGCCGCTACTTCCACCTCCGCGGCCTCGAGCAGAAACTCATTCCGCACCATATAAGCTTCAATCCTGTCCGGCGGCGCTCGGAGATAACACTCCGCCTCGAGGATGTCCGGCGCTCGGGAATCCAGGTCGAAACACCAGCGGACAGCAGCGGCGGGCGCGGGGGTGGCGGTGGTGTAGCAGTGAGATACGCGCGCCCCTTCGTCGACGACTCACCACATGACCTAGTCCTCCAAATCGGCGAGGAAAGCACAATCATCAACCTCGCTACCATGCGCCCAACGTTCTTGAACTCCACACAAGCGCGCGTCTCCAGCCTCCTCCAGGTTATCCTCGACCGGAAGACCAACAGCAACAGCACCTCTCGATCCCCGAGCAACGGCCCAGGCGCAACCGCAACCGCAACCGCACACTCAATCCGCGTTCAGATCGACGAGGAAACGGATCTGACGATAGACGGGGAACAACAGGCTAGCAATCACAAATACCATACCCCCGACTCAACATCTGCATCTGCGGAGCCGCACGCAAAACGCAGACGTGTAAAAGGGGAAGGGTCAGAGTCAGCCCTGCCGCAATATGAGGAACGCGATGGGAGTAGTAGCGGCTCCTGGATTGTACGGAATGGCCAGTGGCGCATTGCGATGCGGCCGGCGAGTGGTGGAGTTGCAGGCGATGGTGTGGAGTTTGTTCTGGTGGGCGTCAAGCTGGATGTTTATACCAGGGAGCGGGTACGAAATCGGAAACAGCCGTTTTTGGGCTCTTGATTGCGGACTGGCCTGCGTGTGCATGGTACTATATATACACTGATCAATCCATCTACCTTCGAATAAGCAAGCATATGGAGTATGTATGGGGTTTATTCTCTAACAGGAGAAGTACCGGTTCAATCAGAGAAGCCCTCCCATTCATCCTCCTCGCCTTCCTCATCCTCTTCTTCACCATTCGCATCCTCAGCAACCTCCCCTCTCGATCCAGAATAATCATCATCCTCCCCCTCCCTCACAAAACCAGCCACAAAGAACCCGCCCGTCCCCTCCTCATCCCCAGGCCAACACCTCAAGCACCCCTCCAGCTCCTCCTTCGACAAATCCACCTCACCCCCCTCAATAGCCCCATCTCCACTCGGCTCTTCCCTTTTCACACCCCTGTGCCTCCACTTCTTCAACCCCTCAGGTTGCTCATCGCGCCTGAGAACCCTCCACCCTCTTCGCTTCGCAACCTCGCTGTCCAAAATCCGTCGCACAACGGCCTCGTTTTCCAGTAGATGGATCGAGCATGTGCTGTATGTGACTTTTCTAGCGGCGGGGAAGGAGAGCGCGTGTTCAACGATGCGGGTTTGCAGGTTTGCGAGCTTGAGCAGACGGTCTTGGGTTATTTCAGAGGTGGGGGTGTCGTTTTCGGAGGTTGATGAGGGGGGCGTGGTAGGTTTATTAGTGGAAGAGTTAGAAGGTTCATCGCGCTTGCGCTTTTTGCCTTGAGTTCCGTTTTGGTTCTTTGCTGATCCGGGCGTCGGTCTTCCAGGCGCAGGGAGGACAAGTTCCGGGACATCGTCGCGGCCGATGATACCACTTCCCGAGCAGGACGGGTCAAGGAGGAGGCCGGTAACGTCTTTGAAGCGGGGGTCTTCGGGGTCGAGGGCCAGGAAGTCCTGACCTTGGAGGACGGTAACAAGGGTATCCGCGCCGGCGGTGGAGACCATTTTCTGCAGTGTCTTTGCGCGGACGGCGGAGGCGTCCATGGAGATAATGCGGGATGATCTCGTCTTGGGCTTGGACTTGTTGCTCTTCCTCGCAGACCGGGGCTTGCATAGCAGCGAAGCCATATGCGTAGTCTTGTTCCCTGGCGCCGCGCATCCATCAATCAAGTCCCCCTCCCCATCCCAGTCATCCCCGAGCAGGAGATAAGCAGGGAAACAAGACGCCTTATCCTGCAGGATAATCTCGCCATTCTTGTACGCCGGTGCGCTCGAGAACTCAACTCCAGGCGCAACAGCAACCAGATCCGGGATGTGCGGGTCCATTCGCATCCTCTTCTGCTTATCGTCACCACCAACGACCAAATCCTCCAGCGAGTCAACGGTCTCAAACTCCGCAAAGGTTGAATTCATCTGCGCTTCCTTTGTCGTGCGAACATTGTTGACGCGGACCCAGCGCGGATAAACCGCACCGGCACTGCCCTTAGCACCCAGCGCAACCAATTTTTCTTTCCGAACAGCCTCCTTCAGTGCCGGAATCGTTGCGCAGGTGCGTCGGACGCGCGCTTTCGCGAATTCACCCTTTAACCGAATCTTGTGTCTTTCGACCGCTTGACGGAGTGGGTGCGATGCTGGCGCGGCGATGCCATTCTTTGCGAGGAGGTGGTCGTGGACGAGGAGGAGAGCGAGTAGAGGCGTGAGCTGTTCACGAAATCTTGGTCAGTCAGCAGGACATAACCACAAGCAAAGCAAGACAAAAATGGCGGTTGAAGGGGAGCCAACCTTAGGTTCAAGCTTCAGGATCCCAGCCTGGTCGATGACTTCCTTGAGCAGGATGTCCCATTTGGAGGCTTCGATGATCAGGGCGTAGACTTGTGCGGGGGAGGCTTTGAGGTTGCGGGAGTTATAGAGGCGGGACTTGAAGGACCCTCCGGTAGAAGAGGGCGCTGTGAGAATCGACACAGCGTCGTAATATAGCGACATGGCGCCGGTTTGCCTTGTGCTTGTAAAAGTTCGGAGGTAAAAATTCCCCGATCTCGATCTGCGGAGCGGAGTCGGCGTCGGACAGGGCCGCGCGCTGGTTGGTTGTTTGCACTGTTTGCCCGATCTATACTCTTATCTACGCCCTACGGGGGACAACAATTGCGTCCATCCCTGGTTCAACCCCTCACCTCAAGAATTTAAGCTTATCTGACTCAATTCCTCCCCGGGATAAGCAAACAAAACTCTATACTCACCTCGAAATGCCGCCCACACGAGACTCGACATCATTCACAACCGCCCTCCTCCCACCCCCCGGCGCAACCCGCAAACTGATCCTCCCAACACGCACAATCCCATTCCCCGCCGCAAATCCGCCGGTCTTCAACGACGCCCTTGCCGTGCGCTTCGAGGTCTTCGTCGACGAGCAGAAATGTCCGCCGGAGTTCGAGGTCGACGAGGACGACTCGCGCAGCTGGCATTGGGTTATCTATGATACTGAAGCGGAGAACCCCGGCGCGGAGGAAGCAGGGATTGAGCCGAAAACGATCAGGATCCCCGTTGGGGTGCTCCGGCTTGTCCCGCCGCCTCATGCCTCGCATGATGCCTTTGTTGCGGTCTATGCGCCGGGGACGTCGGATACTGGCCGCGACCTCACGGCAGATGGATACGATCTGGAGCACGAGCCGTATATCAAGTTTGGACGTGTTGCGTTTTTGGCGGCGTATCGGGGCTGTGGGTTGGCGAGGCGGTTGATGGAGACGGCTATGGCTTGGGCGGAGGAGAACCCGCAGGAGATCAACAAGGCGTTCTTGGAAGTATATCAGCGAGAGGGTGGTGATGCTTCGAAGCCTCCGGCGTGGAAGGGCCTTACGTTGGTTCATGCGCAGGTTGATGTGGAGAAGTTCTATGGGAAGCTTGGATTTGAGACTGATGAGAGTTTGGGGAGTTGGGTTGAGGAGGGGATTGAGCATGTTGGGATGTGGAAGCGGTTGGATGTTAAGAGTTAAGAGTTATTTATACATCCTCTGGCCTGTGTGATTATGGGATGCTACGGGCAATTAAAAAATAAAAAGATTCTTAGAAGACTCTCGAATTGTCATTAACGCCTCTAAATACCGAAAGAGGTAGGCACCATCTCGTATCGTAACGCCATTGAAGAAGAAACAGAACAGAAACGTGTACGCATGACAGGGTATCCTAGCGAAAGGAAGAAAACAAACAGAGAGCCTCCCAGGTCTATGACGACCATAGCATTAAAGGGAAGCCTCGAACAAAACGAAGTAATAGATCCGTAAAACATTGCAGAACCGACCGTGTCCGAACTCCAGGTAGATGACAAAAGCTGTGCTGTAAGCCCAGGTAAATGGGATAAGATATTCTAAAAGTTGGTGTGTCGAAGTGAAGTTGCCGACCATGGTCGATGAGCCTCAGCAGTCAATGCGAGAACTCAACAGATTGTTGAGAAAGGTCGTTTAGAAGGTGCTCCAGTTCCAGCCACGAGGGGCGCTGGCCGCGATCTCGCCGGTCTGGCCGGTCTGGCCGGTCTGGCCGGTCTGGCCAGTCTGACCGGTCTGCTCGGGGGTCTTATGCGACTGCTTGCGTCCCTCGGCCAGCGAGGCATCAACACCAGTTGCGCTGTGGCCATCAGTGCTCTGTTCATCCTCAGAGTCGATCTGATGCTGTATCTTGTTTAGGCGCTCGACGCGAACTTCTTCCCAGCGCTGGTACGCACTCCAGCAGAGGTCGCATGCACGAGAAGGGACGCCGTCGGGGTGGAAGCGCGCTTCCTGGTCAAGAGGGACCATGTGAGGGGTGTGAGAGGAGCAGAAGACATGACCGCAATGGCGGCAGTGATGGCGACGGAGGAAGAGACCGAAAGAGGATCGACAGGAAGGAGAGTCACAGCTTCGAGAAGCAGAGTCCGCCTATAAAATCATGTGAGCGGGAATCCAGTAACACGGTTGGTGGGTAATGACGCAGGAAATGATGTAGCTGGCGGCGCAGATCACGCAAGATGTCGCAAAACAGTTGGCTTGCGGACCTTGGGCGCACGCATGCAACCCCCGCGGTATAAATTCACACAAACGCCCAGGGCAGAGAAGTAAATAAAAAAAAGTTTGGCTTACCTTCCAGTGTTCCCTAGTCGGGAGACCGGTGACCTCTCCGAGGTGTTCATTCTTCATCCACTCATTCTCGGCCGTCTTGCTGATAGCGCTGCCACTGTGAAAGCTTTCCATGGTTGCGCGACGAGTGACGGTCTCGCCGGTTTCTCCGTCGTTCAGGCTGTCAAGAGAGCCGTGGACGCTACGGGGAGGAGTAGGAGGCGAGGGCTTCGATGGGCGCTCAGTCGGGCGCAAGGCAGCGGGAACATAGAGAGGGGCCTTGGGAGGACGGAGCTGGCGGGTCTGGAGAGGGAGGTACTGCTGGCGAGGAGAGGTAGGAGAGTTGTTGGCAGGAGTGTTTGCGCCAGAGTTGACAGGAGAGGGGTTGCCATAGACGGAGATTTGGTTGAGAGAGGGGGTGGTGGTAGCGGTCATAACGTGAGTGGCCATTTCGTTTTGAGGGGAGATTGGTGGTTTGTAGAAAGTGGTGTTGTGTTTGCAGAGAGCTTGGAGAGGAGAGGAAGGCGAGATAATAAGGAGAGTAGTAACACGCGTCCCAGTGGAGGTAGAGTGACTGATTAACTATTTTGTGAATGCGGAGGTGACTGGTCGGGGTAGAGCTGGAGCTAGATATGATGTAGGCATAAACACATCGCAGTGGCAACACAAGAGGCGATAGAGTTCGAAGTGACGATGAGACAACGAGATGATGAGTCGAAGCGATCCAAAGGTCAACGGTGACTCCGGAGAAGTGTATGAGCGTAAATTTAAGAGCCGCGTGGACTGACTCGACAAATGGCAGTGAAATGGTCAGGAAGTGAGACTTGAGAAGACCTCAGTCGCTGGTATGCAGCAAAAGCAAGAGGAATCCATGCACCTTAATAAGTTTGCCATGCGCGGGTGGAGCCTGGAGAGAGAATGGGGATGCGATGTGCGCTAACAGAGCATCCTCAAGAGTCGCTCGAACGGAGACGGAAAGAGATGGAGATGGACTACTCTGGAGACTGGTTGCTATACGAATGAGACTCGACTAATAATAATAATGATAAAGCCCCGAGGTGGACCCGGACCGCTCTTTGCTGCCACTCGACCAACGGCCAGGGTGAATTTCGGACATTATCAGGATGGGAGATCTGGCATCCCAGAAAGCAGACGTCTCACAATAATGAATCCATGCCAATGTATCCTGCTTGCTATTATTACATTGGATATTGATGAATATTGAGGCAAACAGCGGTGTTTTAGCGACTGCGTGAAGCCCGGTGGTTGGCTGCGGAAGAGCTGCCTCGACAACCGTTCTACTCCGGAGTATACGGCGATCTGCTCGGCATCTCATTTCCCCTTACCAATATTGGGCCTGGACGGGTTGACCTGTCTCTGACTCTCTGGACTTTTGTGCTGGTCCTGATAGTCTGCGATAGCACTGTAACACCGAGTTACACGATCAAGGGCGGTTCATGCAGGGATATCCATCCCTCTCCTGCTCTTCCGTGTCCGACTCATCATGACAGCATCCCCAGCATCCCTGCCACTCTAGACCGCCTTTTCTACCCCAAACCAGTCGCTCCTTGAGGCTTGGAGAAGTGGAAGACCATGGATCTTCGTGACAACCGGAGTAGCATCGACTATCATTCCCTTCTGACTCGGCCTTGATGTCAAGATGGACGATCCAGTGGCAAAGGCCGGTCGAGGTGAGTATACTCGACGAGACGACGACTGTACCACTCTTGAGGCGTGGACTGTGGACAGCATGATGACTTTCCCCTTCAGGCCGTCTCCATGTTCTCCCCGAGTCCACTCCTCGAAAGCGGTTGGCTCCAGCTCAAGCACAAGCGTCAGAAGAATCCTTCACATCCTGATTGGCGGCGTGGCTGGCCCACTCCGCTGGCCCTCTACACGCGACCGCGCCCACTCCCGTTCTGCTCCTCTCCACGACGGAAGCATTCAGCCGTTCATCGGACACCCTTGGGTCAACTGTTGCAACTTGCAACTCGCCAACACAAACATCACGAGGCTCACAGCACCATCCAATAAATGAGATAGCTGCATTCGGAATCAACTCGATGGTGGTCAGCAACGGCATCTCCCTTGCAAGGCCAAGAATAGCGGTCTACGACGCACTCAATCTAAACTGCCGAGGAGGCTGCCGTCCGTCTGAGGTAAAGTCCTCCGTGAGCCTTCTCGAATGGCCCACCCAATCATCTCAAAGCACGGCCGTTTCCAGGCTGACGGTTTCGATCCAGGTCGCCACCGGATTGGCCGTCGAACTCCTTATCGCAGCGCGCTGATTCGTTCTGAGCGTGCCCTGCCGAAGCACGGACAGCCGCCGAAGCTTTTTCGTGGCTGATTATGTAAAGACTCAAGAGATGCCTTGGCTTTCCCGAACAAGCCTAGCGACGGGGCATCGGGGTATGGAAGCCCTGCCGAATATTCTAGCGACCTATCAAATGAGCTTGCCCGAGTGGCCCTGGGCCACCGGTGACCGAACTTTCACCGAGCGATCTTATCAGACTAGTTGTTGCTATCACCGCCTCAATCTCGATGGGGACCTCGGCCCAGCATCAATCGACATGGGCCAAAGGGATGCTTCCGAAACATCAAAGTCGCCACCTCCTGAGATGCCCGAGGATGTTTTGCAGATGCAGCTGTGCCTACCGCTAGCTGCTGCCAGCCTCATTCACAAGCACCGCGCCAAGCCTGGAGAACCCCTGACCTTCAGCGTGTCTACCAAGTTGCCAAATGCCGGCAGATGATGCCCTATGACATTTAGCACAGGGATCAAAACAAGGCCGGATTGATTAACCTCCACATAGTTTATAAGCCGTCGAAAGCCATATGCAAGCCTCCATGTTAGGACGAGTCCAGAACTTGTTCTGAATGCTATTATCAACATTCAACAAGGCGTTTGACCTGTTAGGCGCCCGCTAAAGAAGCGCCTTATCTAAGTGGCGTTTCTTGCATATAGAAGCGCCCAGACCGGGTTTCGGATTCATGTCCCGGATAAAGATTCGATGATCAACTCGGTCGAGAAGAGTCAAAATCCATGACACTCTGGACACGAGTCGCAGTTCGTATGGCGAACTGATTGCGAGTCTGAAACATCTGATAAGGTAGATGTATACGTACGCCGCCGCGCCGCATTTTGTCTTCAGCCACAATGTCTCAGCCCAAATTCGTGCCTGGATGGATATCTCCGCGGCCAAATAAACTACTGCCAAGCAAAATATAGAACCGGCTATCATTGTACTCCATACACTTGTCGCCTCCCTCTGTGACAGGGCTCTCCACGCGCATGAGGTTGTTTGTATCAGAATATGAGTGTGCGAACTACGGCCATGCTCTGCATTCTTGGACATGCCAGGGGCGAACAGTGGGACGCCACATAACCACCCTGCAGTCTGATACCGAACCTGGCTTGCCAGGCTTGCGCGCGTGATGTTTGATCGAACTTTATCTAAGCTATGTGCATTATTATGGTCAGGCGGATTTCAAACCCTAACTTGACGCCTCCCCATTCTCCAATCCAGGGTCCTAGACCCTCGCAGCTGGGGGAACACAACATACCTATACTTCACATGTCGAACGTTCATTGCCATCATGCACAAATTATCGCTGCATGTATATGCGTTGTGGAAATGATTGGGGTGCCCTTTGCTTTCCACTTGCCATTAGTCGCTGGCGCATTCCGAGGTCACCGGTTTGGCATGGGAGCAAATAATATCATGAGGTCGGTGTGGCGATAGCATCTCTCAGCTATCAAGCTGGCATTCTCGTCGCTGAGTCTGGGTGATGGCCAGATTGCTGACCCCTCTCGAGGAGTTGAAATCTACGGTAGGTCGCTGTCTGCGTAGCATGTGCCCTGAATAGACATTCAACCCTCTCTCTCTCTCAAGGAGCACATGAAGCCATCACGAGTTCACGGCCTGGGTTTTCTACATGCCGGTCAACCCGGCTCTTGGGCCTTATTTGCCAAGAAATAAAGAGTCTCGGTATTGCCAATGGATCGTACCATTTACTTCGGAAGAGTGGTACACCAACGGTCATTTGTATATATTGATGTTTTGATGGTGCTGAGATCCAGGTCTGAACGCAAACAGTTGCCTATGTTTGGTTTATGCATGAAGAGTCATTGACACCGAGCCCAGCTGCATGAGAGAAGTCGTCATAGTATCGTAGCAATTTCGTAGGAAGCGTTACGTCCAGATTGGTCCGGGGTCGAGTGTATACCCGGATGCGGGCTGGGTAGCGTAGCAGACACTCCATGCCCGTACCACATGTAATCGCTTTATCAAACCCTTTGTACCGGCCGGGTCGATGATAAGAACCCTAACATTCGGATCCCTCTGTGGAAACCTTGGAAGACGGATAGCTGCACTACACCGAACCATGCCCTATACAACCATGGGATCTGGAATCTTGGAAACACCTTGGCAGACATCACCCCATAGCTCTACCCCTCATCCTCATGATATCAACATCAATACCCCAGGTCAATAAAAAAGCAACATCACCACCAAGCACTGAATCAGTTAATCGATCACAGATAACATACGACACAATCAACATGTCAAGCCCCCTCAAGCTCGCCATCTTCAGCACAAAGTCCTACGACAAAACCTACCTCTCAACCGCTCTATCAGCACACCCAACCCTCTCTTCCAAAACCGAAATAACCTACCACCCCTTCCCATTGAGCCTCGACACCGCCCCCCTCGCAGCAGGCCACACCGCAGTCTGCGCCTTCGTAAACGACACCCTCGACGCCCCCGTCCTCCGCACCCTCCACGCCTCCGGAACCCGCGTCATCCTCCTCCGCTGCGCAGGCTTCAACAACGTCGACCTACCCGCCGCCGAAGAGATCGGCCTCTTCGTCGCAAATGTGCCCAGCTACAGCCCCGAGGCCGTAGCCGAGTTCACGCTTGCGCTGCTCCAAACGCTGAACCGCAACATCCACAAGGCGTATAACCGGGTGCGCGAGGGGAACTTCAATCTCGAGGGGTTCCTGGGCATGACGTTGCACGGGAAGACGTTTGGGATCGTGGGTGTTGGGCGGATTGGACTTGCGCTTGCGAGGATTGTCCGTGGGTTCGGATGCAGACTGCTAGCGAGCGATCCGAAGCCCGGGATGTCGGGCGAGGAATTCAAGGCGCAGTATGGCGGTGAGCTTGTGGAGTTGGATACGTTGCTTGCGGAGAGCGATATCGTCAGTCTTCATTGCCCTCTTGTGCCGGCGACGCGGCATATCATTGACACCGGGAATCTGCGAAAATTGAAGAAGGGTGCGCTGCTGGTGAATACATCGCGCGGACCGCTGGTCAATACGAAGGCTGCGATTGAGGCGCTGAAGAGCGGGCAGTTGGGTGGTCTTGCGCTGGACGTGTACGAGGAGGAGGGCGCGTACTTCTACAACGACCACTCCAACGAGGTTATACACGACGACACGCTGATGCGGCTGATGACGTTTCCGAATGTGCTTGTTTGCGGGCATCAGGCGTTCTTCACGCGCGAGGCGCTGACGGAGATTGCGGGGACGGTGTTGGGGAATCTCGAGGATTGGGTTGAGGGGAGGCGTTGTGTCAATTCCTTGGTTAGCGAGGGGCATTTGGAGGTTCCCGAGGGGAGGGAGCCTGTTAGGATGTAGGTGGGTAGTTAAGTCTCAGTCAGTATTAGGCACTAGGTAGCATGTGAGATAGTAGATGGTATCCTGGTATATACAGCCTCGTTGGTAAACATTATATCAGAGCATGGAAGGAAGCACCTCAACAATGAATTAGAGAGAAGCCTCGAACTTTCCGTCCACCTCCTTGATCTTCTCGACGGCGCGCTTGTATCCGTCTTGCTTCTCGATGGCCTCGACAAAGGCTGCCGCATGCGGGTATTTCTCTTTCAATGGCATTCTCGTGTTTGCCGCAACAAGCGGAAAGCTCATCATGATATCGGCAGCGGTGATCTTGCTGCCGCAGAAGAAAGGTCCGCCACCAGGGGCAGACTTGAGCTGATCCTCAATAAAGTCAAAAGTACGCTCAAGGTTCGGCTCAACAAACTGCTGCTCAACCTGCCCAGCCACAATCCGAGGAATAGGCCTCAGGAAGAACGGAACACCAGGAGGTGATTTCATAGCTGCACCAGAGCCGTCAGCTACACCGAACCAGAAGCCAATCTTGCGGAAAGAACTCACTATCACAAACCAGCTTAAACACCAAAAACGGCATCAAGCTACCCTCGGAAAAATGCATGTAGTACCGATACCGCAACCACTCCTCCGTCTCCCCGCCAATCTGTCCCTCCTTGCCTTCAGCATACCGCTTCGGAATGAGCCTGTCTCCGCCAAAGTGATCGCAGAGGTACTCGATGATCATGCCGGATTCCGCGATCACAATAGGCTTGGGCGTCGCAGGGCTCTGCACGGAGATGACGGGTGATTTACCCAGCGGGTGGACCTCGCGCAGCTCCTTGGGCGCTTGCATGTCCTTGCCGCGTTTGAATGTCTTGATTTCATAGGGGACATTTAGCTCCTCGAGGAGCCAGAGGATGCGCTGGGAGCGCGATTTCTCGAGCCTGCGACGTGGATGTTAGCTGCTTGCTTCTGGATTCTGCCTGGGATGAGAGGGAGCGAACCAGTAGAGTGTGACTTTCGTCTCTGTTGTAGAAGCCATTATTGTATGTGAGTGAAAATATTGATATCGATTGTACCGCGGAAGAGAGTAAGTTTGGACAGGGGCCTGGGATTCTTATATCGATCCTCGCTCCATCACGAACCACTAATTTTGGTCCTCGGCAACTTGTGAACGATCGACTGCGTCATATGGTACGGTTGCCGTCAGACCTTCACGTTCATGCTGTTGCTGTGCTCTTGGCGGCGATCTATGCTCTCCAGGAACCATTATCACGAGCTCCTTTTGACATATACTCGGCTGTATTAATGCGCCATAGTTCAGGTGCATTGGTCGGGTCTCATCCACGGTGGAGGATCTCCGCCGCCTCCAATGAAGCCCGCGGGATTACCATCCCTCCGCGGCGCTCTATACTGCGGCTCTGGAGGGCCACGCAACGACAGCGGCTGTATGAATCTCTAGCAATGAGGCGGGAGGCAAAGCCACGTAGAGCGCCTCCTCGTATTCCATCAGAATTAATCTGAGTCCATGATTCAAGTAGTCACACGAGTAAGAAGCGCTTCAGTAGACAGCTGACTCAGCGCAACGCGCGGGGTCACATGACATTCAACTTCGTCTCATCGTCACCATTAACCGCATCGCATAAGGTGATCTCGAAGAACCAGATACTCAACTCACACCGCAACAATGGCCGGTCCTAGCAAGTGTAAGTGCGCTTGAGGAGCAATTGCACCCGGCCGCTAACTTATCCTCTTTACAGCCCTGGTCCTTGACCCGGCCCTGCAGAAATACTACGGTACGCTTCGACCCGATACACCCAGTCCCTATGACCCCGCGGAGCTCGCAGGAAACGCAATGAATTGTTCTTCGGACGCATAGAATAACGCTAATATTTCTATCGGGCTATAGAGGTCACCACAAACCGCTACAAGCACTTCCGCTGGACGCCCCGCACTGCATGGCACTCGCTGCTCTACATGGTCCTGATCCCGGCTTCCTTGGGCTATGTTGCTTACAAGACTGATGTGCGTCGTTTCCAATGCATTCCAGGATGGAGGAGCTGTGTTGCTGTGGTGATGGGACGATTGCGCTGACGGGTTGCATATAGGGCAAATACGATCTCCGTGGAAAGAGAAAGGGCGACACCATTGCTGAGTGGTAAATGTAAATAAAGAAAGGGATATGATGGAGTGTCTTTGAATTAGTTTCGGCCGAGGGGGCCTCTTTTTCGCGGGACGTTGTAACTTTCACTAGAATATACCGTATCAAGTCCGTTCAGTTTCCATGCTGCCATAAGTATTTAACTTGCATTGGGTCAAGAAAGATGCCATTCGTTTGACTGCATTGGATGCCTCCTTTTGTATCAGGGTATTCCCATCACCTGAAACTCCATATCACTAGTATACATTTCCCGTGGTGCACGGGGATACATCAATCAATACGGCGCCCATCCACCTCCCCTCCTCCCACCCCCATATCCACCACGTCCACCATCGCGATCCGGCAATCTCTCACCACGCCTCCAATCACCAGACGGGATACCTCGATCACCACCGCCCCTGCCTCCCCTGCCCCCTCGCCCACCACCAAACCCAACATCCCGGAACGCCCTCATCCCMCCCCCAATGCCCGGCCCCCGTCCCCCAGCAATCGGCGGCGCCACAGACCCATCCTCCAGCGGCGGCAAAATCGCACAGTCAACATAATCCCCAATAACAAAGCGCGCCTCCTGCAGCGTCTTCTCCGCATCGTTCCCCTGCAGCCTAAACGGTCCCCGCGGCGCAGGCGCACCGCTCCTCTCAGCCTCCTCATCACTACTCTCTCTCGGCCCAACAATCACACTCCCCAACTCCTTGCTGAGATATCTTCCGCGCGCGTCGGGGCCCATCATCGCCGCGCCCTTGGTGTCCGGGTAGATGAGGCGGAAGCAGAGTCTCGTCCCGATTGGTGGGTCAGGTAATGCCTTGGGCAGCGCGGATGTGAGCAGCTGCGAGAGCTCGCGGAGGGTGCAGGATTGCCAGGTGTAGATTTGCAGGTGTGCTGGGAGGGTTGGTGGTGGTGGGGGCGAGCGTGTGCGGATTGCGTTGGGGCCGCTGACGGGACCGCTGAATGAGTGTCTTGAGGAGGATTGGACGGAGAAGTCGGAGAGATTGTGGTAGGTGTTTTGGCGGTAGAAGAGCTTGAGGTGGAAGGGGGTTGTAGCTTGTCGGTCGATTTTGGGTTTGGGGTCGCGGTTCGCCATGGTTGGGAGCTTTTGCTGATGAACGGGTGTGCTTTTTTGGAGGTAAAACTAGGATTAAAGTACGCAGTAGTATTAAAGACAGTAAGGGACTTCGATAATTGCCCGTCAGTGCGGTGATTGGTGAAGCAGTGAGGTGTTGTAGAGTTATGAAGCGGTTGAAGTTGAGTCGATCACGAGAGCTCTTCTCGACCGCCGGAAACAAGTCCAGCCTCTACCTCCGCCTCCGAAGTCACTTTCTACGCCAACGATCTACACACCATTACCTTCGATATACAAAGTTCGACCTAGCACACCACTCAGCGCATTATTCCAGGTCGATAGTCATGGATTTCGCCGCGTTGATGTCAAAAGAAATAGCCAAGGCGAAGGGTTCAACGACCCCAAGCTCAGGCTCAGAACAAAACGGCGCAAAGCCGCCACAAAAGAAGTATGCCCGTCGCGCAGACGAAGAAGCAGCCCGGATACAAGCCTACAAGGAAGAACAAGCAAGATTAGCAAAAGAGCGCGAGGAACGACAAGCGCAAAAGCGCAAGCTGGAAGAAGAAGAGACAGAGCGACGACTAGAGCGAGAGGAGAAGAAGCGACGGCTTGCGGAAGAATCACGCAAGAAAAGAGAGGAAGAAGAAGCGGCGCAAGAACGCGAACGACGGAAGCGAATCGGACTGCCTGAGGTGCCCCCGACGCCTAGCGAGAACGAGACGCCTGAGACGGAGGGAGACGGGAAAGAGGATATCAGTGAAGAGGATCTTACCAAAAAACTTCGGGAACTTGGGGAGCCGACCTGTCTATTCGGGGAGAATCACCGCGCTCGATTACGGCGGTACAGGAAGCTGCTTGAGCGTTCTCTGGAAACTCAGAAGATGTCCGATGGGTCCATTCCAACGACGCTGGAGCCGGTTCCTGAGGTGGACATGAAGATTCCGACGGCGGTGCCTAAGGATGCTGAAGGTCGGCACTTCTTGTTCCGCCAGCTTGCTTCATACTTCAACATGGTGCTCTTTGAGTGGGAGCTTGCTCTTGCCAAACGAGATGTGTCGGTGAAGCAGAGTCTGCAGGGACGACAGGCATACAATGCGATGGTGCAGTCGCGAGAGAATATGACGCCTCTCTTCCGCAAGTTCGAGAAGGCGGATGTTGACGATAGCGTGCTCGAGCATATCGTAGAGATTACCCATAAAGCTCAGCTGAGGAGATATGTTGATGCTAATGATGCTTATCTCCGATTGAGTATTGGAAAAGCGTACGTCCTGCTTGTCCTTCACTTGAACTCTATGATACTAACAATCCACAGAGCATGGCCTATTGGGGTTACCATGGTGGGTATTCACGAGCGTTCAGCACGAGAAAAACTGCATCAGGGCGACAAGCAAGCGCATATCCTCAGTGACGAAAGCACACGCAAATATCTTCAGAGTATCAAACGCTGTCTCAGCTTTGCTCAGACCCGGTGGCCACCAGACGACCAGCTGCAAATCATGGGTTAAGAAGCGCGAACACCGAACCTCGAATTGGAACCAAAATACCCTGCTCTATTGAGAAACTGTCTTGCCCATTATATTAGCTATCGACATGGCGGCCAACTGCCAAATATGAATGCGAACTATACAATTGAATAGACTCTAGGTCTAGCATATATCTATACAACGTGAAACGTGGACTTTCATCATCAAGCCATCATTATACCCCTGGCCACCCCAAGACTCTTATCAGCCAAGCCCATATCCGTTTCGGTGCGCCCTTTGCAGGTTCAGATGACGCAACCGTGTGGTTGTCTTGGTCTGAGCAAAGGTGACCATTCCTAGGATAGACATCGTGTCCGTCGATGCCACGCATTACGCCTATGTTTAGCTCCTGCTTTGAAATATGGGTAGAGCTGGTTCTCGGGGTGTCACTCCCAGTAAGCTCATCAATCAGTTTCCCAGCTGCCTGCACACAACTTCCGTATGCAAATCGAATGAGGGAATCACCGGTCAGACTACCGATAATGAAAACGTCTTTCGCAATCTCAACGTTCTCTATAGCCTTGCTTCGCAAGGTCTGCCCGGATATTGTAGGATTCGCCTCTCCTGTATCGTCAGAGCCGATCACCTCACGCAAAAGGCTCTGATTTATGTAACCCAGGCTGCCTCGTCGACCGGTAGCATACACCATTCCGCGCACTGGCCGGGAAAAGGCAGTCCCGTCCGGGCGGCGAAAGGTCACAATTGCCATCTCGTCCTGTGGTTGTACGTCAATAATTTCGGTATTTGGAAACCCTTCATAAACATCTGCCCAATGTCGACTTTCGAGAAAGGGAGATGAAGTCGCTCGCAGTGGTTTAACACGTCTCGACGAGTTGGGTTGCGCTGCTGCAGCGGCACGGCGCATCAATCGATAAACGCCAGCATACTCGGGGTATGCGTGCTGATGGCAACCGCGCAAAGGCGAGGGTCTGTTCTCGGGATCCCATTTGAAGATATGAATGATCCTCTGGTTTCCCGGCGCTGAAATGATCACATCCGCTGCAGAGAAGCCGGAGCCGATAACAAGTAGTGGCGTTTCCGGGACCGGTTGAAGAGATGTGAGAGGCCTTAGGAGAGGACGTGGCGGCAGAACTTCGGAAAAGATACCGCTAGCCAGGACTAGATGTTTGCAGCGGATATTATGCGATCGGATGAAGAACCCGTCTCCCTCACGTGTGACTCCCCATACGTCTTCGTTCGAATAAAAGGCGTCATCAATCCCGACGGCTTCGGGATACGCCCGAAAATAATCCGCTGTCTCCTGCCTACTCGGCCGGGTGTACGCGGGGAGGTCTTTACCCGTTGTTTCACGGTAATGGTCAGCGATAGAGTACCCGGGTAATGAAAGCATTGACGCATAGCTCAGTGTCTGGATCTCCCAGCTCGCAGGCATCGGGTTCTCGGTCCATTGGCCGCCGGGTCGCGGCGCATTTCCGAGCACTTTGTGAGGGACAGCTTTCTTGGGCTCATATCGCCATTCCAGATTGGTAATGCTTTGCAGTTCCTCAACGTCGACGCTTGGACATACAAGCGTGTCCAGCAGTACGTTTACTGGTAGAGCTTGGGTGGAATATGAGAGACGTGAGGCTGAGAAATGCTCAGTTAATGAATCCACGTCAGCCCCCAAAAGCGCCGGCGCATCCTTTAACTTTGCGTGCAGTAGCGGATCGGGATGCGGGTGCTGAGACGAATAATAAGGAAGATGGCCATGAAGGATGTAGGACAGTATCATGGCAGACGGCCCGTTGCCTAAAGAATCCTCGGGTCAATAAGCATTCCCATTGGCGAGAAGGGGACATATTCTTGTGCACAGCCGGCAAACCGCCGGCAACCAGGTATGGCGACATACCGATAATAATGGTGTCAGTATCCATGGAAGGCTTATATACAACCCCCAGCAGCCCGGTCAGCGCGGGGCATGGGCTACGCTGAGAGGATATGCGGAGAACAGAAAAGTCAACGCAAAAGCTCGAAAACCAGTACTGCCCTCGAGCGAAGGGAGGATAACTGGGCGGCCATCGAGAGATTTCGTCACATTAGGAAAAGAAATGAGCTATGGCCTGACAGCAGGCGGAGGGGAGTTGGAGACTCGGCGAGAGAGTGGGAGGGACCAATTCCGCATCCGGGCGCGGAGACTGCTGACAAAACAGGGACGTTTTTCTCAGCGGAGAGGAGCCTTGCAACGGGGCCGTTAATCAGGACAAGATGCTCGATATCCCGACAGGCGGTTGAGGCTAGAACATGGGTCTTGTACTCTGGTTGGATCCCGGACCACGGACCACACAGTGTGGGAAGCTTGCGGCGAGCCGCCAGCGCTCTGGATCATCATTGGGGGGCGAATATTCCCATCACCTCATCAGCCTCAAATCAAGAAGAGCCTTTGTAAACTTGCTTTTGCAGGGTATACTCCGTAGCCAAGGCTGGTGATACGAGAAGACTGCAGTCTGCATGCCGGCCATGTCCACTGCATCCTTCGCTGGATCCGAGTCCGCCGGTAAGAATGAAGTCACCGCCGTGATTAATAATCATCTCGTGCGGGGTAAGTATGATGTCCGTTTAAGGAAGGTAGGGCTGAGGGCTAGGGTCTTAGTCAGCACCATGGCCTACCTTCCAAATACGGGTAAGGCTGACGCGTGCTGGGTGCCTTTCGGTCTTGGAACAAGTCCGAGAAGCGAACAGGACAGCAGAAGAAGAGAATGGCTCTCATATTGCTATGAATCTCTCACTCTATACGCCTATACACCAGCTCCGATCCCTACACTGAGGCTGCGCCGTTGGAGCTCCGGGCAAGCTGCCCGCTGCAGTACAAGATGTACCATCTAGCTAAGTCGCTGTATATGTACGCTACCAGCAAAGAGGGTACGCCGCATGCTATCGCAATTGTTGACTTCTACTAACGTGGGCCCAATCTACTAGAATACTCCGTCCTCCTTCTCGGCCTAGACAATGCGGGCAAGACTACGCTGCTCTCCCAGATCAAAGCCCTCTACCAGCCTCGAGCTGACGGCACGTCCGCGCCCAATCCCGGCAAAACCGTACCTACGGTCGGTCAGAATGTCAGCACAATATCCCTACCGGACATGTACTTGAAAATCTGGGACGTCGGCGGGCAGATATCCATGCGGAACCTATGGCAAAGCTACTATTCTAGCTGTCACGCGATCGTTTTTGTGGTGGATAGTACGGATGTTGGACAGAATCCTGATATCACGCGCCTACCTTCCTTGTCAGCGGCGACCGGTAGCTCTCGGAAACCATCGACTTCAAAGCATGGCACAGGGGCGGCGGATGCATCGGCGGAAGCGGAAGTGGACGGCGACGGCGATGGTGACGATGACAGCGCAACAACTTTCGCCGAACAAATCGCCGGCATCAATGCTGCGGGTAGTGACTTTGGCCGACTAGACGAGTGTCGTCAGGTGCTGGAATCCGTGCTTCGCAATGCCGACGTCGCAGGTGTGCCAATCCTTGTCCTGGCGAATAAACAGGATCGGGAAGACTCTGTGGAGGTTGTCCGGATCAAGGAGGGGTTCGTGCGGAAGGTATTCGAGGGAGAGGCTGGTGGAGTCGTGCGTGATAGTCGTGTTCTGCCTATCAGTGCCCTGATGGGGTCAGGGGTGCGAGAGGCTGTTGAATGGGTGCAGAGTCGGGTGAAGTGGAATAAGGAGGGGAGACCGCCCGTTATGAGGTGATCAATACGTTGATTATTTTTATCATGGCATTCTTGTCTCATAGCTTGTTTGGCGCTGGGGTTGGCTTCTGTTTTCTTGTTCTGCGAAGATACCTAGATAGTTTGTTCTATATTCTCGATTTCTTCCAATCAAAGCGATGGGCGTAACTAGTCCCACAGGCTAATATGGCCAAAGATAATACGGAGTACATCAAACATCTTGAGGTACTGCACTATGGCTTATCCGGAGTCGGTCGGTCCATGGGATGACCGAGTTTGTGCCTCATATTGGAGACTGCATCCTACCACTATTGGCCATCACCCCGCCTCAGGCCTAGGTTCGAATCGACCAATCCATCCAGGTGAAGTCATCGTATCATAACTCACCATACTCACAGTATGGCTTGAACTCTTCCACTTTATCGCTCATGCTATATGATCTGATCATGAAGTCAGCCATGGCTGGTTGACGTCACGCCTAACCATGCGCGTTAGGGCTATCGCTATCCGCATATATATCACTAACAGTACCAGCTCGTCGAGAGTTTGGATCCATACATTAATACTACTCGACACTAAGAACTGATATTCTTGACGCAAATTAAACGAGAAACATATACATTCACAATGAGCCACCTTAGCAACGTCCCAAACCAGAAGCAGGGCGAGTTCCAGCCCGGCCCCAAGCCGTCCGGCGACCACCAGTGGCCCAATGGACCCTGGCCAAATGACAAGGTAAGCCTGAATTCGAACACCTTACCGATATTACAGCGTGCCAACCCCCATCCGCAGCATGCCCCCGGCGTAAAAGCCACCCCAGCAGATAACGTGCCGGAATTCCACGCCCAAACCCACCCACCGGGCACCGCACCCGCCGGCAGCTCCTACCAGCCCAACCCAATCGACCACAGCGGCGAGCAGGCCATGAACCCCAATGTGCTGCGGAGCCATGGCAAGGAGGGTGTGCGGACCACTGCGGAGTCGACCCTTTGGGGCGCGACCTCGAAGGATGTGCACCAGCGTGCGGGACACCCTGGTACTGGACAGAGCAGTGCTGAGCTGCGCCATGATGGGCAGCATACGAACAAGAACCCTGGACGTGGGTTGGAGGGGGCTATGAAGGGTGTGAAAGATGACTTTGGTTCGAGGACGGAACAGATTCTCTCCAAAAAGCCTACTGCTGCCGAGGGCAGCCATGCGGAGGGTTCCCGCCCTTAGGTATGGGATGAATGAGTTATTTATGTGTAATCTTGTGATATTAGCATCAGAGTGTACAATAACTTGAATGAATTGGAAATAGTGGGTATCATTGTGACCGAACTGTAGGGAATAAACAAATGTAAGGTGGAAATTAGGAAATCAAAGCAGGACGCTCTCTTTCACCTTTAGGTGCTGTGTGTCCGTTCGCTTCCTGCAGTTTCCTAGGCCAACTTCGTGCGATGTCAATGTTTGCTCGAGGAAACCACATTTCAAGAAAGGTGTAGAGTAAGAAGTCGACCACAACGCAGAGGCAGAACAACTTTCCGGCCCAGACTCCGCACCCATAATACCTCTTCAATCGGTCAATCAGGCTGAAGTTGCGTACTCTATCGCCGGCTTCCTGGATCTCTCCGGGGTAGTAACCGTAGAACTCCTGTGGGCTAATATCGCCAGATATGCCTTTGTATACACGCTCTGTCCGACGTGCTACGTCCGTCCACGAATACATGACTTTCACCTGGTCATGGAACCGTTCTGTCCGGACCCTGTTGGACCGCAATGCGCTTATTGCTTTGCTGGTAGCTAGCACAATATCGTCTTCTTCCGGTTTCGCAAAGGTTGTCATGTGTTGAGGAAGAACCTCGGGGATGCCACCAACACGCGTGCACACCACGTACAGCCCACAGCTAGCGGCTTCGACGATGACCGTCCCAAAAGCCTCAGTCAAGCTGGGATGTAGATAGATGTGGCCTCTGACCATGACATCTCGGACTTCTTCGTGACGGATAGCCCCAAGCATTTCTACTTTGTCTTGAAGAACGTTTCGCTCCAGCATCTGCTCCAAGTCGATGGCCTTGGGCCCTGAGCCGGCGATGATGAACCGTACATTCGGATGAGACGCAAGAATTCTGGGAATGGCAGCTATCAGGAGATCAGTGCCCTTGTTGTAGAAGAGACGCGAGATTACAACGATAGTGATGATATCGTTCGGACCAATTGGCCTCGGTGGGGGTTGTATCTGTGGCGTCCCGCCGGACGGTCGCTCATTAGCCCGTGGAGTGGCATGTATTGGTCGAAAATTCTCCGCGACGACAGCATTAGGAATAACAGAAACCATTAATGGATCCAATGAGGCTCGGAGGACGGTGTTTTCTTTGCTGCAGACAGCGTTAGCCTGACTTGCCTATGCTGGTAGCATGCCTAAGCTCACCAAGTATGGCTGACACATATAACATGGTCAACATCACTCAGTGTGAACTTCAGCAGTTTGTTGGTCAAAATGGACCCGGCGTCAGCAAAGCCGAACAACGAATGGTCAGTAAAGGCAGTCCGCAGACCCATTGTTCGCGCATGCAGAATAGCCTCGTGGCAGAAACTACTCAGACTCTGATGCCCATGCACGATCTGAATCTGCTCTCGAATAACAATGTTCCGGAAGATAGGAAAGAAAGAGAAAACCGTCGGCATTGTTGTCTCTCGATATATGACCAAAAACGGCACATGATAGACTTTGAGGCCGTTAGTTAGATACCGGACACCCGTGCGACCCTTGTAAGCATGGGTGATGATGATGACTTTATGCCCCCGGTCAATGAGTTTCTAGCGTACTATGAGTATAGATCAACAATGCAAGCTTAGGAGATGCTTACTGTCGACAATTGATAAATGTGACTCTCAACCCCCCCTGGAATGTTTAGCACGCAGCTGGAGAGCTCTTGGGTAAACGTGACCAACCTGGTTGGGGGAAGAAAAAGTCACTGACCATGCTGAGGACGATATAGTTAGCAGCATATCTCGGCCAAGCTTCGGAGTACTTACGCAATGTTGTAAGGCATGTTGGCGGTTAAAACAGCCAGGGTTTTATCAGGGAGCAATGCACATGTCAGCCAGATAATGTTGTGTCCGGGAACCAATTCCTGTCCATCTTGCACGCAGCGACGGCAGAGAGCAAGAATGCTTCGTCATTAAAGGAGACACGCTTGATGCTTTGGCGATCTGCACCTTGAGAGTCCAGACCCTGGCGGTGGGCCAGGCGGTGCCGATTCTGCCCAATCTATTCCCCGCTAAAAATTATTTGGAGAAGCTTTTTCGCGATTGAAGAAGTTGCGACCGGCTAGAATAACGGGCAAGTCGCACCGGAAATACGTCAATCATGGCCGGTGATCGAGCAATCAGTCATGATATCTCAATGAATCAGTCACCTAAACCGACGAGCGAAAAGAAATCCCATAAGAGGAAGAGAGACCTCGATGGCTCCACCGTCGCTTTGTCCACGCCGACGAAGAAATCAAAGAAGGATCGAAATGAACCCTCTACGCCGGCTTCGCCCAAGGAAAGCAAGAAGCGAGAAAAGCGGTCTAAAGCGGTCACTGTCGATGAGGTTCCGAAAGAGTCGACCAAGAAGAAAGGTGCTGTTTCGCCGATCAGTGACAAAACGAAGTCACCAGGTAAACATGGCGACAGCAAGCCAAAGAAGAAGAAACGAAGGACACCAAAAGACGATAGTGACTCGGATGCAAACCCTGCAGATTCAGTAAAGGAACCCAAAAAGCTGAAAGACTCGGAAGAAGCCGACGACGAGGATTCGACGAAGGCGAAGAAGAAGCACAAGCGGTCGCAAGCTGCGGAGCACGCAAACGGGGGTGATGATGAATCGAAGCGGACAAAAAACAAGTTCGCTGGTATATTGTCGAAGTTCGAAAGGTCTGCGAAAGTTAAGAAAGCCGCAGAGAAGGAGGCTCCAGAGGATGAGAGCCCGGTTCAAGACGAGAACGCTGCTGAGCCGGTTATAGCGCAGGGATTAGAGCCAATTCCCCAGCCTAAACCCGTGCTTGAAGAGACCGAGAAGCCTACTTATTCTTCACTTCCGCCCTGGCTAGCGAATCCGATAAGGGCATCGGCCGAGACGAGAACCAAATTTTCCGACCTTGGGATTGAACCCAAGCTTCTTCGCGTGCTTGAGAGCAATGGATACGAAGAGGCTTTTGCTGTTCAGTCTGCGGTCATCCCACTTCTTCTAAAGGGACCTAAGAATCATACCGGAGATCTCTGCGTTTCAGCTGCTACTGGTTCCGGAAAGACCCTTTCTTACGTTCTTCCTCTCGTCACTGAACTGGAGCAGATCCCCGCTCCCCGATTGCGAGGACTTATCGTGGTACCGACCAGAGAGTTGGTCAAACAGGCTCGGGAGGCCTGTGAATTCTGCACGGCAGGAACTGGTCTGCGTGTTGGATCTGCAGTGGGGAATGTTGCCATCAAAGACGAGCAGAGGACTCTAATGCGAATTGAGCAGGTCTATAGCCCTGAAAGTGTCAAGGCAAGGCGGAAGGCAGAGCTGACAGGAGAGGAATGGACTAACTTCAGTCTGCAAGACTACATATCTAGCACAACCGATCTGGGCGAGACGTTACCGGGTTATGTTCATAAAGGAGAGCCTAATGTTGATATACTCATCTGCACACCTGGTCGTCTAGTGGATCATATCCGTTACACGAAAGGCTTTACTCTGAAGCATCTTCAGTGGCTCGTCATAGATGAGGCAGACCGATTGCTCAACGAGAGCTTCCAGGAGTGGGTTGATGTTGTTATGCAATCACTTGATGCACGCAAGGCGCCAGATGCGTTTGGCTTAAGTGGGCAGTTTTTGACGGACCTCGGGTTGCCTTTGGAGACTCAAGATCCCAGGAAAGTGGTCCTGAGTGCCACCATGACCAGAGATATCTCAAAATTGAACTCTCTGCGGCTCACGAATCCACAATTAGTCGTTGTTGGCGCCACTGATCAGCCTGTCACAGGGGACGATGTGAGTGGAGTGGTTGTCGGCGCAGATGAACGGTTTACCCTTCCGACGACATTGAAGGAATACTCCGTTGCTGTTGGAGATGGGGAGCATAAACCACTGTATCTCCTGCGCCTTCTCTTATCCCAAATCAAGCTCGATGTTCCCTCTACTGCGAAGCGTGCGATTCGGGCTGCATCTGAGTCCGAGGAGACTAGCTCAGAAGGGACCAGTTCGGAAGGAACCAGCTCGGACGAGTCGTCATCCGACGACACGTCTTCTGATGAGTCTAGCTCTGAAGACTCCGACTCAGATTCTGACTCCGATAGCTCGGATGATAGCTCTTCGGATGAAGAATCGGACGACTCGGACAGTAGCTCCGAGTCTGAATCTGACGACGAAGAGCCTGCTCAAAAACCATCCAACCCAACCTCTCCAAGAAAGACTGTTCTGATCTTCACCAAGTCATCTGAATCTGCCTCCCGTCTCTCACGCCTCCTAACTCTACTCGAACCATCACTCTCCAACCTCATCGGCACGATCATCAAATCAAACAAGTCCTCAGCATCCCGCAAAACCCTCAGCGCCTACCGACAGGGCAAGCTTTCCATCATCATCGCCACGGATCGTGCATCACGTGGTCTAGACCTCCAATCCTTGACGCATGTCATCAACTACGACGTCCCAGCAAGCATTACAACCTACGTGCACCGTGTCGGCCGTACTGCTAGAGCAGGAAAGGAGGGATCAGCCTGGACGCTCGTTGCCCACAGGGAGGGCAGATGGTTCATGAATGAGATTGCCAAGGGTGCCGATGGCAAGATCACTAGGGCTGCGAAGATCGAGCGGGTTCCTATGAAGCTGGACAACGCCAAGGAGCTGAAGTCAAGGTATCGATCTGCGCTGGAAGTCCTTGAGACTGAGGTGCGGGGAGTTGGGCCGAAGAAGGCCGCATCTTAGGTTTATATCCTTGAGTCGTTCTGTATAGAGATATCCAATCATATATACTGGTTTAGCGATGCTGACAGTTTTTTCGCTCACCACCTGCTGATCATACTTCTTCGCCCTTCTAGATAAAAGCCCCAACAATGGGTGGTTGTTGCGGCGTATATTGTGGAGATGTAGAAGGTGTAGTTTGGGTTTGGTAGAGATACGTACGAAACGGTACAAGGGGCTGCCAACGTCGCTGATATTCTCACTGGTGGTGGTCTTTCTTCCTAGGGGATTGACGCGTTTCAATGTGAAATGTCCCGCTTTTGTAGCGAGCATCGATTCTTACGTCTTGCTCTGCCTTGAAACTATCTTCACCAATAAAAGCACTACCCTAAATGGCAAGGAGTATTGGTACTATCGTCACGCTCAGCATTGTGGATGGCTAAAGATAAGATACGACCATGCGAACCCCGAGTAGAAGGAGTAGGAGTTTTTGGAAACAATAAGAGATCACGAGAAAGAGAGCAACTGTCTCACTGCTCTGGCGAGCCACCATTTCGATATAACCACAAACGACTGACTTCCCTGACTTTCACTGTTTGAGTAATACTCGAACCGTCCGCAAACGAACCTGGGATCTCAATTTCCGTGTCCATAAATCGGTTTGTATCTAGAACCTTGCGGTCTGGCCCAAGAGGAAACATGGTGCCCAGGTAATGCTGGTTGAACATATGACCAGAGCCTTCCCGGACGAACACATGACCCATGAAGCGATTTGGTATGTTGCTAAAATTCAACACACCCCAGAGACTGACAAAATCTCGCGCATTGGCGTAATGCTCGATGTGCAGGATTGTCTTGTCAGTGTTCTCATTGGGTTGCTGGATTTGCGGAAGTATGGTATCGGAATTGTCCTTCTGGGTTCTCGGAAGGGCCCTGTACGGGTTGTTGAAGTGATTAGCGGCGTTGCCAAAAGTATATACTTCCAGTTTGCGGAGGAGGCCTTGGGGGAGCTCATCGAGTAGCCAGTCTATGATTAGGCCTGCTTCTATCCCTCCCTGGCTGTGAGTTATCAGGACCACTTTGGTATAGTCAGGGTTCAGCAAAGCGGCTCTAAGCAGAGTGTAGGCCTCTCGGACGTCCTGGGTTGCGTAAGCAAAGTCCCTTTGGATTAGACACTGGATAACGTCGAACACGAGGCCGGTTCTGGTCGAGGTCAATCACTCCAATCCAACTCGAGTAGGCACCAGCGTTTGGACATACGAGGGGTTGTGTACACCAGTAATCTTCCGCCCGAACGTGTATGCTAGGCGATCAATGTTACTCTGAAACCATGTCTGCCTAGATTAATAAATGTCAGACTCTGCAATAGTCGTATATGGGGAAAGAGCACATACCCACAAGCGATACCGTTGATATAAACCCAGTGCTCATGTTGATGCTCTGGGGCGTTATCCTCGGGGTATTTGGACTCCAAAACGCTGATGTTTCGATTAAGAAACTGCTCGCAAACAATGCTATTAAGCCAAATGAAGCCACCTATATAGATGCATACCCAGAGGGCCGGCACCATGCAAATGACGAGGATCGGTATCGAAAGGAGAAAGAGGATCTGCACCACGCTTAGAACGACTTGGAACACGAGATTGGCGATATTGGTGAACGTGGGGTGAAGCTCATCCAGGTCGTTAGAATGGCGATGTCTCAAAGGAAGGAGAAGCCATGGAATCGCCCAGGAGGAGCGGAGGACAAGCAGGAAGTCTTCCCACATCAGGCTCCATGGCGATGCAGTATACGGGAGCGGTTTGTCTGATACTCCAGATTGTGAACGGAGGATTGTTGCAACCATGACCGCGAAATAGAATAGGTAAACGAGACTGTGATGATAGAATTGTCGCCAAGTAAGAAGAGAGGGAATGGACAGATGGGATAAGTAGATGGGATGGAAAAGAAACAAGGCGAGTTCGCGCGTGATGCGATCATTTGTTGCTTGTTTCTGTTCAACCAACGGCAGCGGCGCCTTCCATCCCAACAACCCCATCCCAAACTTTCTCTTCCTCCACCCCAGCTTCAACTCTTACGGTTTTCCATAACAGGAATCATGAGACGCAATATCAGACGCTAGAGACTTATTAAAGAAATAGTCCTAGGTCACCGGTATGCCTCCTTTGAACTGGCTCAACCAGCCAACGCTGGCTGAGCACACACAAAGAACCCGGTATAATGGGCTTTTGTGCTATCAGACGACTGCTTCTAAGAGTTCAAACAAGTCAAGCTTGGGTCAAACAAGGAGCCCCGACAAGTATAAACAGCGCTCGCTCCACGTTCGCGCAATGGCGGCCGCTTTTTATCCCACCCAATTCATCTACCGGCGCGGAATACAACGAGAAAAAGAATCAACATACCGTGATAGGGATATCTGAACAATCCCTCCGAAATGCCATACCGGGACTCCCTGGCATTTCTGAAAAGCCAGAAATATTCCCTGACCATGCCTGATCTCAGTGATGACGACTTGCGAGCACTAATTGAAGCCCTGGCTATAGAACCTCCGCGAGCTGCCCCTCCCCTGTACGGAGAAAACACTAAGCAACGAATTCAGGAAGCTATCAGGAAACTCCCCTCGACGCTTCGCAAGAAGACACTGATCTTCTCCCCGTCAGCCCCCGTCCCCACTGCAACCCTATGCACCATCCACAAGCGCCTGAATCACGATATAATCGGCCATATCTTCAGGCTGATCCAAAGGGAGGTGGAAGACCATCTGGAGATTATCACCCAACGGTACCCCGGATACCCGGAGAGCCTGCCGCCCAGGGCTTTGGAGTTAGTACGCGATTTGCAATCGCTTCGGGGAATGTGGAGGAATCTCGGCGCCAGTCGCCGTGACCCCCCATTCCAGCAAAACCAATGTGAAGCGTGTATGGTCTCCAGAGTTATTGCGGACCAAAATGCCCTTCGAAACCTTCGTGCAGCACTCCTTAGCCGAACACGAGAACGGTGCTCATATCGACCTCCCCCAAAGCTGTCCCGCTTCGTTGAAGCAGCACTATATAACCGACATGGCGAATTAATACAGTCGCTTATACCAGAAAGCAAGGAGCTCTCCGCGGAATTGAAGCGAGCCCGAAAGGACGCGGCTCGTCGCAAATCACGCCGGCACTCACGGAGATGTGATGGCACCAAATGTGAGCCTCGTGAGGCATCACAACTTGTATTTGACCACCAGCTTCTTCATACACCCTCCGATGAATCACCCAGTAAACTAACCCCTAGTCTCAATACTAAACGCCGGCCAAGCTCTCAAACCGTTAACTTCTGCCTAGTCCCAGAGACGATACCCTATACCGTACCATCGTTCGAACTAGCAAGGAAATACCAGGAAGAGCAAGAATTCGAGGAACAGCGCAAACTACAGGAATTACAGGAGGCACTCGTCTACGAGATCATCAATGCCTACCTTGGCTCTCGGACTTCAAGCATAGCAACCACAACCGCCCTTACTCTGAACAGTCGAACTTCTTCGTGCATTTCTCCGACATCCAAAGCCAGAACTGACCTACCAAGTCGCACCCGAAGTGACTCCCTCATTCCAGAGCTGTCCGACTGGGAGGATGACTGGGATGAAAGGCCCATTACTATCCAACCCGGTAGCCCCGCCGTCAGCCAGCTGATGAACCAAATTGGAAATATGGTTGTCAGGAGTGAAGGCTGGGCTGAGCCTGAGCCTCCTTCATTCCGAAGGGCAATCGAGATAGTCACGCCGCCCAGCCTAAATCAGTCGACAGCAAGTGAGTATTCAGAGAGGGAAGCAGACCGCAGCGGTTGGTATCCCTCAGATGAAGAGAGCGACGCAGAGACCATTATTGATCTACGAAAAGGATCTGAAGCAACGACATGGAGCATGTTCACGGATGAGACAGATCTATCAGGCATATAGCGGTAATCGAACATGACATATAGGGCCAGGATTTCACGATGAATGAGTTATGACTAGAGATCAATTTGTCATTAATACTATCGCATTTATTAGATTCGAGCATCAAATGAAGTCTGTCTTCAAGGCCACCAAACCGTAGAGAGAGAACACAAGATGAAGAATGGTTTAGATGAAATATTGAATCATGATTCTCATATCCACTTCCACCCAACTTCCACTAATTATAAGTAATCCACAAGCAAAAAGATAATAATTACCTAGACATCATTGTACAGAGCATACTCTTGAAGCAGCCGTAACGCCCGAGAATTAATACAAAGTATTCGGTACAAACCCAAGAAAAGAACACCCACAGTGCCGAGGAGACGACCTGCAGCTCCAACAACTGCGACGGCGGGTTCGAGAGAAGCGAAAAATGTGAAGAAAGAGGAACAACCCGGTAGGAGTATGTTCCGAGATTAGAGGACACTGCTGGGCACGCCGTGGTTAACGCCCTTCAGCGAATCAACGCTCGGCGAGAAGCTGGCAGTCTTCTTGCGTAATCGGGTTCGTGCATCCCGATCAGTAGGTTCCTCGGGCGACACAATCGCAGCATCTCGGCTGGGCTGGGAAAAATCCGATGAACTGTTCTCCGCATCCGATGACTCTGGTTGCGCTGCACCCTCGCCAAGCTTCTTCTCGGCAGCTTCCCGAGATCGTTCATAGCGGAGCTTTACCTCGCCCTTCCATTGAGTGTTGAAGAGGCGATCCCAGAACGTGAAGAACGGTTGAGAGAAGTTCGTCTTGATACCCCAGCTTTGGTGGTGGATATCATGGTAGGCAGCGTTGTTCGAGGTGGCATGCTGGAGGGGATCCCAAGGGAAAGCGTAGCCACAGTGATCATCGACAGTTTTGATGGTGGAGAAGGTGAAAAACCACATGCTCTGGCGATGGGTCATGCCGGAAGTCAGGAAACCAATTCCAGCTCCAACGGTGTCCAAGAGAAGACCCTCTACAGGATGGTTGTAGAGAGCACCATAGGCGTAAGGAACGTATAGGCGGTGGTGACGCGAGTGGAACTGGACTGGAGATCAATCAGTGGGGTGTTCCGCAACAAATATAAACCCAGGTCTTACCATAAAGCCAACGGTTTAGATGCATTGCACGGTGAAGGAAGTACTGCCATGTGTCCACGACACAGATACCCCAGGTAAACTGCAGCGCCGGAATGAAATACCAGTAGATAAAAGACGCTAGAGACAATTCCCAGCTGGTAAAAGCGGGCACCATTGTTTCAATTCCATTTGCAGAGGTAATTGACTGGGTAGCTTCAGGGTAACGCCCACCCGCGATAGCTCCAGCAAGCATCTTGTGTCCGCTCTGAGAGAGGCTCGCAGCCACACCGGAGGCATCCAGTCCGAATAACGTCAGCAAGTAAGGAAAGCCTCTCTGCACAACGCGAATCCGGCGCGCCCAAACAGCAACGTCATATTCTTCCCTGCCGGTATATTCCTCGCCGTCAAAATATGCCATGATAAGGCCCGCGATTGTTTGAACCACCTGCTGCAAGACGACATCTCTCACGACATCCCATCGAGATGCGCGGTTTCTTGTCAGAACTTCGGCCGGAGTATGCAGACGGTATTGCGGGAATAGATCGTAAACATCGATGACATGGAAAAACATAGATACGGCCCAGTAGGCAACAACCGGCAGAATTAGGGCGAGGATATTGTCCGGAATGCCATCAACGAGAGAGGGACGCGGAGAAAGAGTATAGGCCGGAAAAGGAGGGAGGCCAGAGACCATGGTTGTATTCGTAGCCATTGTGAAGCAGCCAGGCAGGCGGCGTTAGAGGAGAGCGCAATCAAACCGGTGTGGCAAGTGATGGGTCCGGACGCATCGGTCTCGCAAGCTTGACGATAATTTCGAGGGAAACTGCTGTCGAACGAAGCAAAAGCAGGCCAGAATTATGTAAAGATGAAAGGACCGACAAGAAGAAAGTGACGTTGCGGTTCGAGGAAGGAGAGGAGGCGATTTATAGATTTGAGGTTGAAGGATCAGCGAAGCTGACAGTAATCGGAGGGCGGCCCACCGCAATCAGGGGACTGCGGGTGTACGCGGAGTTGGCGATTGGAGGACAGCGTCGATTAGGACGAAGATTGTGTTGCGTGTAGAGCTCGAGATACCGAAGGAGGGTCGAATTGGAGAGAAAGGAAAATAAGAATGGTGTCGAAAGGAGCGTAGGGTTAGTTGAGGTTAAGAAGAAACAGAAAAAGTCAAGACCGACTCGGGGGCGCGTTGGGTCACACCACTGGGGATCGCAGCCTACCGCATCTGATTAAGCCGATGCGTTCTGGGGCTGTAATATACCTATATAATACGCCGCCAGTACGAGATAAGCCCGTACGGTACGGTCTGATTTCCTGATAGCAGCATCCTCAGGTGTACGGAGTAGTAGTATATAGCATGCTATCGTTGCTATCGTTTGAAAACACCCACTGCTCACTCACATCAGGCGATTCTCTGATTCTGTACATGAGCCCCTGAAATCTGCTGCACTCTGTACACGCTTGTACAATTGTACAACCTCTGATTCGGCGTCCATAGCCGTACTCCAAGGCCTCAGGTTTGTGCCTGAGTCCAGACCAACCCCAAAGCAGGCTAGTGCGATTTGCCCCCCTCAGAGCAAAAAAAGACAGCAAAAACCCCACCAAACCCGCTAAATAATAATCTTCATTTTCCCCCTCCCAGCCCATTCTCTTTCTTCTCCTCTCCAGCCTTGTGCCAATCCATCATCAATCCCTCTTTTTCCCTCCTCTCCGTTTTCCCATTCTCTGTAGGATCTTCATCCTCCGTCTTTCAAAATGATCATTTACAAGGTCCGTCCTGAGTGTTTTTCCTACTCGACTCTATACCCGTTACTACCCCACTCTTCTGCAACGTCGCAAAAAAACAAACACCACGCTTCGATCATGACCGCTTTCATGATTCCAGGAAAGCTAACATACAGCGTTACAATAGGATATCATCTCCGGTGACGAGGTTCTCTCCGACACCTACAACATCAAGACCGTCGACGGTGTCCTCTACGAGTGCGACTGCCGCAAGTACCTCAAGAAGACCAACGAGGACTTCGAGCTCGAGGGTGCCAACCCCTCCGCCGAGGGTGGTGATGATGAGGGTGGTGAGGGTGGTGAGGTTATGGTCCACGACATTGAGGACCAGTTCCGTCTCGTCTGGCTCAAGGTCGAGGACGGTGCCAAGCCCCCCAAGGATGCCTTCAAGGCTCACCTGAAGAGTACGCTCATTCTTTGTTGCAACCATCTTAGGAACAACCGCGCTAACGATTTATTGCAACTACAGCCTACATGAAGAAGGTCCTCAAGACCCTCCAGGAGAAGGGTGCCCCTGAGGAGAGCATCAACGAGTTCAAGAAGGGTGCCCCCGCTGCTGTCAACAAGATCCTCAAGAACTACGACAACTACGATATCCTGATGGGCGAGTCCATGGACGGTGATGCTATGTATGTATTCCTTGGTTATTCGGAATGCTTTGAAGTTCCTGGCTAACCTCCCTTCCAGGCACGTCCTGATTGACTTCCGTGAGGACGGTGTCACCCCCTACGCCACTCTCTGGAAGCACGGTCTTGAGGAGATGAAGGTTTAAGTTCTACGAATTATGAAGAATATTTCCCGCGAAGGGAACAAAAGAAGGGAGACGGAGATGCCAACAATGGCGCTTGCTATCCCATCCTCATATAATATCCTAAGCTCTTCCATATCGCATATTCTGGATCCTATTTGATCAGAGTCACGCCTCATGAATCCAATTTTGCTACGACCAACCCATTCCTCCTAGACGGTCTCAAAGTATCTCTTAGTTTCCAAACGGCTTTGTTCGCTGTTATACTCGTTACCTTCCACGGATCTCGCATAGAGCATTGGAGCATCGCTTCGATGGTGAAGTTCGAGGCTAGGATGATTTGCCCATTGGCTACATGAAGGCCTTGTACTGGAAATTCTAGGATGTTTCCATCTAAACAATAGCATCCGTATATAGAGAAGGTATCTAAGAAAATCATGCATGCCAACCGCTCAAAAACACCCCGCAATAAACCAATCCTATCTTATACACAAATAGCTACCCCGAATGCGTATTCAAGATCTAACACCACCCCGGACTCCGCATCCCAGTACTATCACCACCCATCCTCATCCCAGTCTCACTCCCATTCAAACTCCCATTCAAACTCCCAGCGCGACTAGCCCTCCCCGGGAGACCAAGATCACCGAACTCGAACCCGGTGATAGGGTCAAGCTCCATCAGATCGTCGGATACGAGGAGATGCTGGCCAAACACGGCGTCCCATTGATCCCAGTCGAAATTCAGGTTTGGGTCTACCATTGAGGGCGGTGTTGGGACGTTGATGGGGATCGGGATGGTGTGAGCGGATGGGGAGAAGACGTCGAGGAAGGGGATGCTTTGTTGTGGTTGTAATTGTGCTGCTGGTGCTTCTGTTTGTGTAGTCGGTGAGGTAGGTAGGGGTGGTGGGTGGGGGAATGGTAGAGCGGAAGGAAGAGTGGGAGCGGAAGGCTGAGGAAGAGGGACCATGTTCGCTGGTGGAATTGTGGTCGTGGACATTGGTATATCGGCAGGAGAAGGAGGAGACTGAGGAATGGTTGCAGGTGGTTGGAGGACTTGAGGATGCGGCACTGTGGTCGGCGTATGGCTAGCAGATGAAGTCGACGGTAGCTCGTAGCGTAACGAACTGGGTCGTGGCATGGGAGCCGCCGTACCAAGCGCCGTAGCGATACTCGGAAGTGCCTGGGAGCGCGTCATATTATAGAACATTTTTGAGAAGTCCAGCAGTTGCTCCCGACTATGTATCGGCTGTAGATGCGCCGAGGAACCGGCATAGTGAGGGTTCGCCGCGAGGCACTCGTCTGGCACTGCTATGCCGGCTTGGATTTGTGCCTGTTCAGTCCAGAGTTTCTGAGGATCGAGCCCGGCCTTTTGCCATGCTTGCTGACGTAGCCGGCGGATCATATCCCAGGCCTCGCGGCCACCGTCTTTCAAGGGTCGCTGAGTTGAGATGCCGTCTTCGCCTCCGACGACGCCTCCATCCGGCCCAGTGAGCGAGAAGATCTTGTCTACAAACGCGCGTGACCGAGGCGCCTCTGGACTGTATGGTCGTTCGTATAAATCAATGAGCATGATCATGGTTGCGTGCATTGGCTGATGATTCCCAGGCCAACTCCATTGGAAAGGCTGGAAGTCAGGGTCCGTGGCCAGGGAGACAAACTTCTCCATGAAGCCATGGCAATGACGAATTGCACTACACAGGTTAGCCTACGAAGATACAATGTGTCATAGCACGAACCTTTGTCTTGCAGCTGGCCAGATCCGGCTCCTAGCGTTCTTGAGAAAAGGCTGATATGCAACGCAGAATGCCTTGATTTACAGTGTTAGCGCTTAGTCCGAGGGTACTATGAAAGCCCAACCCACTTTGTCAACATAAAGGCTGAGAACAATCCTTGCCCATTTGTGGAAAGAAACAAGAACTGGCGTGTGATATTGCTCAGTGCAGGTAGGAGCCGCGTCGCCCGGAAGAGCCAGGTCCAAGCTCGAGCCTTCCGTTGGAGAACGTGAGAAGGACCAGGATCGATTGGAGGCGCTCGAGGGAATATCGGTTTGTTTAGGCTCTGGAATCCGCTCGACTATTGAGTTGAGTTGGGCTTGGAGATCAACGAGGATGGACCTCAACTCTTCCATGTGTCGGCGCGTAACCGGCTTAGTACCAAGTTGAATTCTCATTATTCGACGGACAGCGCCTGGCAGAGGTCAGAATATAGTCATTCCGCAGTCAAACTAATAGTACTTACGGGCCATCGCATATTTGCCTCGTGCAGCCAGATAATAGACATTCACCATTGAGGGACCTCCACAAACTGTCGGGTCGTCGGGGTTATCTCGAGGCCGCAAACCCGCTCGAACCTGCCTTTCGTACTGCTCAGCTTCAGGAGTCCCTATAAGCGTGTCCTTGAATTCACTCGTGTCGCGCACGTCCCAGAAATTCTCATCTGTTACCAGCGGAGGAAGCCCACTGGACATTGAGACAACGCCGTCCATATGCACAATATGCCACCACATCCGTCGACGGCCCTCTGCCTCTGAAGCAGGGATCCCAAAATTTGCAGGATCTCGGTGGAGGCCCATCGTCTGCGCAACTCTCATTGCAAGGCTCACGAATAAACTGCTCGTCAGCGGTTCTTCCTCCTTGGAGAGTATTGTTTGCGTTAGGAGGTACGCGGCTAGTCCTTGCAGCGAAGGGCTGCGCAAGAACGAGGTTTTGGTCAGCCAGCGGGTAACTTGGTCATTGTAGGCATTGGAAAGAGCGGCACGCGAGGCGCCATTAAACTCGGCCTTAATTGCTCTCAAGGAGATAGTGACAGATCCACCATACCAGATGGCGTAAAGCAATGGGATGAATGACGGGTCCGGACAAGACTCTCCAGAGTAACTGCTAGAATCGTACCAGTCCCAGAATGCGTTATAGTGGTTCAGGACAGTCGGTGGATGAACCACAGGACTGATGGCTTGAATACCCGACATAAAGCCTTTATACAGGATATGACTCTGTCGTTTTGTAGGCATGTACTCGAGCGAATCCGGCTCCACGACTCTATCCTTCACCGATGGTGATGAATTAGATGGGAAGAGTATTGAATTCTGGATAACATCGCCGGTTGATTGCTTTTCACCGGCAGCAACGCTAGTATGGTCAACCGAGGGCATCCAATGACGCGTTGTCGCATTTTCCACGGTCTCTTCTATGTAGGGCTCGCCCGCTCCAGGGCTCTCATGTGAGTTAGTTTGATCCCGGAGAAATTGATTGAGCTCATTGATCTACTATCGTTAGCTTTATATCCAAATCAAGAACGTTAAACCATTACCTCGTGAGAGATATAAGCCCAGAAAGTCGTGCCGACATATCTACAATCCATTAGACAAGTACGAAAACGCAACACAATGAAACGCACCGGGATCTCCCATCCTCTAAGCTGAGATGCCCCAAGTTTAGAGATCCCACCGGGTCTACCAGGTCCGTAGCATGGCCAGCCGGTATAGGGAATTCATCACCGCTTGAATCAGCCGTACGGCGCGGGCTACTAGTTCTGGAGCCTCCATTGGGAGCTTGCGCTTCTTTCCTGGGTACATCCAAAGCGGCACCTTGCGGAGGAACCTGCTGCTGGTCCGCAGGAATCACCGGCTGAGAGGTCTTGCTCAGCCTTTCGATCATCGACGTGAGTTTATCAAGTCGCGATTCGATAGATTTCTGCTCAGAGGGCCCAGCCTGCCTCAGACGACCATACATAGACTGCAGATCCTCGATATCATCCTCGAGCTGCCTCGAGGCTTCCCTCCTGCGCTTCACGCCATGACCATCTGTGTCGCGACTGCGGGTACTGCCATCCCGCTGCAGCTGCGACGCCGGGTCATAGACACACTCGGTCCCATTCTTCACGCAGCTCCCACAGATAGGGTGCACCTTGTCACATTTCACTTTGCGCCTCCGGCAGGTATGACAGCTGTAGCTGGTGCGGTTGCGCGTAATCTGCCGCCCGGGCGCCTTTTTACCGGTGAGCTTGGCTGCCTTCGGTGGTGGCGATGTGGACAGGGTAGAGGGATCGTATGCGAAGCCGATTTTGATATCAGGCAGCCCGTTTGGGGAGGTGTCGGCGCTCGGGCTGGGGTTCATGGTCCGTTCGTGATCGCAGTGGCGGGGGAGTTTGTACTCCGAGTCATGGATGCACCGAGGTATCAGGGACCCCTCATGTAGAGCGGGGTGGCAGTGAGGACGTTAACTCATAGAAGGGTCGACTAATCCAAAAGCGATAGCGCTCAGTTTGCGTTAGCGAAGCATTCTAGACCTTAAAAAGTAGATGCAGGAAGGGAAGAGGCGTCCGAGCGACTCCGACGATTAAGCTGGGAACTATGGAGAAGCCCGCATCAACGGTCGGCCAGCCCTCGGCCAATGAGATCCACCCCAGTTCATAAGCAGCACGAGTGTTCACTCCGGCACCTCGTGGAGGGCAAGAACAGAGCAACAATGCCCTAGAGAACGCTATTTGGATCTTAAATGCCATTGACGGCGACTACGGCCAGCCATTGGATTTGCTTAGTCAAGATGGTATCAAGAACACGCAGATATGCCTAAACAGAAGACCAGTAAATAACGCCTTTCGCCGATGCCCATGCCAATGCAAACCCGACATATGTACTGTCGTGCAAGAGGCTAGAGAAAGCCCTGAGCTGTGCAGCCCGTCTATTTGCCCTTCTTTTTATCCTTTTTCTTCTTTTCGCTGCTGCCTCCCGATGGCTCTCCTCCCATGCCGCCCATTCCCCCCATCATGTTGGCCAGGTTCCCCATTCCGGGTATTTGCGGCATCCCGGGCATCCCTTGCATGTTCTGCATCTCAGCCATGGCGTCTTTCAAAGGGTTATCGCTAACTCCACCACCACTGTATGCGGCGGAGTGGAAAGGTAGGATTTTGCCGATCTTCCAACCGCGAGGCGCAGGGGGTGCATCTGGTAGTTTCTCAGGCATTGGAAGTCCTCGAATGCGTAAACGGTAGGGCGATTGGTCGTTTGTGGGGTGGGCTTTGAGGTACTGCGCGACGAGGATGTAGAGGTGATGCTCTGCGCACAGTTAGCAAAGGTCACTCGGTCACAGTACCTGACATGAATAATGAGGGCAAAGGTGTGCAATGAGCTGGACATACTATTCTTTATTTGCGAGTTAACCGGTCCCCCGCTCTCATCCTTCAATTGGACACGCACTCGCCCGGGATTGGCCCAGTCCTTGGGATGTAATTTCTCCGGTTCAAACCCAACTCGCAGTCCGAGCATCTGCACGGCGTCGACAATATCCCTCGCGAGCGGGTTCTCCACAGCGAGTTCTGTTCCGACTTTTCGACCTTCCGCGCGAGTTCGCGACTTGTCGAAGTAAACGGGATACAGGCATTGATAGGACTTCGGGATTTCACGCTGGGGTTCGGGCGCAGGTCTGATAGGCATTGATTGAGAGGGAATTGAGGCTCCAGAGAGTATGGATTCATTGTCGGGGCGGCTAGGGACCAAAGAGGGAGCGACCTCCTCTGGGTCCGAGTCGTACACTTCTTCAACTTGGGCGTGGCGGGACATGACTATTTCGCAGGTCGATATATGATAGCCGTTGAGACTATAGGGACTGGAGTCGGTATAGTCAGCTTCTGTTGCCGCTCAGGAGCTAAAAGCCTGAATGGATTAGTTGTCAGGTAAATAGTCGGGCAGTGTGTTGAGGTGACTTGGTTAAGTGCCAGCTTAGTGTGTGCGGAGTGCGGAGTTATGCATGCACCTTATGTAATATTATCCTTAGTTATGTAACAATCATGGACTGCATCTACCACAACAACTGGACTTGTTCCACAGCGACATTCCCTCTTTTCCCAATGTTAATCAGTAACAATCAGGCTCTTGCTGAAACACAAGTATGCAAGCCCACAGAGAGAAAGGAGTCCTTGACCTTTTTACTTGACACCGGCCAACCCCGACAGCGGAACACCCAGTGACTGGTTATGTCTACCATGTTGTTAAGCGTGATGGCGCCGGGGCCCGGACGTAGATGTGGCTGAGGATCCTAATGGGAAGGGGGTCAATGACCAAAAAGACCTTTACGAGCTGTTGATTAGGGAGATAGTTTGGGACATCGAAGAGCAGGTTCGTAGCGAGGAAGTTGCTAGCCCCCGCCTCGCCACTTATCCAGTATTGGGTCCAGCCGGGCTCCCAGCATCATAACCAGACTGTCAATGCTGAGATGATCTCGAGGTGCAATGGTTTGGCGAGTGCGTCGTACACCATGTCCGAAATCACTTTGTTTTTGGCGTACTTTAATAATATGGCTCGTTATATTTATTCCATACAAAGATAGCTGACTCTACTAGCCTAACAAGCATTCAGGCCCGAGCTCCTCAGCTCCAAAGGCAGTACTCCAAGACCATAAACTAAGCACGAAGTAGCATAACATTCCAATCTGTAAGCTCGAACTCACTCATGGCACTTCGGATCCTCAGGCACCTCCGGCTGCCTACAAAACCAGGCCAACATTTGTATACGGTAGCCCTAACTCACGCCACATGACCTTCTACCACGATTGCCACCCAACGCAGTACCGTCGGCAAATGAAGATATAAGATGCACAGCCCCATGAAAAATATGGAGTCTTGTTTCGGGCCCCAGTCCCGATCTCAAAGTCGAGTCGCTACCCCGTCAACAATCTAGGCCCCGGCCATAGGCTGGCTATAGGCCGACCATATTGCCTCGCACGGGGCCCTCAGTGAGTCATCGATCAGAGTCAGACTCAAGCCTCAATGAATCAAATAACCAGTCTTAGATAAGATGGGTGTAGCGTCCAAGGCCGAGGCCGCGGCCCGTTCATCCTACCATTCAAAGGCATGGTTGTCTCGAGCGCGCTGGAAGCACAGCGCCCGTCCCATCCAACGACTCAAGAGCACCTCATATCCGCCCCTACCCTGGCCCCGGAACCTGCCTGCTTAGGCACCACGTATCACGTATCCGATGGCCTTCGGAGATCGGAATGGTTGGCTGTATCGTACCACGTTGGCAAGGGCACGCCTGCGTCGATGACACAAGGCAACCAACTGTCCAGGAAAACAGCCCTAGGCTTGTTCGTTGGGTATCACATGATAGACTAGCAGATGGGATCGAGTCATCAGCTAGTCAAAACCATCATTTTATTGATTTGATTCCTTGTCGCGCAGAGCATTGTTGAGTGGCTAGGCTATTTGACTAGGTACCTGAGGCAGGCAGTTAGATAAAGACGTTTCCTGATTGTAGGACCAAGGATGGGCAAATGAGAGTAGTCAAAAAGCCATAAGTGCGTTCATTCGATGTCGTCTTCAGCTATGACCTCCTGGTTGATACTCCGTAGATGCTCCGTAATCAAACGAGGGGCGTTGCCTGATGCAGGGTCCCGTCGCAACCTACCTAGGGCTACGATTAGCTCGGCGAGTTCACGTGAAGGCAGCCAATGAGCAGGCGAACGATTACGAGGATTGCTTCCTGCCCACGCCATTCCAAGAATTAAAAAACGAATACAACTTGATTGTCATTTACTGCTTGATGCAATAAACACAAAAGCAAAGCTACAGTTTACATCCATTATGGTAAAATATTACAGAAGTAGAAACATAGTTTGAGTGCGGGAGATGAGTAGAAAACGATGCAGGTACATAGACATGAGAACGTAATGAATAATGGGTGGTTTGTAAAAACGCCCGGGTATAATTCTGGGAAGAGAGCAAAGAGAGAAGAACACCACCTGGTCTGTAAGATCGACCTCGAGAAAACGCCATGATCCTCAGAGCTGTCCTATGTGAACCCACGCGTTCTTGAGATGCAGACCAATTTCATGAAGACCTCCCATATTGACGTTCGAATCCATGAGGTGTATTCGATTATGACGAAGAGCAACAACGCCTTTGCAATGCAAACGCGGCAGAGGAGAGTTGACGATGAAAGCATACCACGTTACGCAGAAAAAGAAAACATCAGGGGGCCGGAGATGAGCAGAACGTGAACAACATTCGATCGGGGATCATCATCACTGGGTGACGCTGACAGCGGTTGGCGGCGGTGGGATGACCTGCTGCAAGCCAGCTACGATACGCTCGAGCTCTTGCAACCGGCGGTCCTTCTCTTGAACTTCGCGTCGTAGTCGCTTGAGTTCGCCTCGCAGGTCCACACCATTCTCTTCTTCCTCTGGGAACGCGATCGCAGGATCGGTGTTGGGATCGAGGTTGTCAAGGGAATCTCGCTTCCGCTTCCCAGGCGTGGCACCATCGAGATCAGGTGATGGTCCAATCGCCAGATCTGGTGCGTGTCCGTTCTCGGTATGCATGTGGCGCCGGCGAAGATGCTCCTTCAAGTTCTCCTGACGCGTAAATCCGTTCCCTGTGCTTCGGTTGCAGTCAGGGTAGGGGCACATGAGCGGTTTCTTGGCGTTGACGTTCTTCTTGTGGACTTCACGTTGATGTCTTAATAGGCCCCCCGAGTATGTGAAGCCTTGAATTTTGTCGCATCCAGGTTCCATGCATTTATAGGGACGATCGTGCTTGTCCATATGTTTGCTGAAGAAAACAGTCATGTTAGCCTCATGTTCGGCACGATAACTCGACGACAGAAACAGAAAATAGTACTTACTTCCATTCGCAAGGACGTCTAAATGTAGGAGGGCTCGGTTGGCACTCTGCGTGGTCACAGAAAATCTGTCCGACGGCGTTCTTGGGCGGATCGCGCGCTCGTCTCACCGACAGTCGCGGACGAGCCCCTTCCATGAAACTCGGTGACAATTCATTGTCCATCTTCTGAACAGGGACAAGAGGGTCTTGCGCGGCGACAAGAACAGCAGTCGGACCCGTAGCACCTTCGCTTCTTGGGCTAGGATAATCAGAGCCGTCGCCCATATCGTAGTTACCGGTAGAACCCCGCCGTGGATTGAGCTGGGGAGGCGCGAGGAATTGCTCCAGGGTTAAGTGGTCGCGAGACGACCAGCGAGAAACAGTGGGAAAAGGGTTGGAAAAGTCGTTGATGTGGGCGATCGCACGAGAAAAAATCGATGGCGAAACGCGTTGTTATACTTATACTCGGTGTAAACGAGGCTAAGGACTGAGTAGTTGCAGGACCCAATCTAGGAAACGGGGGGGTGCCGAAATTTTCAGGTGCTAACAAGGCAGCGAGACGAGTGTTGACTAAGCATGGGCTTGGCGACGCCACTCTCAACAATAATAATCCGGAAGCAACGGATGACTCGATTGATCCCTGCGGTGTCCCCGACGGAGTTTGTGCTGGGTATTTGTATTTTCTCTCACTGTGCGGCACTGCTGCCATGATTTATTGGCACAGATGTCCTCCGTTTCTATTCTTTGCCATCATTTAGGCTGCAAATGTGAGTCATTTACTCCATCAGGTATCGGAGTCGGAGCCAAGGCCACCAACTGGATTATTTCGGCCAGGCCCCTCAGGCATCATTCCGCCACCTCGGTCTGAGGCACCGACCAATAAGACTAGGCGATCACGTGGACGCAGCCACACCAGCACTGCCAGCATCGCAGCATCACCGCTGCATTGCCAAATCCACAGACATCATGCGCGGTGGATCATGAGCTGCGTTGACGTATTCTTGAATCTTACCACTTTTGGTTATTTTCTGCCCTTCCTTAGGTACCCAAGTTCACCGAGCTCGGCGGGGAGATTCCTGCTTGCTCGCCCGATTTATGCGGCCAAACCACTATCGGAGTAGCACAGCTGGCGCAAGACAAGCCTTGATCAAGCTAGATCCTGCTTATCTTTACCTGAAATTGACTATGATGCTCTTTGTACGTAGTAGAGCCTGCTTCTGAGATAGGATGCCTTGTTTCCATCAGTCCATACCTCTTGAGAAGCATACTCTCCAGACTGCTTTCATTGCATGCCTGCCTGAAGCTGCTAAGCCTGGCTATACCGAGTGGACAGCGCTCGCCTGACGCCAAATCTTACCCGAACAAGCATATCAGGGATATCATTCAGTCGCTTGGAGATCTCAGCGACACGCGGCGTAAGGGGTCCTTCAGTTCAATATAGCTAAAGATAGAAATGCGGAGAAAAGTCGGATAGTTTGAGGCTTTCAACGGTTTTCAAGGGAAGCTGCGGACAAATACCAAGCAGGCATCTTCATTTTATAGACGATCGTAGAGATTGCTTCAGCTAAGCAAGAAATTGTAAACTGGCAGCAGCATTAAGCTCGGGCGATCACGGCCGAAAAGCGTGGCGCAGCTGCAGATATACAAGTTCGATAGCTGTTCCACGTCGCTTCGGTAATCCTAGACGATCGGTTACGCGTGCTGCAGGCGGGTCTGAAGCCCTGATTCGAGAACAGGTGGCCCTGGCGTGGCTGTGTAGACTTTGGCCTGTTAAACGTGCAGGGCGAGATCGGGTCATCTAAGCCGGCCTACAGCTGGATCGTGGCTAGAGAGAGCCCTAATGCAGATCTGATTATGGGCGCCATGATATACGTTGATGCCTGATTAGTCTAAAGACGGGATAACGAGGGATAGTATTGATTCTGACTAAACGACAGTATTGTTTTCGATAAACCTGCCAGCATTGCTGGACCTGCTGCACACAGTTCTATGGTGGACCATATCCTTGAGACTATCACAAGGCTGGTGCAATAGTGAAGCAACGCCATCAAGTATCTAAAACATGTAGGTGTAACGAAACAGAACGCAAATAATTCAGATCACCGGGGTGACGACTGTAGATTTTCTGTTTAGCTCGCCAAAGATCTGCTTCAGGTTGAAGCCCGGAAAGACCGGCTGGATGCAAACGTAAGCTGGAGAAGATTCTCGAAATCCTAGCTGCCATCCCCTGAGGCGAAGTAAACAGCTGAAAGTAAACCCGACGTGAGGCGTTTGACCCAAGTCCCATCCCCGTCATCTTTTCCGTGGCGCAGACAACCGCACTCGGTCTAGAGTTCGGAAATATGGCAGTTGTGATAATATTATCAATGTGACACCGCCGTACGAACAGTCCCAGGGAGACTTCGTTCCGGCATTGCTGATGAGATACTCTGTACAGGTCGTGTTTTTGAGACCGCCAAGACGTGCACCACAAACGGGTTGGGTGGACGCTCAGGACTCAGGACGTCAGCCCCCTTCCGGATGGCCCAATGACTGCTAAAACAGCTGTCCTCCAAGCCGCAGGGTAGGTTTCAACCCTGGTGGCAGTTTGGATTATGGGATAATTCCGACTTCACCCGGCTCAATCATAGTTGCCGCCGATCTGACTGGCAAACGCTGTGGAAACACTTCGGGCGTCATCGTCATCGTGGATGTGGCCGGGGATTCCGCGAGTAACACGAATGCTGGCAGAGCTTCCTCCAAAAATGCTCCCGTTATCGGGAACACCAGGCTTGTAAAGCTCACGAGCTCCGGATTCCACGTAGCGCTTCAACCTATCGGACTGGCTTAGACTGGGTTGTTTGTTCATGTCAGTAATACTCAGACCAGCGAGGCTGACACCGCCATGCTCAGGACCCTTTCCATCGATGATGCTGCCAGTAATATCAGACTCTGTGGCTGCGATTGACTCTCCAGCAATGCTAGGCGCGCCCTTGCCTCTGTTCCCGTTGGCTCGGCGAGCCCCGGGAAGAGAAGGCCACGAATCTGCGAATTGCTGGAACATAGGGGGGTATCCAGACGGAATGCCAACGCCACCAAGTGCCGAGGAGTGAACAGAAGAGACATCATCAGGGATGTAGCCAACCACGGAGCCGGTATCATGAAATTCGTTCCGGTGGCCATTCCTTCCATTCATGAATCCGCTAGTGACGTTGGACACATGGTTGTAGGCCATCTGAAATCGCTGAGGTCCTCGGTATGCCTGCTTGGGACGGCTGAACTGGATGAGTGACTCCTGAAGGTTAGACAAAGGCCCTTCTACCAATGTGTGTCGTTCCTTGAAGTGCTGCAGGAGACAGTTCCAGAGAGGATGCTTCGAAAGCACCTTGGGGTTACCCAGGATCACCAGACCATATTTGGCACGAGTAAGCGCGACGTTCAGACGGCGAGGATCACTCAGGAAACCGATTCCTTGATGGTCGTTGGAACGAACGCAAGAAAGGATGATGAAGTCTTTCTCACGACCCTGGAAGGCATCGACTGAAGCAACCTCGATTTCCTTGTAGTGTTCCTTCTTAAAAGTACCAGTTGCTTGCATAGAGCTGACAATGTAACTGCGCTGTCCTTCGTAAGGCGTGATGATACCGATGTCCTTTGGTTGCACGCCAGCCTTAAAGAAGCGAGTGACAATCTTTTCCACGTTCGCTGCCTCAGTACGGTTGAGGTAAGATGTTCCCGATGCTGATATCTCCTCATTTCCAAGGTTCGACCAGAACATCATGGGGCTGTCAAGAATAGGCCAAGGGAAATCAACCTCCCTACGAAGGCGATCAAATGAGGTAATGCCATTCTGCAGGGATCCCTCGTAGAACATATTGGAAGGGAATTCCGAGAGACATGGGTGCATACGGTATTGAACATTCAAACGGATTGGCGAGCATCCCAGGATGACAAGTCGCTCGAAAAGTGACTGGTTAAGACCAGCCTTGGCCGCCTTCTTATTCATGATAACAGGACCAAGCTGCTGGTGGTCACCAACAAGGACGACCTGCTTGCATCCTAGCACCAACGGGATCATACATTCGGGTTCGGCAGACTGGGTAGATTCATCGATCAAAACAGTGCGGAACTTGAGCTTCGCGAGACGAGGGTCACCCGCACCAACGCAGGTGCAGCAAATGACGTCGGCGTTGTTCAAAATCTCACGCTCAGCCGCCCTAGTAAGTTGCTTCAAGCGCTTCTCATCCTGGCTCGACAATTCGCCAAGCTCACCCTTGAGCTGGTTGAGTTTGATGAGCTCGATGTTGCTATCGTTGAGACGGACTTGTTCGTGCAGAGACAGGAAGCCGACAGGTGATTCGACATCCTCACGAGACTTGGCCGTGACACGAACGGTCTTGAGGCCAGTTCGGTGGATACGCTCGCAGAGTTGATCGACGGCGACGTTGGAGGGCGCGCAAACCAGAACTTGACCACCATTGAGCTTGGCAAGGTGGTAGATAATGGTGGCAGAGGTAACAGTCTTTCCAGTTCCGGGGGGGCCCTGGATCAGACTAAGAGGTCGCTGGAGCACACTCTTGACAGCATTGATCTGACTGCCGTTGAGCTCGGGAAGTCCAGGAACGCTGAACTTTTTGGGCATCTGCGTTTTCATGGGTGCAGCTGCGACCTCGTGACCCAAGAGTCGGTGGAAGATGTAGCCGGAAACGCTCATCTCATCAACGGCGAATGTCTTCATAGCAAGCTGCATACGATCGAAAGAGGTCGACTTCCAAACGTAATCAGCCGTAAAGTTGTGCGTGCATTCCGTGGGCACCGATTTATGATCACCCTTGGCGCGCAATTCGATGGTAACCTCGTCAGACTGGTTGTTTGGGATCTTGATAACATATCCTACTCCCTCCCACTTAGGCCGCAACTCGCCAGAGTACTTCAAGCGCATTTCATCTCCAACCGCCAATTTCACATCTCCAAGTTCGAGCTTAGGCAGGATGAAACTAGCCAAGTGCTTGTTGTTGAGACCAAGATCCCAACGAACAATCAGGCCGTCCTGTGACTGGGACTCCTTCAGTTTCCGGTCGTAGTCTGCTTCAATCTTAACAAGCGGGCCAAAGATGTTCTGGTATTGGAACGCATCGTCGTAGCGCAAAAGAACTGGTGCGGGTTCATTGTCCACGGCCGTGGCCTTTTCTAGATCAGCAATTGTCGCCTGAGAGTTCTCCTTCCACATCTCTTCTAGCTTCGCAATCATCTGTGGGCTCAGATGACGAGCTCGAAGTTGCTCTTGATCGGATGGAGCCGCAACGAGCCAAGTCAAAAACGAGCGATCTTCGATCAGAGGTTGCCAGCGTGAGGTATCCCAGTTCATATCCTTAGAGGAAGGCATGGCGGCGCATGGCTGACGGCACAAGAGGACGACGACCGTATCGGATTTGGCGGGAATAAACCCTAGAAGAAAAACGTTCTTGGTCCCACAATTATAGCATTCCAAAACAGTATCACCAAGCGACGACTCCGGGTGTAGTTGTACTTCCTTGTGTCTAGCACGGACAAGATGGTTCACGATATGGGACGAAGAGGTATTGCCACGGGCGCTGCAAAACCACTTGCTGCAAGCTAAACATTTGACAACGCTGCTTGGGTTGTGTATACCACAGTATCTATAGATCAAAAAAAAAGACAGGTTAGTGATCATTTCCCTGACACCAGTAGAGAAAAGCGGCATGGAAGACAGTAAATAGGAACGCTTACGCGCACGCATGCGGGGCCAACTCTTTTTCCTCCTCCAACACCCCTTGGAACTTTGATTTATTGGCAGGCCCGCTAGTTGTGCTCTCCAAGTCGTCATCCTCTGAGTTATCGGCGCCTTCATCGTCATCATCATGTCTCCTGCGGCGCGGCCCTCCGACTGTTCGGTCCAGTTCTGACTCCGCCCCAGCCGCCTGATATTCGACAGAGGCCGACATTTCAATGCAAGTCGAACGAGCGCTTTTGGGAAAATAACGTCTTCACGGAAGGTCTGCACAGAGATAACGAAAAATCGACAGCCCACAGAACACTGACGTTTCCGGACCTACAGTCCGCTCCAACTTTAATCTCACGGTACTCCCACGAAATCGAGGGGGTCGGTCAATATCAGTTCGCAATCAATGAACGTCAAGTAGGGCGATTCGTCTTATTGTATTGAAGGAAGGAAAGCCCCTGTGCGTCTTCCACGGAAACACTGTGGCACAACAGAGGGGCAAGAATGATCCTAGATACAACATCTTAGTATGGCATTCGGCACAGGCAATAAGATACTTACCAGTAAACTAATGCTGCGCTTCTCCTAGTCCCCCAAGCTACTGAGCCCCGAAACGAAAAGCACAGAGATAGGCTATCCTTGGTGCACTCTCTTGCTTGGAGTCGAGAGTGGATTGGGATTGCGGCTTTATCGGGCAGTTCGCCCACCAAATCCCACAAGTGCGGGTGGCGTTCCGGACCTAAACTGCAGCTGGCAGAAAAAAAGTTGCCCGCTTCACTGCTTCATTCACTATTTTCACTTCTGCGCCCAGTGACAAAATGCTTGTGAGTATATACGCTACATGATGCATGACTCTTGGGAGGATTGCTGACCCAAATTTTGAATTACAGCGCCGTCAAGCCCGTGAACGTCGAGACTATCTCTATCGGAGAGCTCTGCAACTCCGCGATGCCTCTATCGCCGAAAAACGAGCACAGCTGAAGGAGTCCCTGGCGACTGGCAAACAGCTCGATCCTTCAATCGCAAACGACAAAAATCTTCGGGAAGACTTCAAGTATGATGAATCATTACCCACTGCAGACAAGAAGAACAAGGACTCTGATCTCCTCGACTTGGACGATGAATATGCGCTCACCTCCGGCATCGTCGATCCTCGGCCAATTGTCACGACCTCCCGCAATCCTTCGGTGCGTCTAGGGACATTCGCAAAAGAAGTCCGTCTGCTTCTGCCAACCTCTATTCGTTTGAACCGTGGAAACTTAGTTCTCCCTGATCTCGTCACTAGCGCAAACTCCGCCGGTCTCACGGATATGATTCTTCTACACGAACACCGTGGTACCCCGACTGCGATGACAATCTCACATCTTCCTCATGGCCCGACGGCCAGCTTCTCGCTGCATAACGTTGTTCTCCGTGCTGATATCCCCAACTCTGCCCGCGGCACTGTATCCGAGAGTTACCCGCACCTTATCTTCGAGGGATTCAAGACAAGACTGGGCGAACGTGTGGTCCAAATTTTGAAGCACTTGTTCCCTCCACGGGAACGCGTGGAATCCGGAAAGATTGGGAACCGCGTCGTCACCTTTGTGAACAAGGAGGACAGCATTGAGGTCCGGCACCACGTTTTCGTCAAGACTGGATACAAGGATGTCGAACTAGCGGAAGTCGGGCCACGGATGACAATGAGACTCTTCGAGATTAGGGGAGGCTCGCTGGAGAAGGGTTCAAGTGGTGATGTGGAATGGGCGCTTACACAATACACGAGGACGTCTAGGAAGAAGGATTACCTCTAGACGGGCGATTTTGTGCATTGTGGATCAAAGTTATGAAGATTTGAGAAAAAATTTGGCCGGCGTATTCGGTGTTAAGGAGCACTCATTAGGCAATCATGGTTACTTTTGTATACCCAACTAGAAGAATATAATCACGAGATTTATGCCTCGTCAAATTATGTAACTTTGTGGCATACTTGAGAAACCAATAAACATATCTTGAAATCACTTGTCAGCAGTTTCCAAGTCGATAATAAAACCTTCAGACCAAACCAAGAGAAGCGAAGCTGAAGCGTAGACGTTTTTTGTTGCCAAAGGTATATACTATGCCGCAGACCTCGGGAGATCCTCGCTGAGCGCCACCGACTTTCAATTAGGGCATCGCAGTCGCAGCCATGGCAAGCATATCCAAAACTAAATCTCTCCATCTCGAAAAAGACTGGCCAACGATGAAACAGGCGGATTGTCATACCACCACCAACCTTCGTGCGGTGGCTTTACATTCCCATCTTCGTCCTTTTGCGGATCCGGTGCAATCCCACTCAGCCTGTCCTCCCAATCTTTCCCCGTCCGTTCCTTGAAAAAGAACTTGAACGCTGTCACAGCAGTATCGAGGTCGCTGCCCAGAGGAGCAAGAAAATCGGTCTGTGCTGGCCCGCCGCGAAATCCGCGAGTTAGTCTGATGTGCGTTGCGTATTTGTGAGGGGGCTTGATGGTCTCGTAGATCTATTTGGGGAGCTTTAGTAAGTTCGCTTTCGAGTCATAGATGAAAAGACAAGCTGCCTACACTAACCTTCAGCTGAACGGTATGTCTAGCCCCTTGGATAGTGCCTGAAGGCCTGACCAGCGTTGCGCTGTAGGCCGTCAAATCGTCTGCTTCGTAGAGACGGTGGCTGTCTACAGGAGTCACACTCAGTTCCAGCTCTAGCCCGCACATTATAGGGAAAGAATATCTACTCGCAACGGATATGGCCTTGGGAGTACGACGTTTAGTATCAAACGGATCTTGAGATTTGCCTTGCGTTCAGTTAGCATCAGAGAATAGGTCGAGGCGCAAATATGCAAAGAGTCTGGTGACCAAAGACGCGCGAGCATCAAGGTGGACAAGCAAGAACTTACCGGAAGCAGTCTTCATCCTCTTCTTTTTAATGGCTGCCAGCTTCGCCCTTTTTTCCTTTGCTGATGCACCTTTCTTCTTCTGAGATTCCTCCGCCTCATTTTCTTCGGTCTTGTCGCCCTCCGACTGGCCTTTCGAGGCGGTTGCACTCTTACTCTGTCGGGCCTGTCCCTTGTTCCCCTGAACCTTCTTTGCAGAGCCTTTCTTCTTCTCACCCTTCAAGATATTTACCCATAGGTATTCCTTTGCAGGGCGAGGAGATCGAGTTCTTGAGAGCAACGATTCCGCTATCCAATCGTACGAGACGATCTTGACGGTTCCTAGCTCCTTCGCTTGGGCCACTGCCAAAAACTATCATCAGCACATATAGATAGCCGGAAGTGTTTCAGGATATAGTTTAGCTTATACCAGCTGGAGCATTTCGCATGTAAGCGTCCTTCGATGCGATGAGATGGGTCAATCCGTCGACCACATCGTCAGAGTAGGTTCCTCCATTTGCTGTAATCCATCTTGGGATCTTGGTAGTGTCCTTTCCGAAACTTCCCACGGATGAGGCGTGAATCCTCTGGAATGTTTTCCCCATCGTGGCCGGGGTCTGAGGGAGAGATTTGCCTATGAGAAGGGTTTAGAGAATTCGGCGTTTAGCCATGCGAATATTCGGATGAAGAGCTCAGAGAGAGAAGAATCCAAGAGGTTGGCTATGTGTAAAAGGCCTGGAAAATGAATAGTCTGGCACTCAAGACTCAGTTGGAGATGGCAGTAAACTTTTGAAGAGAAGATGTGAGGTTGGTACTGAAAAGATTGCAGATATGAGTGAGATATGTACCTTACTGTAAGGTTAAAGCTAAGAAGTCCGTTGGTATAGAGCTTCAAGAGTAAGATTATGAATCGTCTGAAGACTTGATGTGAACCGTGGCCGAGTTGGCGAAAACTACTTGTACGAAGTAAAACCTGATGCAGGAGGAAGCTCTTGGGCAAGGTAGCATAGCATATAAATGGCGAGAGAGATACATGAGCTATATACTATCTAGACCACATCGCAAACAGGAGGAATAGAGAATTATACTTTAAAAGTCGTGATGATCAACGCGACGGAAGAAAGTGAGTTTTGAATGAGGTATAGAAGAGAGAGGCCGAAATGGGTTGATTCCTGCAGATAAACGCTGAAACTGATATATATCACTGAGAAAGGCTCTTTGCTGCTTGAACAAACGCCCGTATTTTATCAAGATCCTGAGCACCATCTGACTCGACTCCGGAACTGACATCCACCCCGACCACCTTATGCCCCGAATCGCCAAGCTGTCTGATGATTTCAGTAACATTGTTCGGATCCAAACCACCTGCTAGAATGACTCGCAACCCCTCGTCAGAGTTTAGGATTTGTTTGACGCGTGATTGGTCTAAAACTTCCCCAGAACCCCCTGCTCCAGAATCCAGCAACGGCAACGTGTGGTATGCCCGTCGAGCAATGCCGAAGTCGTCAAGACCGAACTTGCGGATGACAGGAACTGGGATTAACCTAGACCATTCAAGCGGTTCGGACCCGTGCAGCTGAACCACGTCAAGCCCCAACTTTTGTTGCTGTGCTAGTACATATGATAGCGGCTGGTTGAGGAACACACCGACTAGCAAAGCACGCGTGGGGTGCCGTAAGGTGTTGGCGGAATGGTCGAAATAGTCAACAGAAGTTGCATTGGTGTCTCCTTGAGGAACTTCCGTAGACAAGGGAATGGGACGTGGGGTTGACTTCACTCGTTGCGAGATTCGCAGAGCAACATCATCGGGAACAGTACGTTTCCGACCTTGGACGAGGATAATGCCCACCAAGTCAGCACCAGATTCAATAGCCGCGCGCGCACCGTCTTCGGTTCTTGTACCACAGATTTTGACCAACGGAGAGCGTTGCGACTGTAGGGGGAGCTTCTTCGAGCTTCCTCCAAGAAGCTCGGCAACGAATGCTGCAGTGTCCGAAGCACGCATAAGGGCCTCTCCGACAAGAATGGCTTTCACGCCATCCTTCTGGTAAGCTTCCACATCCTTGGGCCCGGAGATACCGCTGAGCGCACAGACAATTGTGCTCTCGGGTACCTGGTCCATGAGCCGGCTTGTGGTGCCAAGATCAACTTCAAAGCTGGTTAGGTCTCGGTTGTTGACACCAATGACTTGAGCGCCGAGGTCAACCGCGATCTTCATTTCTTCTGGTGTATTGACTTCAACAAGGGGTTCCATCCCAAGGCTCCGAGAGTAACGATAGAGTCTTGTGAGCAGCTCGGTGTCAAGCATCTTCACAATGAGTAGTACGGTATCCGCACCAGCAAGGCGAGCTTCCAGAATCTGGTACTCATCAAAAACGAACTCCTTCCTCAGGATAGCAGGCCTGTGGGTCACTCCCTCTAGACTGGCACGCACAGCACGTAGGTCGTCGATACTGCCCTTGAACCATTCAGGCTCAGTAAGCACCGAGATCACACTGGCGCCAGCCTTGGCGTATTGCCGCGCTTGCGCAGGGGCACAGGCGTGCTCTGCTATGAGTCCTTTCGATGGAGATGCGCGCTTGATTTCTGCCATCAACGACAAGGGGTATGCTGACTGTCTAAGACGATCAGGGAACGAGATTTGTGGCGGAGCAACATTGAGCTCGTAGGCAGCCTGAAGATCGGACGGGCGCTGCGATGGGATAAGCTTCTGTTTGGCAACAGCCGCCTTCCGATGATCATAGATCTTCTCCAGGATGGACACCTTTTTAGTCGCCTTCGGGGGGTTCGGAGCAGCAGCGGTGAAATGGCCTTCCTGAGCAATATTCTTTCCATTGCCTTCCCAGGTTCCGGCAGTGAGCTTAAGGAAGTTTCTAAACATCGTCTGACCGTGTTCTGTCAAGATACTTTCGGGGTGGAACTGAACACCTTCAATCGCGAACTGCTTGTGCCGCACACCCATGATGACGGTCTTGTCCGCATCCTCGCCCAACTGAGCAAAAGAGCTCACTTCCAAGCACTCAGGTACGGTGGAGTGCGTTCCGGCCAGAGAATGATATCTGGTGATGACCACGGAAGGGGGAAGACCTTCATAGGCACCTTTGCCGTCGTGTTTCAAGACCGATGTCTTGCCATGTAGGATCTCTCCGGTAACATCTACTTTGCCGCCGAACGAGTGGATGATGCATTGCTGGCCCATACACACACCGAAGATAGGTACCTTGCCTGCGAAGTGCTGGATTGCAGCATTGCTAATACCCGCATCGGACTTCGGGTGGCCCGGACCAGGACTGACGACCAGCTGCGTCGGCTTTTTAGCAATCAGGTCCTCCAAAGAAATCTCGTCGTTGCGAACGACCGTGACTGTTGCGCCCTCGAGGACCAAGTATTGGTAAACATTCCACGTAAAGGAGTCGTAGTTGTCAATGAGAATGACATTCGAAGCGGTCTCGAGTCGTGCCGCCTTGGTGGGATGGTGCGGGGAGTGGTCGACGAGCGCGGAGTCTGCCATTGTCGAGTCTTGTATGGGATATGTAAGCGATACTGGATGGCAGATTGAAAGAGAAAAACGGGGGAAAGGAGAGATGGCTGGATTGCTCACTCACCTTGCTTGCCAACTCACCGGAGTCACCGATTGTGCAGCAGATCAAATATCCTGATCCCTGTCTGCTGAGAAGAGTCACTCGACCGAGCGCCACGATTAGTGGGGTCGATCCGATCAGTTTCCTAAACGGACTATCTTGACAAACGACACAAATTTTGTGCTCACCGCCTGGGCGCTAGACCCAGATAGGTATTCATTGTTGACCTCCAGCCAAACCCAAAAAGTGCTCCTGCGATATCATCATCTGTCGAGCTCTAGCCCAACGCGCTTTCGCCGGTTCCAGGCATAAGGAGTTTTCCAAGCTCCTCCCGCTTGCTTTATCTATTGATTACCTATAATGATATAGCTGTGCCGCCAATGGCTCCCGTTCCGGAAGCCTATTTCCCGTCCCTGGACAAGTGCTTCTCCGGGGACGTCCAGCTTTTGTATGGGCGCATTCGCTGTACATTGGGACTCAATTACTAACGTTCGTATACTCCCAGGTCTTGGAAGAGAGTCTTCCTCTACACGTGCGACTCCGAAAACATCACCGATGATACCTGTGTCTTCCAGTCGTTTTTGTCACACCCAGATAGCGCCCAGTTGCTTTTGAACCGCGGAAGCGTCTTTCCCTCGCGGTCGGCCAAGACAAAATCCGAGTTCGAGACGAAAACGGCAGCGATTCATGCGGAGACGAATGCGCAGGCATCTTATGACTTGAAGGAAATCAAAGCCGATGCTCTTTGGCTGAGTGAAAATGCTGGGATCGACGAGGTCAACGCGCTTCGAATTGTGGTCCTGGAATGGCAAAGTCGCCCTGCCTCGCGCCTCTTAGGCCGACTCGCTGATGAGGAAGCTACCAGCTTGAAAGGAGCAGCTGGGGTTGATACATTCCGTGTGTCACTGGCAGGGCCGAGTTTCGCTGAGATTTTTAACACCAAACCCGGAAATGAAAACAGCGACGCGGAGTTTGTTTCGGAGAAGAATAGGCGCTTGCGCCTTCGAGAGGCTTACCTATCTGAACGAAGTCACATTGTCAAAACAGCTAGCAAACTTTTGTCTTTATTTCTAGATAGCGACGGTCAGGTTACCACACCTCAACAACAGCCGGGTGGTTCCAGTGACCTCTGCAAATTGGGCGGATCTATCTTCAAGGGTAAAGCTAGGGGGAGGGAATCGCATACATTCGCTCAGGAATGCATCAAAGGTATACAGACACGCCTCCAGGCTCTCGATGGTGAAGGTGGCTGGCTGGACGCCGCTGAGAGCAGCGAGGAACTTGAAAAGTTATGGAGGACAACCATTGTGGACGAGGTATCGCATTTACTCCAAAGTCTGTTCATGCAGCTTCAGACGTCAACAGAAATTCCTCCTGCAGACCTCCTTCTGTCCTGGCTCCGTCTAATGGTTGACAACGTCTTCCTTGAATCCCTCCAGGCCGTAAGTTGTGCCTTGATTCTATCTTTGCGATCATGCTAACATCAAAGCAGCCATGTGAAAACCCTGTAGAGCTCCTTTTACCCCTTCAAGGCTTTGTGTGCTTGATCACCCTTGCTTTCCTGAAGCTTTCTTTTTCCATTCCCACCATTCTTGGTGATGAGGAGAAGAAAAACACGTCCTCCAAGCTCCCATATTTTTTGTCCAAAGACGACATTGGCCAGATCAACGAATTGTTCACGACCGTCGGGCTTGAATCGAGGACTGCAAGTCCGGCAGCGTTCTCATGGGGCCTTCTTCTACATACCATGGGAGAACTAGCTCTCAGTGATAAAGAGACCCGCGAGATGGAGCAATATCAAAGCGCCGTTGACTCCTTCCAGTCAAACACGCCACACTCAAACAGCGGTCGCGGCGCTGAAATATCACTCTTTGAGGAGCTCCTCGAAGCTGCTCGCACGCCACGATTCACTGTTGACGAGTCAATTGCGCTTCTCACTTCGGATGCGATGAAGAGCATTGCCTTTGACACCATTATCATTCTAGCCCAGAAAATGGGACCATCGTCGGCTGTTGATGATATAATGACCAATCGTTGGGCTCGCACAGCGCTCCTAGACCTCGTTCGGTCTATGTTGATGTACATGGATTATTCTCCAGAGATTGTACAGTCTGTCTTGGCCATTTTGGCTGGACCTCTGTCGAACTCAGCGTGGCCTTTGGCTTCGTCCTCGGTGTCGCCGAACGATCCGCGGGTTGTTTTCATGAAAGAAGAGCCCCTCATGAACGGCGTTTTACGGGTTGCACGCTCAAGGTTTCCTTACGAAACAGTGCCATTCTTGAAGCTTTGCCGTGCTCTGCTCAGCGCCGATCTTGTCAACGAAGAGGGATTCCCTCAAATCTTGAACGAGCTAGAAAACATGGAGTCATTCACTCAGGTTATTCCAGACCATTTCCAGGGATATGAAACCATTCGGGAGGACGAAGACGCCAACTTCGTTAGCCTCCTCGAACCTCTACCAATGATTGAATCCACCCTGCGGAAACAGACACAAACCCGACAAGTACTCGGTAATGCTCTCATCGTCACCGGTTCATCGGAGCTCCCTTCAGAAACAGTGGGTCAGATTGTCTCAGAGTCTAGGCCTGCTGTCGTGATGTGGCAGCACCGATATTCCTGCCTGAGCTACCTTGGAAGCCGACTCCAGGAGTGGAGCGTTAATGGTGGGTTTTCAGAAGAGTTCGGAGATGACTGTGTTGCAGAAACAATATGGTTGTTCACGGATCTTATTATTGCATCCACAAATACCCAGGGCCGCGGGAACGATGATTCCGCCGCGAAGAGCATTTTAGAAATGGCCAGTGATGGTCTTTTCGGCCAGACCGACATTATTGGTCTTGTTTTTGACATCTTTGAGCGGAACCTCCAAAGTGTCAGCTCCAGAACTGCCTCCGAAGGCGTAGTCGAGTCGGCGATCGCTTGTGTACACTTCATTCGCGCACTCGTTGCAGTTCTACCGAACAGGGTGTGGCCCTTGCTGTCTCGAAGCAGCCTGCTTGGCAGCGATGGGAAAGGTGGCATGATGACTGCGATCGTATCTGCCACGGAGGTGACATCTGGAGAATACCCATTTCTACTGGCATCTATACGCTTATTTGAAGCTGTTGTTGACGACGCAATGTCCCGCGCTGTCCTGAGGCGATGCCCAGCTGGCAAGGCAGGTATTGTTTCGGACTGGACATCGGGAGTTCCATCACATATTATGAGAGGCATTTTGCTCAACTATGTTCGAGTCATGGTCGAGGTGTATAACAGCAATGGAAATTGGAGATTCAACGCTCCCGAGAAAAAGTTTGAGATCACCACGGCGATCGCACAGGTGCTCGAAAGAATAATCTACTATGCTTTTGGTACGAACGATGCTGCTAACGGCAAGTTGGACTCGAAACTTACCGGCGTCTTTTCGTCGTCGGCCACATACATTTTGGACGTCCTTCGACCACAGTCCGCGGGCGATTTGCCCTTCAATCCCATTCTTCGGCTGATCATCGATGGCCTACAAACTCCTCCCACATTATATCTCCGTTTCTTGAACCTAATTGAAAAACAAGTTATCTCCACACTGGAGCTGTCAGCAAGGCTACTACAGGCAGCTCAGCTCACCGAATTGCCGCCATCCCTACTGGAGGAACAGCTCTTCAAAGCCACGCCGGTCCTTGTGAAGCTATATGCGCTTCATGGCCCTTATCAACTTCCCACCCTCTCGCTCTTGAACACCCTGGTTACCACTGCTGCATTAGACTCTAGCAACGAACCACCATCACTAGTTGGTCACCTGGGAGCCGAATCGTCACGTCTTTTCCTCGACGTTCTGTCTCGATTTGACAAACCTCTCAGTGACCCAAATCTACAGTTATCTGTGTGGCGCTTGCTGACAACTCTGGTTAGCAAACGGCAACAGTGGCTTGCTGTCTATATCCTCACAGGCTCTTCTCCCCGTGAATCCCTCAAGAAAACAGATAAATCCGCTGCCAGAGGCACGCCATTTTTACAAATGGCGCTCGACAAGCTCTCGAGTATCGACCAAATTTCTCCCCAGGTCGCCCTCTCACTTCTCGACTTTGTTTCCAACGCCCAAGAACACTGGCCTTGGGCAACCCCGGAGCTAAGGAAACATGCCAACTTCTTTACGAGCCTTGTGAACTACGTCTCCAAGCTAAACATATCGTCGCTTCCCAGCGCTGACCAGATCTTTGCCACCCGGATAGCCGCCGTCGTTGCTGATCTTTGCGCTGTATATTTACACTCGGCCAAAGACGCGAAGGACAAGAATTTCTACAAAACCCTGCTTCCGCTTGTATCCTGGTACGCCAAGAGTGCTGTTGATGTCTCTGGCTATAATGGCTCCTTGCACGCCAACCTCAAGAGAAACTTTGAGAGCAGGTATTCAGGGTGTAAACTTGATGACTTCAAAAGGACATCATTGCAGCCACGTACTCTAGGGAGAGAGTATTATTATGATATCCAGCTGGGTCAAAAGCTCCTTTCCTACGACTTTGCGTGGAAAGGGTCAAAAAATCAAGGTTTCGCTGAAGAGTTTGAACGCGCCAATCTTAACCTGTCTTTGGTTGAAGCGCAAGTGGTATGTACGAACGCTCTAAATGGCCCTGATAAGAGCTAACAATATCCCGTCTACAGAGCCTCCTGAACAGTTGGAAGTTCTTCGCCATTGAACACTGCGCGGATTTCATCTCAGAGCGTGAAATCCAGAAGACGATGGCTTCCGTTGTGAAGAGCTGCCTGGAGGCCAACACGAATGGAGTCCCTCAGGAGGCCATTTTTGAGCGAATTCAGCAAACGAGGGTTGATTTTGCGCAAAACCTTCTGCAACGCCTCGTTGAAAAGGGAGCAAAGGGCGCCGAGTTTTTCGGCCTGCTTCAGGTAGTATGGGAGTCTCTACGAAGTCGGCGACCCACGTATGAAGATGCACTGATCAACGACGACTCTGAATACTATCGGTCCCTCCTGAATACCCTTTTCTTAGCCTTGCAATTCCACATTGACACCAGCTCGAGGGTAGCGGCTGAAGTCCATACCAGGAAGGCGGAATTGTCGTCCGACCTGGGGATCGTCGTTGAGATTGTGAAGATTGTGGTCGCGCAAGGTTTCAGGTCATTAACATCATACCTGCATGATCAACCAGAGAAATGCACACCCAAAGACTTTGCCATCATCACGGCGATTTTGCAAAGCTCGCTCCAAGTGAAGAATGTCGATCGCTTGTATGAGCACATTGTATACCACATTGCCGACAACGATACAGTACGACACGCGACATCGTTATTCTCGTGGTCGGATCAATTAGCCGTTGCAGGTGACCCTGTCTATGGGGAAATCAGCATTTCTTTCCTTGCTAAATTATCTACCATACCTATGTTGGCCGAGCACCTTGCCGTGGAGGGGGTCCTGAGCCAGCTCTCCAACTCCCGCCTAACGAATGTGCTCCGTCAACCTAAAGGATTCGGTCCATTCGACCCTGTTCCAAGAATATACACCATGTGGACAGGCGGCATCCTCCCTTTATGCCTAAACCTTCTTTACCACGTCATCCGCACGGCGCCCGAGGTTGCCGCCTTCCTCAACCAGTTCGAGGGCCAACTTAAACGGGCGGCATCATCCTTTGCCTCTGCGCGTACCGCGAGCGCATCATCCGCTCACAGGATCAGCCTGAACATGGCCTCTGAAGCCTACTCCCTCGCCCTTATCTCGTTTATCCTAGGCCGTCTTCGCGAAGCAGGATCAAGCATCGGTGTTGATGCGCAAGCCATCCAGGAACTGAAGTGGGACAAAGCACAAATCAAGGAGGACATAGAAGAGTTAATCGAACGCCGAGGTAACCTCCGGTTGCGCATTGTTGCTACGACCGAGAAGGAGGTAGAGATGGTTCGTCAGAAGCCCATCAATGCGGCCTCTGGAGCTGAGAGCCGGTTGGAAGAGAGGATTGTCAGCGAGCTCAAGGCAACGTTGGCTTGCTTGGGCAGGGACGAGTCGTGATTATGTCAAAATAATGGATGTTTTCTTCAGGCATTGGTGGCGTATGTATGCAATGGTTATCTAGAGATACAAGCCCATCATTTTAGTTCAGTTGCGATCTATGTGCATTTATGATTATATACATACAAGTTATGGTTTATTTTCTCAAGTCAGCAGTAGCACAATATGAAAGATAGCCCTATGTATCATGCTGTCGTTGCACAAGTTATCCCTCTTGCAACCAACCCAATACACTTTCCTACATAAGCTCCGGTGGTAGCATCAAGTGCAGAATCAACTCTACCAAGTTCCCACACGACGCCTACCTCCTCCCAGCGCATTACGCCATGCGCATCCGAGGTCATAGATATGGGCCTCGGGATCGACACAGCCGCGCAAGCTGATTGGTTCGCTCGGATAATCCGTCAAATGCGGGGGGCCTCAGCTTCTACGGAGTATTGAAGGACGAAGGTTGTCTCGAACATGGCCTTCGACGACCCCTTCGCGACTTGCATAGTTTTCGCTATGAGTAGCTACTGTAAAGTGCGGAGTACAGCAATCCCACGCCGCGCTTGTTTGAACTTAGACGAGGTGCTCAATATAGACCGCGCAAAAGATGGAGAGCTGACCCTGCTCGGTTGCAACTTGATCGAGATAAGAGCTAACAAAGCGGAGCTCAGGCGTACCTTCTCCGCATTTTGGTATATTTATTGGCCCTGCCGAGGTCCTTGGTTTTATCTTTTCTTTTCCTTTGTATTGTTATTTTCTCTACTATATAAATATTCTGCGCCGTGGTGTCGTTAGTATTGATTTTTTTTGTGCCTCCAAGCTACGTACGTCCTCTCGAATCAAGGAGTCCACGCCCCGGCAAACAAAAGCAAAAGATGCCTGTCAAATCGCGCTGGCAGATTGATATCCCCGACACGCATTTAGCATCTCTCCTCCTGACTTCGCCCACAGCCCCCCTATCCAAAACGCACCGATGCTATTCCGAGGCCGCCCGTCCAGACACGCACTACTTCACAACCCATGGCTTCCGCCTCTGGAGCCAGCGCTTCGCAGCTGGGCTGCGCAAGTCGGGTCTCAAGACAGGTGATAGGGTACTGCTCTTCTCGGGAAACGACATTTTCTTCCCTGTAGTGTTTATGGGAATCATTATGGCCGGGGGCATCTTTTCGGGCGCGAATCCTACCTATGTTGCTAGGGAGCTTGCGTACCAGCTGCAGGATAGTGGGGCGATATACCTCCTGTGCGCTGAAGACAGTCTCGATACGGGGATTGAGGCTGCGGAGATTGCGGGATTGGGACGGGACAAAGTATTCGTGTTCAATAATGCGATCTTTGACGGGAAGGGGAAAGGGCTGAAAGGGTGTCCGTACTGGGGCGAGCTGGTTGGGTCTGTTGAAGAGGGGACGGGCTTTGCGTGGGATGAGCTGAATACACCGGAGAAGGCGGATACCACGCTCGCGCTCAATTATAGCAGTGGGACGACCGGGAGGCCGAAAGGCGTTGAGATCACGCATAAAAATTACGTGTCGAACATGTTGCAGTACAATTACCTGTTTTACCTGAACCCGAAATGGCAGGAGAAGGCAAAAAGGGCGAGATGGCTGTGCTTCCTCCCGATGTACCACGCCATGGCGCAGAATATCTTCATTGCGGCTGCACTCAACCGCGGGGTGCCTGTTTATGTGATGCCGAAGTTCGACTTCATGAAGATGCTCGAGTATACTGAGAAATTCCGCATCACGGACTTTATCTTGGTCCCACCGGTGGTGGTTGCACTGGCCAAGCACCCTGCTGTGAAGAGTGGGAAGTATGATTTGAGCAGTGTGGAAGAGGTCGGTAGCGGCGCCGCGCCGTTGGGACGAGAAGTTTGCGAAGAGGTTGAAGCTCTATGGCCGCCTGGGAAGATCAACATCAAGCAGGGTTGGGGTATGACAGAGTATGTGAAACAACACTGCCTAAACCATTTTCGTCTGTCAACGCCTTGCTGACTTGAATTGCTTGATAGGGCAACTTGTTCCATTCTTGGTTGGAGTCCCATGGAGAAATGCCTCACCGCATCAGTAGGAGAGCTCAATGCGAACTGTGAGGCAAAAATCCTAGCAGATGACGGCGTGACAGAGCTAGGAAAGAATCAGCGCGGAGAGTTACTGGTCCGTGGCCCAAATGTCATGAAGGGATACTGGCGGAACCCGCAAGCAACCAAGGAGACTTTGACGGAAGACAGATGGCTGAAGACGGGAGACATCGCTTTTATCAGTGATGAAGGATGGTTTCATGTCGTCGACCGAAAGAAAGTGCGTCCAACCATTCTTCTTATACGCCATGCCTGTACTAACCATGCCTCGCGTATCAGGAACTCATCAAAGTGAAAGGCAATCAGGTAGCACCTGCGGAGCTGGAAGCCATTTTACTCGAACATCCAGCGGTTGCCGATGCGGCTGTTATTGGTGTTCCAAGGTATGGACAGACCGATCTTAGAACGAGCCGAACGCTGACGTATAATCAGAAATGATGACGAGGCACCCCGAGCTTATATTGCCCTGAAACCGGGGAAGACTGCCACGGCGAAGGACATCACGGCCTTTATGGAGGGCAAGGTGTCGCGGATCAAGAGGATCACCGGCGGAGTGGTCTTTGTGGACTCGATCCCAAAGAACCCGTCTGGGAAGATCCTGCGAAAGGCCCTTCGAGACCGGGCCAAGGAGGAGATGCAAGGAATCACCGCAAAGCTATAGACGCCATGCAACCAGCCCGATGTATATAGCACTTGATCCGTTATGTTAGATATCATGACAGACTGAGCTTGACACTCATAAAGTTTCACAAGGCCGCCGCTTCTGGTAACTTCTCTATGCATTTAGTTACTGGTCCTGCTGGCTGGCTGCCGTTGAAAGTTCCGAGCCGTACTATGAAACTATCCCTGTGGCAAGAAAGCTGGTGCGAGCAACCAAGGGCGTTCAGTGGGATCGCAGCACCAATCGTACAGACCTATACCTCGGGGCGCCGGCGTGAATGTTCGAAACATTGCGCCTCCAACTCTCTTCAGGGAGAGCTTTGACGAAACGACCGAGATTGCCTGGATGGGCCATGTAAGATCTTGCTACAGGCGTTGCTCTGAACGCTAAATGTCGATCGATACTGGAGCGAACTGATCCGGGCAAGAAGCGCAGGGGCCGGGATGATATTCTTTTCCTGGTTCGACACTGTGCCCGTCATCCGAGGTTAGGTACCCCACGCAACCTGAACATTCGTTCATACATTAATCCAAAAGTTCGAAGAAGATGCTTGGACAACGCAGGGTATGACCCCTGCCATGGTCGGTTTCTGAAGGCTTAGCCAGCATACTCCGAGCGACTCGATTTGGGTGGCTCGACTGAGTCTCCGGAGCATGTACGATTGCTGTGTGTGAGATAAACAGGTTTGATGTACCCAATCGAGTCCGTATAACTTTGCAATCCTTCCAACTAAGCTCAATAACATTGACCAAAGAGTTTACCGGACTGGTCGATGATGTGCAATTCTGGCATACTACGGAGTAGACATCTTACGTCTACATGAGGAGACCATGTTCCGTGGGCGTCTTTGAGATCGATTGTCCATTATTGACGCCAGAAACCAACGCTTGTCAACCATTGGTCAATCTCCAAGTGCCAGGCTTCGAGCACTTAGAATTCATTGGTTGGAAGTGACCGCGGTATGGTCGAGTGGGACATCAAAAGGATTTGGAATTTGAGATGTGTCTATTCCCGCCGTCCCGGTACTATAGAGTTTGGCAGGATCGACAACGTGCATTTGGGGTAACCGGATCGCTGGGCTCCATAAAATGGGAGGCGAAGATATGACGGGATGCTCAATATGCACCTAGTAAGCGATCAGGCAGATCTATTTCGGGCATGTTCAGATTGATACTTGCATACACCGAACTGGAGTCCGGGAACGCCTTAAGGCGGTCGTCCTGAGATCTGGAAGTTCGCACGGTCTCTGGAACAGAAGGCGAGCTGACAAACAAATTAGAGTTCCCCGCTCGAATCTGCGAAGATCGCCGACGAAGGCGTAGCTGAAGCCCAAACAAAGAAGAGACAGATCAAAAGGAGGAAACTCCGGCGAGGACTCAGATGCGAGTTGGTAGAGAGAAGCGAGCATCGACGAATCACGGGACCGGATTAGCCCGATCGGGGAAACGCAGCCGCCATTGGAACCTTAGGAGTCAATAATGTTTTTGTTCTCTCAATTCTCATTCTCATTCTCGCCTCTGCTCCAGCTTCAGTGCGATATTGCCCCTCGGTCTCGTTCCGCGATGCAGCTTAGGCGTCCATCTAAGCAGTCAGCACCCCTGCCAATTCGCCCCAGGGCGAGATCAACTTCCTTGCTAGCGATCGAGCCGCATAGGCAGCCTTAACTCCGCCCTCGCCGAATGGGAACTCTGGAAACGGCCCCTAGCGAACTAGTGGGACTGTGCCATTATGGAGAAGTCTCACCAACGCTGGCTAGAGAAGGTGGCGCATCATCTGGACAGCTGAACCCGTCCACAACTGAATCTTCCTTTTGCTTTCTTGGGACCCAGTGCCCCCTCTCCGATGGCGTTTCTCGTGGGCTCGACTCGCTGCACAAGCTCTCGTGGCTGACAATGTAGCAGCTGGACTGGGGTCCCCTCACCCTGCGGGATTCAAATCATCAAACACGAGTTATGGTAAGCTAAAGCTGGGGCCTTTGAGTGTGGCCCTGCATGCATTCGGAGTTTCTTATTTGCATCAGCTACAAAAGGTAGACAAGGGGCTATTAGACCATGCCTTCTTCTTGATTCAATTTACCATCGACCACAGTTGGTGCACCTGGGTTGCTCTCAAGTCCATTCGCATACTTCTTCGAATACTATCCAAATCCCGAAAGGTCTAGCAGTCTTTCAGTGCCTCTCCTCGCCCTTTGTTTGAACTTTACCTTCAACCCAAAGCTCAACAATCTATCCGAAGCGGCCTTTGAGCAAACAACAGCTGCCTCTAACGGAGAATATCCACGGCTGTCCCCAGAACTTGCTTCACGTTTTACTCGAAAGTGCACCGACGACGTCATTAGGTCGATTGAGGGCTACGGGTGACCACCTTCGGACAAAGGTGGCATACTGGTTGGCAATGCGCAGTGAGAATGATCATTCGAACATTTTCAAGGATTCCGGCGATCTTCGATTTGGCATATTTTACCCGATCATCTGCATAATCTGCGCCCTCGTGCTTGTTCGGCGTATCAGAGGTCGACAACGAACAAAATACATGCTACCTAGGGGGCAAATGGGCACGCCATCTGAGAAACATGGTGGCGAACAGTCACCTGGTCCATCAATCCCGGACCCCTTCTACTCTACGCATGCCACTCACCACCGTGCGCCGCTCCCTTCTGCCTGTGATATCCTGCGGCCTTTATCCCACTTTTCGCCGTTGCCTTCGAGTGGCTACCTGGCCGCTGCCTTGAACAAAGAACGAAGAAGCAGGATGGAACAAGATTCTCAGCTTGAGAATGGATGCTTGCAACCAACGAACTCCGATTGCACTACTACTGAGGACTCTGCATTAGTGGCAGAGCGAACGGACCCCAATCCGTCGTCTGGGACTGAAGGCTCCCCCACGGAGACTGATGATTCGTCCCAAGCTACATCTCTCTCAACTAGGCAGAGTGCAGATGTGGCTGATCGGGAACATTCCAGTTCTCTGGACCCCGGTGAAGCTCGGTCGGTCCAGAGGCGTAGCGAACATGTTGAGTTCTTACGCGATGTGGACGAAGAAGGCGCGCGAACATGGAGACGGTGGGTGGTTGAGTACAGCTAACCTATTCCAATGAATCTGCATGGATAGCGTGGCTTGACTGGTTTTCCTGGACGCCTTCTCTGGCGCTACTTCATCGCGTGCATTTTTCAGGATTCTCTCTGTTTGGTGATTTCTCTATTTAGTTCTGTTATTTCCCGGTTAGTCCGGCATCGCTGTGGAACTATTTTCCCTTGATTCTCAGCTCTTTTATTTTTGCCTTTGCCACATACAATGCAGGTCTCCGGGGACAGCGATTCGCTCATTTTCCCGAGGCCTCACCATGAGTTTATGACCCTAGACATGATTTCCTTTAGCAATAGCAAAATGACACGGAGCTCGCTACTTGATTCCTACTTTGCAAACGCACAACGTGTACCAAGGATAGCTTGCATATGTACAAACACAGAACCAACGGCCAATCGTTATACTTGCCCCAGGAACATGCTTAGTCATTAACTGGGTCCGGCAGCGGACCTGCTTCGATAGGCTGCAGAGGCGATACGGCGGAACTGCCTGCAGCTACACAGCAGATGGGACCAGAAACAACTACGAACAGAATACTATGCCCGACTGAAAGCCCAACCTTTCTTCCAGCCCACCAACCCCTCACCCCATCGCGGCGAAAAGGATCCCGAAAGGCGAACCCTAAACCAACCTTCAAAGCACAGCTCGGTTCGGCCTTCCCCGTCTCCTCACCCACCATAATAAGAGCTCCAGCAAGATGACCCTCACCACCCACCCACCTACCTCCGACCCCTCCGACCTCGCCGCCCTGAACCTCTCCCGCCTCGTCGACCGTCTCGAACATAACCTTCTTTCGCCGAATGCAGACCTGAAATCTCTGCGGCGATCGGAGTACCAGCGGATCAGAGTGGGCACGGTATGTCCAATTCCAGTTATTCTCGATCAACCGTACCTATACCGAACGCCGGATGCATCCATCACATGAATGGCTCTAGCTGACGCCGTACAAGAACATAGAATACGCCCGCGCGACCCTCCAAGCCCTCGAACGCAGCCTCCCGCAAATCAAACCCGTCGACCGACGGTACGAACTCCAATCTAGCCTTGCGCGGAACCGCCAGACGCTGAAGCAAGTCCAGAACGTCCTTGATGAGATCCAAGCTGAGGATGAGATCCGTGCCTCGGCGCGGGGGAATGGGTGGGATCTTGTCGAGGACGATGAGGATGCGGACTCCGATGCAGAGGACCTCTTAGAAACGCCGGAGGACACGGCTGATGAGGCTACGCCGGAAGACGATGCTCAAACTGCTAGGAAGGCATCTGATGCGGCGGAAGTAGCTAGTGCGCCGCCAGCTACCACTACAAACACAGTCGATACAGGTCCATCGTCCACACCAGCACCAGCACCAGCACCCACGCCCGCAGCCCTTCGAAACAGACACCACAACTCCGCATCCCCATCCACAACATCCAAAGCAACAGCAACAGGATCGTCGCTACACAATATCACACCGGGGCCAGGCGCCCAGGCGGGTGCCGAAACAGAAGAAGCACTCGGAACGGACCGCCTCGAACAAGAGAACCTCACATCCTCGCTCCTCGACCTCGCAACACAACTCAAGACCTCCTCGCAGCAATTTCAAGCCTCGCTCGAAGCCGAGAAGTCGGTCCTCACCCGCGCAGCGGAGGGCCTCGATCGCACGACGGGGAACCTTGCTGTCGCGGAGCGGAGGATGGGCATGTTGCGCCGCATGACGGAGGGCAAGGGGTGGTGGGGGCGGATGATGCTTTACGCATGGATCTTCGGGCTGTGGGTTGTTGCTATACTTATTGTATTTGTTGGGCCGAAGTTGAGGTTTTGAAAAGAACTCCAAGATGACTTGGGATTGTTTTTGGGCTGGGTGACTGTTGTCTGCTCTATTTAGATTGACTTAGCGGAGCGATGTGTACTATTTGGTGTTTTGGGCGTTCACAGCCTACTCAAGGCTATCATCTATCTGCTTACACAGGTAGGTAGAATATAGATTATGATCTGATCCAAAGAATGAGATGTCAAACTTGGACTTGTTATTGGTTACGATCCCTGACGTGACCATGCAAGAATAGACATGATAGTTAATAGATACTTTGCTTACTATTCCATTATGTCCAGCTTCTGTGCGGTGAAGGATCAAAAGGCAGAGAAGATAAACCAAAAATGCGTGACATGTAGTTTGCATACATGGTTTTTATGTCCTTTTAAGCACATCAAAACGAGTAGGTAGATCCATGTGGGATATCATTATCCGATTCGCAAAGCAGACAGGAAAAGAAAAAAGGAGAGAGAAGGACAAGGACCATCCCAGGCAAAAGACATAAGATAGCATGGTAGCAGGCGCCCCCAAGTAGCATGAACATGGGAGGCAAGAGGCGCCTGATGCTGTGCTGTAAGAAAAAAGGAAAAGGAAAACCCCCTGCTCTGTGTCATGTGGATATCGGTAATGCTGAAACAAAGAGCTGGCTAGATATCATCTCAAGACAATGGAAGACAAAGGAAAAGACTGAGAGGGAAAAAGAGAAAAGGAGAAAGAATTATAAAAAGTATGAAAGTCTCAACGCCGATTGAAAGATCTTTCGAAGGAAATGTGCAACATGGTATGACAGTAAAAGCAGAATACAATTCACATAGCGTCCGGTCTAAACGTCGAGAAATCCTCACTCGATCATTCTATACCGATCATTAAATCAGACCACAGAGTCTCAGGTTCTCTTGGATAATGATATCTGAAGTGAAAAGTTAGCAAAGGAAATAAAGACTAACGACGATGGTGTCTTACCATTTACAGCAGCCATGACGAATCGGATTTGCGTTGTGTCTGTGGCGCATGTGAAATGTGTGTAGATTTGTTTCTGCTCGGCCTGGTTCAGGGAAACGAAACGGTTGAGGATGTAGTCGCAGGCAGCGGCGTAGTCGGCACCTCCCTCGTAGTCGGGGAAGTAATTCTTCATGGGGCTGACAGGCAGCTTCTCCTTGAAGCGGTCGATCTTGTTGAGGAAGAGAATGATCGAGGTCTTGACGAACCAACGTGAGTTGCAGATGGAGTCAAACAGAGTGAGAGCTTCCTGCATACGGTTGACAGTCTCGTCTTCGAAGAGCAGCTGGTCGTATTCGGAGATGGCGACCAAGAAAAGAATGGTGGTAACGTTCTCAAAGCAGTGAATCCACTTCTTTCGCTCGGATCGCTGACCACCAACGTCGAACATGCGGTAGGTCAGATCGCCGATGATGAACGTCGTCTCGGTGATACCGGTGGTCTTGACACGGGATCGGAGGACATCCTGGTCGGTTGGAAGATAGTCGGCCTGGGCGATACGCTCAATGGAGTCGAAATAGCTGAGAAGCGATTAGAGAGCGCAATGGTCATATGGATCACGGCAGTACTCACTATTTAGCAGAGTCGTTGAGTTGGTATTCGCGAGATCGCTTGAAACACTCCTGGACACCGGCATCCAGCCAGAGCGCACCAATGGCATTGCCAACTTCTGACGGCAGGCTGTCGCCTTCGATCTGAGCGGGTTGCATGAAAACGGTCTGGACGTGATATTCGTTACGGGCGTCTTCCAATGGCAGCTCCAGCGACTCCATGGCTTCCAGGATGACACGCATCGACTGGACGGTGTTGCTGTAGATAATTTCCTTGAAAGACTCCCTCTCGTCGCGGGAGTAGCCACCCTCGTGGATGAGCTTCATCTGCTTTAGAATTGTAGACTTGCCAGACTCTCCGGCACCTGTAGATGGTAAGCAAAGCCGCCCATTAAGAATGCAGTGACAGTGGTAGCAACGTACCGAGCAAGAGCATCTTGATCTCGTTTCTCTGCATCATCTTGTCCCGCTTGAGCTGGTTCTCAATCTCCTCGTTGCGGGCCTTGCCCTCCTTATCCTCGGTACTCATACCACAGCCCATCTTGGCGGTCCTGGATGTGAATGAATATAGTTGTTGGTAAAAGTCGCGAGGCGGAATAAAAGTGAAGGACGGGGGTTGGATAAGTTTCTGAGTGAGGTTGAGTGTCAGCAAATTCTCCGTGCGCGGGTATCCTGAAACGCGGCTACCCTAAACGTGGTAGGTAACGGGAGATATCGCAAGGATCGAAGTAGCGAAGGGAGAAAAGCTTAGAGAATTGTCCGCGATGCCCAACATCCTCGATTCAAAGCAGGTCGCATTGAAGCAAGGGGACTATGGCAGGCCAATGTAGGACGGGAGAACCACGGGACAGGGGCGGCAAATCGGGGGGTAGGCGAAGAGCAAGTCCAACAGGGATGATGGGCAACGACAAACTCACCTAATATATCCTGCCTTCAGGGAATTGAATGAAGACGAGTTGCGGACTGAATAAGCGCAAGATGAAGGTCAGGTAAGGGGAAGAATTCGAGAGAGTCGCGAACGTATGATTAAGCCGAAAGGAGGCGAAAATTAGTTGAAGAGCGGTTAGACCAGCCAATGATAGATAGCAGCAAAACTGAAGAAGCAGAGGCAGACAATCAATGCAAAAGAGAGATTGATTGTGTCAAGAGTAAGAAGAAAAAGAAAAGAAGGATGGGGTGTTTAATTCTGCCCTCAGCAAGTCCGTGGAGGCGGGTCAGGAGAAAGAAGGGGAAGGGGAGAAGTCTGAAGATCAGATGAAAAGAGAGCAGAAGAGCGAGAAGATGAAGCTTGGGAGGAAGGCAAAGTGCCAGTGAGCGCGCGCAGAGAGAGCCGGAGAGGGGCCAAGGTTTTCTGGAAGAGCAGCAGAGACTCAGAGTCAGGGGGCGTGGGGCTGCCCAGGATGACCCGGCTGCAAACTCGTGGTTGGCCCAATCACACCGCAGCCGTCGTGGAGAGCAAACTGCTGCCGCCAATGACCTACCGCGAACTGCCCTCCCCTTTTTGAGAGAATCTCCTGCTAGTCCTACTCTGTCTTAGCACGGAGAGAGTATGGAATCGTCACTTCGTCAGGCTGTTTCAAAATGGATTTCTAATGCAGAGCTGAGCAGGAACACTGTGATTGACTAGACAGGAGGGAGAGAGAGAAACAAAGAAGACCCGGAGTCTGTCTGTCTGAGGATAGAACAGAGCAGAGACATGGCTGCGCTGTCAAAACTAAACTGCGCATCGGGCTATCGTGGTTTAATCTCCGGGTGTTGCAGATCCGCTTCGTGATGGAACAAGACGATTCTGGCTGAGGGAGGCAGATCAGGAAAACTTGGAACAAGAAACGCTTTGTTCAACTGCGAGTCTGCGGCGCCATCGACGCGGGTGTCATCACGTCAGGCGCCGTTTCAGCATCCCACCGCGCTGCTTATTCGAGAACAGTGCGTCTTGCGTCTTAGGTGAGCTTCGGGCATTGGGATACGCATGGACATAGTCTATCGGTGTACTCCGTATACGTAGGATCATGATGTGGGCTTGTGGAGAAGAAACGTTGACTCCCTGATTCACGTCAAGGATATCCATCAGTCCAAAACTGATATGGTAATCTCCATACTCCACCGCTGCCCGCGCATGCTTGCCTTGAGTTCAACGGTCTTCGATCAGACACAGCATTCTCAGGAGAAGCGGCACCATGAGAAGCCGGGAAAGGGAATGTGAAGAGTCCTACTGCGGCTGCAGAAGCTTCCGCCAATCACGACAAGTCAGAGCGATATTATGTGCTCTCAATTATTATGGTCAGCTTGGAGAAGACAATTTTCCACTTTGTGTCATGTTCGTGGACCACACTGGGCAAGCCACAAGGGCTCGCCACGAGGACCTAGGCTTATACGGTGGCTAGCGCTATGCGTAGAACACAACTAGAAAAGGCTGGTGGAGCAGCCTCGACTTTTAGCCAGGAACAATCCGTGGGAGATAAAGCCACAGCTTCCCATCTGAATGCAGATTCTAGGCGTGCCCATCATCATCTATAATCATGTTCAAGGACATCAGTAGGGACTAGAGAGCGTCTTACTTGTACCCCCTGCACCTATACTTGGGCGCACTGTCTGTTCCATTCTTAGAATCCCGTCAGTCACGAAACAAAAGAATGGCGCCCTGTCCGACATCGCACGATTTTTGACCTTTTTTTCCCTGACTCGTGAAGGATCATGTACGGAGTAGATGGAAATTTCTCGCCTTGTCAAGGCCGAGGCCAAGACATGACTCGCCGTCTTCTTTCGGGCTCCAGCTGCTTCACAGTAGGCCCAGCAGGTGTATATGCTCTCGAGATTTAGAGAGTTTGAATATCTAGTAGGGCTGGAATATCGTATCGCAAAATCGAAATGAAAGTTTTAAGCTTATTTATACCGATTTGATACAACTGCTTGGCGCTAACTTGGCTTCTTCTACGAGTACAACTTGTCAAATCGTTGACTGTCATTGATCTATAGAAAGCTGGAGGATATATAATCCACCGTTGACCAATGCAAGCAGCACCACAGGTTCTAGAAGGACCTCGAATTCTGAAACGCACACTGCATATTGTTTGATGCCCATGACAATATGTAGTTCATCCAGCCGCACATGTACATATCCCATGATGGATCCACGGTTCGTGGCACAAAGCTTGGGCTGCCTCCATCATCAGGAATCCAACTCCGATCCTCGCCAAGGCTCCACCCATGAGGCCGAAGATCCCCAGATCTTTCTCCTCCGCCGCGCTCAACCTCATTCTCTTATGTCTATCTTTGTTTACCTTTATATACATTAGACATTCGCGATATCGTCGCTACTTTACACGCCATGCACGAACACGAACTCTCTTACATGGGCCCTCGGGGTAAGTGAAAACCGCACCTCCCTACTCTAGCCTACAAGCACCGGCGACAATGAATCGCTAATCGCCAACAAATCAGCCTTCAACCACTCGCAAAGCACCGATGCCGAAGCGGAATACGACCGCCTCCGCGACCTCGCCCGACAAGAAGCCTCGAAGCGCGGGTCCTGTTTTCAGCGCGTACGTTCATCTTCTCGCCCGACCGAACCTCCACTCCACACCGACACGCGCAATCCATGATCCCAAATGCTAACAACAACCCCGACAGTCCCAAGAAGCATATGCCTCGGGAGATGGCGCCGCAGCAAAAGAGCTGAGCGAGCAGGGTAAAGCGCATGGCCGCAAGATGGAGGAGTACAACCGCCAAGCGTCGGAGTTCATCTTCCGCGAGAACAACGCGCCGGGCCGCGTTGACGAGGATACAATTGATCTCCACGGGCAATTTGTTGAAGAGGCGGAGGATATCCTTGAGGAGAGGATCAAGTATGCGAGGAGTCAGGGGCAGAGTCATTTGCATGTGTATGTTTCCACTACACCTACTCTGGGATTGGAATGGATGGCATGCTGATTAGTTGGGGCGCAGGATCGTCGGCAAGGGAAACCACTCCGCGAACCATGTGCAGAAGATCAAGCCGCGCGTGGAAAAGGTCTGTCGCGAGCTGGGGCTGCAGTATGCGACGGAGGAGAACCAGGGACGGATCTATGTTAATCTTACGGGTGGTGCGGCGGATAGTATTCCTTCGAAGCCGTCGCATGGACATGGGCAGCAACAGCACCATCAGCAACCGCATCACCAGCAGCAGAACCATCAGCAACAGGATAACCAGGACCAGGTTGAACAGGTGGTTAATGCTATTCTGCCGCGGTTGCTGCGGAAGTTGGAGAAGGCTTGCTGTGTGGTTATGTAAGTGATATAGTTTACGAGAGTCTTTTGGGATACCATTATGCTACTATTTGGTGTTCAGCATAGATTAGAAGATGGAGTGGTCATATACCCGGAGTGCTATTGGGACCTTTGTCCGATTTGTGAGCTATAAAGTATAGCAGTTATGAATATGCCCTGAATAATAATACATATCTGGAGCAGATTTCGTATCTCGTCATTAGATTATATGCAACCCTTCTAAATCCCGTACACCGCCCAGTGAAATGTGGTATCCAGCTAAGAATGAGAAGAAAAAGATATATCAATGGGTAGCACAATTGCTGTTGGTATCTTTCGGAGCCGCATTGGTACCTGCCAAGGTTGACTCTGTCATTTTATCAAGAATCGCCCGGACCATTGACCCGTCGTTGTGCCCCTCCGGCTCCTTGCCATTCCCGCTGCTCTCGATCTCGTCAATGAGCTCCAGAGCCCTAGCACGGAGTTGCCGAACAACGTCCTGCGTGTGTTTGAAGCTGCCAGTGCTTTCCATATACTGGAGCGCATAGCGCTTAACCTCTTCGTCTTGGGTCTTTTGCCGGAGGATGTTGATGAGCTGGTGATTCCCCGGGTTTGACCGGATGCTGTGGATGATGGGAAATGAGAATTTGCCTTCCGTAAGGTCTTCACAGAGTCCTTTATTCTGAGTATATGTCGTGTCTGATAGGTTGAGGAAGTCGTCGCATATTTGAAAAACTAGGCCCATGACATTCACAAGCGCCACGCAATCCCTTCCCGTGCTGCTCTCGGCTTGCATCAATTTCACTGCTAGCCGGAACAAACCTCCGGTCTTGTTCCCCACCATCTCAAGATATTCGTCTTCGCTTGGACAAGTAAGTGTGTCTCGCCAGAACAAATCCATGCCTTGTCCCCGGTGTAGGTTCAATAACTCCTTGACGTATATATCAATGGCCGCCGGACTCTTCAATTTTTGTACTTCTTGAAGGGCAAGGAAGTAGACGTAGTTGGCCGAGTTGATAGTCTGCGCAGTGCCGTAGATGCTATGTGCGACCGGGATTCCTCGGCGAAGAAGGGAGTTGTCTTCGACGTCGTCAATTCTATGTCAAAGATTAGTTCTGCTCGAGATGGTGAGGTCTAAAAGGTCTTACAATAACGAAGCGGTATGAAGCATAGCCACCACCTTGGTAATGATAGTAAGGCTCTCGGACGGAACCTTCAACCATACATTGAAAGCATTAATCATCTGTCGCCGCAGATCCTTCCCGGGATGTTGAAGCATGTAGTCGTACGGACCCATGATCACCTCCTCCTTCTCTTGTGACCACTTCCCGTCCTTGTATTTCGTCCCATCGAGACTCGACTGGTTTCTCGTGTGCCTCCGAGACATATTCGTGTTCGTTTGGAGGTTGTCACCGTTTGATAGCCCGTCCTTTTCGAGGTGCGCCATGAGCGTTGCCTTGTCTCGTGTAGACACGCCCGACATTCGGTTGGAGCTAGTCCGTGGGGGTATCGTCGGAGGGGGATGAAAGTGCGAATCTGAAGTCATTTTTGGTAATGTCCTTGCCTGGTATCGAGTAGTAGACAAGAGAGCGAAGGATCCGGCCGCCTTTATGTTTGCGGTTGCCTGATGTATAAGTGGGAGCTGCAGCTAGCAAAAAGCAACGTAAACGCGAAGCTTATTCACATGAATAAGCGCAAAGCTCGCTCGAGAACGGAGGAAGATTTCGCCCCCGCCGATAAGATAGCAGCGCAGTCTGATCAACGGTAATGCTGGCGGTGGGAAGAGACTGCATTCATATCCTCGGCCGGCACGAGGCTCCCCAACATTTCAGATGCGGGGAGACGAAAAAAGATAGACAGGCACGAACGTGACGTAGTACAATCACATGCGACCGCCCGGTCGCAGACGGAGTCACATGACTTCTATAGCAGGACCGGGCAGACTGCGATACGCGCTATAACCTCCGAGAGATACATCAGACAATAGCTGATGCACAGAGTGCGACGGCTGTGTGCCGAGATGACACGTGCAAAGACAGCTGTGGAGGGGTACGCGCATATATCCCGCTTACTGACACTAGAGTGTGACAGATAGATGTCACTGAGGCTTGAGCAACAGTCGAGCGCTTCCCGGATGTGATGAGATGTCGGCACTGCAGTGAGACGGGCAGAGACTCAGAGAAAGCGCTGACGCAGGATGGACTTCGGCGATCCCGACCAGGATTCTCCCTCTGGCGTCATTGTGATTCGCGCTTCTAGAGTTCATTGTTCAGCTCAAGCCTCATAGTTAACCGCCCAGCCTCCGCATTGGGCTGAAGAAAGGCACGGTCACTACGGCAACGCCTACAGCTGTGTGATGTGCTGGCAGAGTGGACCACTCAAGGAGCACCAGTGGAGAGCTTCTCGACCTTGATCAGCTCGAATTGACGATGACGATTGCCTTTACCAGCCTCCTGGTTAGCTATTTTATCCACAATAAAGAGCTGGACGCCGACTAGGACTCTAAGACCCCTCGCTAGCTCAGTTCCACGACGTCTTTGTTTTCTCAACCCGCATCTCCAGATAAGCCTCGCCGCTAGCATAGGGTCTAGATTAAACCAGTGTTTCGCCCTTTCTTCGACTTTGCACGTCCCTTTCCCGGGGTTAACTCTTCATTTTATCCTACACCCTACACACGCTGTCACTGATGGAAGCATTACTGGCGCATTCGTTCGACTACCTTTCTTCATATGAGCCAACCAAGGTGCGCAAAGGATTGCGCCAGGTTGAAGGGCTCTTAGCACAGATTTGCCTTTCTAGGGCGAAACGGCCGGTGTCTGAAAAACGAGGCTCGCCGCGAGGCTCGCCGGTACTGTTCAGCGCTCCACAATCAGGCTGCAAGGCCCTGTCAGAGCTCAGAGACGACCCTGCGTTCAGAGAGTTCTTCAAACTTCAAGATGGTTTCCAATGGAATGGTGCGTAACTTTATGGTTGTTTTTTGTGATTCCAGTGCTGATCCAGTTTTAGTGGCAATGCGGTTGGTGACTTGTCTGGAGCATCTGCTTGGCCGCGGGAGCAGTGGTACCAACGACCTTCTCATTCTGGCAACACTCGATTTAATACAAGGCGTGCTTCTGCTCCATCCGCCGTCGAGGATTCTGTTCGCCCGTGAAATCTACATGAACCTTCTTCTGGATCTCTTAGATCCAATCAACTGCCCTGCCATCCAGTCCGCAACGCTTCTCACCCTCGTCACAGCTTTGCTGGACCATCCTGCCAACACACGAACTTTTGAAGAGTTGGATGGACTTCTCACAGTGACCTCCCTTTTCAAGCAACGCTCAACGGCGCGCGAAGTAAAACTCAAGCTTGTTGAGTTTTTATATTTCTACTTGATGCCAGAAACCGCAATGATCTCCACTAGTGCGCCTAGCACGGCCCTATTACAACGCAGCCCCAGCAAGCTGGGAGGTGGGCCTATGTCAAGGAGCGTCAACGTCTCAGGAGCGCATAGCAGTGGCAGAGGCCACCGAGACACTCGTACTACTGAGGAGAAACAGTCCCTTTTGGGAAGGTACCTGAACAACGTCGAGGATCTCGTGGAAGATCTCAAGGAAACAGCACCTTTTGGAGCTACGGTCTATTAATACGAATGACGAGCAAGGACGCGGCTACGATTTATTGAGCGACGGAGTGCGCGTATGAATTAGGGTTTATGACTCTCTCTCCTGCCTTGCTGATACTTTCTTCTTTCTCTTCTTCTTTTCATTCCGTCTTCTTCTCTGTCCCCGGCTGGCACGGCTCAAGCGACTTTCTTTCTTCCCTTATACCTCTTGTTATACCTCCTTCATTCTTGTTCCCATTCTATCCGCCTGTCTTTTCTTTATATTTCCTTTTATTCACATTAGGTGCGTGTCTTTGCCGGTTTGTCGGCTGCGTTCGAAGCGTCTTTTCCTAGTGATCTCCCGTGTGCCAGCCATGATGTTCTACCTACAATTTCCTATTCTCGACTCGAAATACTCGGCAAAATTATGATGCCAACAAAGATTTTCAAGGCCTCAGTGTTGGTCCCTGACTTGAAATGAACAAGACCTTCAAGCACCGTAGAACTCGGAACGGTCAATGAGTCAGCCAGTGACTCATCTATACCTGGTACCCGTACCTCGTAAAGTGCCATGATATAAGAACAGGCCCACAGACAGATAGATCTTTTTTCATGGACGAGCTTGTTTTGCATTTATAGAAGTGCCAGCGCATACCTCGGAGCTTGACCATTGGACGGGTCAAAGATTGCCTTGCGAAGTACAACACAAAAACAAATCCCTCGGCAAACCAACTTTCACGCTTCGTACAACCATATCTAAGTATGGTTCAAACAATTCAAGAAGCCCTAGCCCGTGGCCAGGGAGAAGATGCCGGAATTTCAGACGGCCACCGAATCGAGTACGTGGACACCGTCGAGGCCTACAACAAATGGGCAGAGGTATGGCTCCATCATCCGCAGAACTATCCAGGTGTCCACAGCTAATCAATCGAGCACAGGTCTATGATACGGACGGCAATTTCCTGCAAGCACTCGACACAATCGAGATGAATGATCTGCTCCCGCGCTTCCTACGGCTTGTCCAGGCTCAGACAAATACAAAACCTAGCACGACTTCTGATGAGCAGGTGCTTCGACTGGTAGATCTAGGCTGCGGCACCGGCCGAAATACTTTACAGCTGACCAAGTCCGCGCCGAATGAAGCCCAAATAATTGGGTTGGATGCGTCGCCGGGAATGCTGGAGGTTGCGAAGGAGACTCTTCAAGCCAAAGGGGGGATGGACCCTGTGAATGGGCGTACGGTTGTGTTGGGCGTGTATGATCTACTTTCGCCGCAACCTGAATCCCTGCCTAGCCCTTTACGTGGCGGAGCCGGCGCATTGGGTGTGATTTCGACGCTGGTGCTGGAGCACATCCCGCTGGGTAAATTCTTTGAGGGCGCGGCGCAGTTGGTCAGTCCTGGCGGGTATCTTCTTGTGACGAATATGCACGAGGAAATGGGGAGTATTAGTCAGGCTGGGTTTGTGGATGTCGCGAGTGGAAAGAAAATCCGGCCGACGAGCTATGCGCACGCGACTGGAGACGTTGTCACTGCAGCAGAAAGGGCTGGGTTTGAAGTTGTGGAGTTGGAAGATGGGGAGAGGTTTAGGGAGAGGAGGGTAGATGCGGAGATGGTGGAGCGATTGGGAGGGAGGGCTAAGAAGTGGGTGGGTGTTATGGTGTGGTTTGGGATTTGTTTCAGGATGAGATTGGGCTAGTAGTAGATAGTAGTACATTTTGTCAACAATTTATCAAAGAGCTGATGGTGTTGGGATGAGTCGGCTTGATTACTTGAGCCGTCAAGTTAGTAGTGTACATGGATTTGGATATGCTCCGTTCCAACGGTTCCACTTGTGCCTAAAAGAACTCCAACAGCCTCGCCCGGTGTTGGACGAGGTTCTTATGCTGTGATAATAACTGTTGCAGTCGGTTATACTTCCACCCCATCTTCTCGTCCAGGATCAGATGTGTGTAAGCAAATACACTGGCGTCGAAAAGTCCCGGATTTGGTCGATCGAAGAAGTAATCCTTCTGCCCAAGTAATGTGGAGAGCGCTTCGAATGCTTCCGCCGCTTCAGCCTCTAAAGCACTAGCGTCAATATATGGCGATGACTTGAGGAGCTCGTCTCGAGCAGCCTGCTGCAACTGTGCTGCCAACGCAGCGCGAACGGCGGCGTTGGTAGTGGAAGGATCGACATAGAGACGTCGCGCAACAGCTCCAAAGTTGTCGTGATTCAGGTACAAATGATAGAGCTATCAAGCTGTTAGACAAATATTCAACCCTGCTCAGTCGTAGTTTATACGCACCCAAGCACTCCGTATCCTGTTGTCCAGCAGGGACGAATATACTTCGAAGCGCACGTTCAGTTGCTGCTCTTCTTCGCAGTGGACCTCTTCAATGGCCCATTTCTGCAGTTTGTTGGAGGGAATCGGTGCACCGATACCGATTGGGAGCGCTGGGAGGAGGAAAGGGAGGGCGCCAGACGGGGACGCATGGTTGTTTGAAGGGACGAGCTCAAAGTCAATTCCGACAAATTTCAGGTACGCCTGTGCATTGAGAAAGTGTCAGGCCAGCCTCTAGCTGAAGTCAATGTCATGCTTTTAGGTAAATCATACCTGCCACTTGAGGCATTGGGGATTGAAAGACGGCCGCCCCCGTCGAGCTCCCGTGGCATCGATGAAGACAAACAGTTGGTTCCCTTGTCGCCCTGACCCGGGGTAATGCGGGAGATCATTTGCGGGGTATGTAACCAGGGGAAATCGATCGAATATGCGCTTCACAGGAGCAGGTACCGAAAAGAAATCCCGGACCCTGCGCGGCACCCTCCTGCTGTCGGGACGCTGTTCGGGGACGTCATGGCCGGCGGGATTGGAGGCCATTGGATGCGGAACGGTTATGATAGCTTAGGAAGCTGTACGACGGGTGGGCGCAGCGAAAAGCGTTCCAATTGGCAAGAGCAAATATAAAGAGGCACGAGCGAGGTTGTCCGCGTTCGGCCAAAAAAGAGCAATGACTTCAACATAAGGCCGGCCTCGACCTCCGAAGCCAATTATTTTGTGGTTTGCGATGTATGCCTGAAACCACAGGCGGAAAGGCACCGGCCAATCAGCCGCTGCGGGTATCTTTTTTCAATGGGCTGCTCCAAGTCTAACCCCGCTATGCCTTTACCTCCTCGTCAACAGTCAACACCACGGACGGCTTCGTTGAGCGGGGTTGTATATAGGCCCTCGGCGCTGGCTTTTCTAGCTTTTTCCTCACTGTCCCACTTGGTCCGCTGGCCTTCTTTCATGATCCGCGCACGCCCTTCCGCTGTCTGGACGGCGTTCTCTTCCGACTCTGGCCGGATTCGCTAGTCCGAGCCGCGCGCCCATCATTGAGGTGCTCACCTCGTCCGGCTCTCGGATAATAGGCGGATGGTACCTTACTCTCTGTATACGAGACTCCGCTAGTTGCGCACACCTTACTCCGGCTGTTGGGTGTTTCCGTGGGGCAGGTCGGTCGCGATATTGCGTGCTATCAGCACCCCGCTACACCTGTCCGCTTTCGTTGCATATTCTCTAAGCGCTCTCATTCCTCGCTAATCTTATATTCGTCATGCCTTTCGATGAAAATGGAGTCAAATGGTCTTGGTAAGCTTGCACCGCGTCCGACAACCGGAAGAACAGTAGACTGACAGAGCCGACTGCCGTTTAGCGAGCCATGCATCCGTGGTCACCGATCGTCAAAATGCGCCCACTACGACCGCCTTATGGTGAGCGTTGGAAAAGCCGGACGTCCGCTGTCCAAGTGTCCCCATGTTGAAGGAAGTTGCAACTGTAAGAGGTTAGGTGCTTTTATGGTTGCGATCCCGAAAGGTAAGTGTGTATGCGTCAATCAATATTCCTAGCTAACGCCGTATATGCTTGACAGGCTCCAGCTGTTATTGTCGTCCTGTCTATAAAATGATACTCGGGCAGAATGGAACTACCCCGGCGCCCCTAGACATGATTGCTGCTCCTAGTGCTAGTGCTAGTAGTGCTAGTCCTAGTCCGAACAAGATTCAAAAGTCCAGCAAAAAGCACGTGAAAACGGCACCAGAGCAGGTTACTAGGGCTCTTCAAACTATACCTGAATTCCACCAAAACGCCCTTCAATATGGGAGCTCGCCGCTCATGAATCCATATACACCCCAAGCACTAACACCCGGATATCCATACAACGCTACTGGAACACTTACCCACCCTAACACCTTTCCCCTCACAAACGATTTCTCAAACGGGTTGGGGCTTGCAACCAGTGGATTTGCAGCCGGGGCATTCCATTCGAATTCCTTCCAGTCGCCTGTACAGCCCGAAGCCCATATGCAGACATCAGGTTCTTGCTGCTCAAAATCCCGGCGGGAAAGCCCTAGTGGTATTAAGGCAGAACCAAACATCGTTGCGCCCAATCCATATACTGTCTCTCCTTTGGCGACATCTCCTGTGGCTGAGGCCTCTGCGTCAACCTGGCAGGGCTTTTCAAACATAGATGGTCATTTTTCTTCTGTGGATCCGACTCCTAACGGCTTCCACACCGGATTTGCTTCTCACACGTCACCCACCAATCATGCTAGCATCGGCTTTGAACAAGTACCTATGGCACAGCCCGAGCTTGCTGCTGCTCTTGAACTCACAAATCCAGGTCTAACCAATCACACTAGTGGCGTCCCTCATAGCTGCAACTGCGGTCCCGAGTGCAATTGCTTCGCTTGTCCAGACCATCCGTATAACGACATTACCGTGCAGCATGTTCAGGAGATGGGACGCATCATTGCTCAAGATTCGCAAATCTTAAGGAATGGAAGCCAGCAGGAGAACACTCAAGCCAACGGACTTGGTTCCAGCGAGTCACAAATGAGCCAGACGTTGGCCGAGCCTGAAAATGACTTGCAAAATAACCTTGACCCCATGCCAGCTGGGTCGTGTTGTAGCACTGACAACGGTCCATCAGATGGTGATCCCCACACGCAAGCTCTGGAGTCCTTTACCACAGACCACCTCATGGTCCCAGATGCTTATTACACCTATGAGTATCAGGTTGGCCTCCCTGGCGCCTGTGCTGGAGAGGCTGGTAACTGCCAATGTGGCCCCAGTTGCAGTTGCCTCGGCTGTCTAACCCACGGGAATATATGATCCCGCTTTATCGGCTTTTTCCAGGTACAGGTACTTGGTAGCGGGCTCTCATCTTGGTTTATCTACCACCAGGTTCTTTTCATACACATTGTACTCGACGTCGGATATCTTTGGACGATTCATGATCATGATACCCTTGCATATCGGACTTGGAGTTTGTTGGCCTTTTGTTTGTGTACCTTTTTAATCTCCCAGCCCCATAGCCAGCCTCCATATCTTTCGGCTCCCACCTTTTATCCCTATCAAATCTCACCTCAAAATATGCGGCTATCTACCCTTCTCTTTCACTTTCAGTGTTTTGATTATCCATTCCAAAGACCTAACTCACAGCGGTTTTTCTGAACTTGTTAGGGTCTCAGGGTTCGATTCCCTTGCTGCAGTTCCTTCTGTTTGACGAATTGCAAGGAGTCCGTTGTGCTTTTCATCGCCGTTTGTATCCAAGGTGTACCTGGTCGGTCTAATTCCTGCTCGGACCGGATTCTGTCAAACGCAATGACGTGTATCTAACCACCGAAAGTACATATACTCTCAGTGAAGAGTTCGTGAAATGAGTCTAGTCATAAGCTTGATGGGCTGTTAAGAAGCCCGCAGCCTGGATATGAACCCTGGACCAAGTTGACGTGCTAGGAAGTCGGACAGAAGCAACTGATTGAACAGATGAAATGTCGTTGGAGTGCTAGAAATCAGGGCTAGAATTTCTTCTAAACTTTATAAACAACCATGCCGTGGCGATGCGCCATCCCCTGTCCGGCTATACAGGTATCATACAAACACAGCTCTACGCTCAAGCCCGTTTACCTACGCAGAGCGTCCCTCACGGGAGAGTCGCCCCTGCGGAAAGAAGCTACATCGTTATGTTAGCGACCTAATCTTGCTTCACACCGTTGGCCGAACATACCATCAGCCTCCTCCCAAGCGCGTCCAGCACCGAAGCCCAAGCCAACCCACGCAGGCCATGCCCTCCGCTTGAACAGGAGAACTGAGAAGACGACACCGAACGACAGACCGAGAGAAGAGCGAATGATCATGGAAGAGATGGCACGATCCCACTAGAGATAAACAAGGCACGTGTTAGCCGATCCCTCCAACAATTGTCCATTGCGAGTTAAGAATATCCGGACAGCCTGAGTAGAGTCTCAGGTAGGAATAGGAAAGGGGCGCAGGTTATCGAAAGGTGCAGATAGGACGAGCTTAGTACCTTCTCGTTGAGCAGGGCCTCACTGACGAGCTTAGTCGAGCGGGCGACGGGCTGGGGGTTGCTTGAGTCGGCCATTGTAATCGATCTGAGGCTCAGTCAGCTTGCGCAGGTCACTAGACATCCAAGTTTACGCACCTTGTGCGAGATGCAGCAAAGGGATCGAGATAGGTAATGATTGGGTTGAGAGTTCGTAACAAGACGTCAACCTTTCGGTCGGGAGCGGCGGTTTTCGAGCTTTGGGCCCGCCCGAGAGCAGGTGAAGGCGGTCGGAAAAATTAGGCTTAGTTGCCCGCTATATCAGTCTTTCCACTTTTTTTCTCGGGAGAGGTACAGAGTCGTCCAAACTACAAACAACTCGGGCAGAGATCGTTAGATGTCACTGCTTGGCGATGTGGTTGTGCCTCCGCTAGAATCGGGGAAAAGGACCAAGGAAAAGTGACGGTGCTTCCCTCCAGGATGCCTTCTTTGCCCGAGGTGCGTTCTAAACAGCCCGCTCCTTTTAGCCATATCCATCTGTGCTAACGTGCTAGTTCGTCCAGCGTCCACGCCCTTCGCAAGAGGCTCTTATTCGACTCGAGAAGGGCACGGCGTCTCCAAACATCCAGCTGAACGAGGCCGCCCAAATTATCGGACTCGACTTGTCGTTATGCGCCAGCCATCCGGAGATCAACCGAGCCCCTCATGTCCCGTTCCACGCGGCGCCGAAGGAGGAATGGGTCCTACGGTGGCTGTTGAAGAAGCTCAAGGCTGGGAAGAACTATCGCGTTGAGCCTGCATCGTTTCTTCTACTGCGGCAACTGATTGACCTTATTCCTTCGAAAACATTGGCATCGACGCTCAAGGACCAGAAATTCCTCGGTATCATAGACCATGCGATCACCGACCTCACAGACGACGTGATTTCCGGCTTTGGAAATGGGGGAAGTGAGCTGCTGCCGTCCGATTCTGAGTCCAGCCATACCCTAAGTGAAAGTTCTGGCAGGAAGGGCACAAAGCGGAAGAGGGCCAACGGGGTTGATCAGGATGCGATGGACATTGACGAGCAGCCACGAACACCAGTTTCGTGCTTCTTGACCTTTACGCGCCTTCTCGACTGCCTCTATAGTTTGGTGACACTGGCCAGCCGAAAAGATGGTGTGGATGAAACCGCTCGTTCTCACCTCAGGCACGCTCTCAGGGGTGAACCTCAGCCAGTCGCCATCACTCTCGGTAAATCATTTACTCTTGCTTCGATCGCCATCTCGCAATATTCCCATGCGCGAAAGACGACAGAGCTGCAGCACTTCTTCTACGTCCTCCCTGCTCTTCTTGAAATTTGGGAGTGGAGATCCCGCCGTCAAGATGGCTCGGAACAAGGTTCCGGTAACGTATGTGGATATAATCACCCACATAAAACACATGTACTAACTATGGTCTCTAGGGATCTTTTGCCACCCATTGTTCCCAGCGCGCTTTAAGATTGATGCATTCCGTTCGCGCAGCTGAACTTGACACGGACGAGAGGGCTAACGTGTTGAACGGTGTTGAGCGTCTAATCGCTCTTCATGTGATATTGCCAGCGCGCGCAGACTTCCTTGGCAGAGGCGGCTCAGGTATAGACTATTCTGCGAAGGAGCCGGATTGGAGCTCCGTCAAGCCCGTCTCGGATGCTTTCCGACCGATTCTTTGTGCTTCAGAGCCGCCAAATCAGCCTGACGCCGTCGCAACACGGGCAGGAGTCTCTAACGCGGCCGAGCTCATACCAGAGTTCTTTTATATTTCCACTCGATCGGTCCCGCGAGACTCATTCCGAAGGAAAACAGATGAAGCGCCTTGGCTGGAGACGTTGTTCGTTGCTGCTGCTGAGTTGGCATTTTCATCTGTGAAAGCGGAGAGACCGGCCACCTTTCTCTCCGACTTTGTGAGCATCCTAGAGCAGCTATTCCGAGTAGCTTTGAAGCAAGATGTGCAATTATCTCTACACACGCTGCTTACACATGCTGCGTATACCGGTCTTCTTAAGGACCAGCTGTCGCTGGTCGAGTGGAACTTGGTTGCACTTCTTATTGAACTGGGAGTAGACATCTTTCTTCCAAATTCTGGGCTCGCAGATTCCCAAACATATTTAAAGGGCCTATGCAAAAACATCCATTTGTACTGGCGAAGCGGTAATTCCACCGCTGGCAGCTACGAAACCATCAAGACTGGCATTATACTGCCTCTGTTACGTGGATTTATGAATGCGCGAGACCTTACCACGTTTATGGAAACTTGGTACCAGCAACTGCTCGACATGGAAGAAGCAAGGACGCAAGACAGTAACCTCAGTCTCTTCACAGTGTGGGAAGATGACGACCTATGCAATGCGTACAGCGAGGTTATGCGCAACCCTCTGAACCAAAATCTCGCGTCCTCTCAGTTGCATGCAGCAGCGGTCAATATCCGCGGTGATGATGGTAAACTAGCTCATTCCGCAGAGGCATATGCGCAGCTGGTCATTGCTGAGGCTGGGTTCAGAAAACGAAGCATCAACCTAGCGGACGCGAATGCTGACCTTGAATCTGTTATTGAAACAGTTGTGTCTGCGCTTTCTTCGGACCAGGATTTGCATTGGCGCTGGCGTTTGTGGAAATTATCCCGCAGCCTGATCGAAAACAACGTTCAGAAGGCCGATGTTGGTCTCGGCTCTGCTCTATTAAAACTGACTCGCGCAGCTGCGAAGACGATAAAACGCAGACACCAGGATATAACGCACAAGCTTAGTGCACGTCTGGAGTGTATCGAAGCATATCGATCTGTCCTTGCCGTTATCAAGCACTCGCCTAACACGAACAACAGCGAGGATCTGGCATCATTAATGAAGGAAGTCATCAAACTGATGAGAAACATCACGGCGAAAGATGCTTCAGAATCGATGAGCTCCGCCTGGGATGGCCAATTAGAATCCATTGATTCTCCAGCTATCCTATCGTTGGCGTACTTTCTAGCTCTTCTCCGAGTCCCTGTGCTTTGGACTCACATTGAGCCCGAAGTCCGACGCCCACTACTATCTCATATCCTTTCTTTTGCGACAGCCCAATACCAACCATCATCTTCAACTCTGGAAAACTTCTCTTCCGCTGCACGCTTTCTGCAAGCATGGTCCAGCGTCGTGTCCCACGAATATCTTCTCAACGCCCCCATCATTGTGAATGACTTGATCTCTATCATCTCCGAGCGAATCAAGGAGGATGGATCTAATATCAAGCTTTACATTGAGAGTCTGCAAAGAATCCCAGCATCTCTTATTACCCGCCGTCAAACTGGAGCCCTCCTAGATTTGCTGCAGGGCGTCTTATCAAAACAGGACAGCATTTCTTCAATTATCACTGTCGGTATCCTGTCACTCATGGCTAAGCTCGCCGATTTGCCAAAGTCTACGGCTGAGTTGACAGGCAACTGGGAGCCGCTTTGGACGATGGCCAAAGCAATCTCTCTACAAGATACGGACGTTGACCTCGAGATAATGAAGGCATTCAAATCCCTGCATCGCGCGGTCATTGCGAAACTACTCCTTCTGGCTGAAGCAGAGCGCCGTAAGCTCTTCAAAAAGATGTACCGCAAGATATCCGGGAGGATTTCCAAACTGCAGGTAATTGACCGCAGCTCCATGGAATGCTTTTTCCTCAGGATCTCTCTTTACCAGTTTTGGCTTCATCGGGAACAACTGGCGGATGCAATGGATGCCACAGAGCTGGCTACCAGTCGACAAAAGGTGTTTGATCTAGTGGTTGCAGATCTACGATCTGCCAAAGACCAATGCAAGAAACAACCCTTGGAAGAAACAATCACCGTGATCAAGACTTTGGATGCATTGGAAGATTTCGAGGATCTTGCTACGGACCATGGGGAGGTCAAGAAGTACTTATCCAAGATTGAGAACTACGTTGAAAAGTCAGTCGATTCGGGCTCTTCTTTGAGAAGGCTCGTTCGACGTCGTGTTTTAGCTACACAGAATCCGGAAAAGGACGTCACTGTTCCTGTCGTACAGTATGCGGAATCACTCCCTCTTCAGCATATGTATAGTGAGGAGCAGCAGCAGTTCATCCGGGCAACGAGTGATCGTTTCAGGTCCATGTCTGCGAACGCCCTGACTCGGGTAATTCAGGATGTCCGCCGATTGGGATTCACTGGCAAGATTGCCGAGTATCATCTACTCATTGCCGGCTTAGCTGTTGCCGCAGCGCCATCCACTGAAGACAAGGAGAGCCACCTTGCAAAAGAGCTGTCTCTGGTCTGCAGTGAGATTACAGAGGCATTGCCTCGCAGCAAATCCCTCGAGCAATTTGTCCTTGCCACAGAGTGCTTGGATGTTCTCCTACGCAACCACCCTCGTTGCGTATCACAATGGAATGTTGACAGTATCCTTTCGTGCCTTGCTACATGCGCCTCGAAAGACGGACCCCGTATCCGACCTGACTTCTCTGGAGTGATTTATATCCGCTTATGCCGACTGATGGGCCTATTACTAGGGCTTCACCGTCAAAAACTAGGAGGTCGTTTTCACCTTATCATTCTAGCCATGCAACGGCTGCTCCATTGCCTTTTCGCCAGACCGAGAAAACGCACCGTACTTGGCAAGCCTGACATGACGCAGGGAAAACAGCCATACTGGCTGTCCCAATTGAGCGCTGCACATGCTGTCCATTACACCCGTCTCCTCACATCCCTTTGCGACCCAACGGTTTCTGCGGTATCGCGACCTACCCCTGGGAATGCGGGTTACGAAGGTTTGACGGACCAGACGAAGAAGGCCAAGCAGATCGCCGGGCAGTATCTCCATTGCCTGATTATGGATTATGCCCAGAGCTCCCTCCGTAGCACTCTGCCCGCCGACGTGAAGGCGGCTCTCCTGCCAGGGCTCTACTCGGTGCTTGATGTGATGTCTCGTGACACGATGCGAGCACTGAGCGCTGGGCTGGATATCTCTGGCCGGGCGATGTTCAAGGCACTGTATGACGATTACATGAGGTTTGGCAAGTGGAACAAGGGCTGATTCTGTATATAATAAATGTTAAATATGAATAACTACCTTTCACTCATTTGGCTCCCGCTGCCCCTTACGTCCCCGTACATATAGAGTGTGGAGATAAGCGCTGTAACGAATCCGGAGAAGAGCAAAACTCCGAAAATTAAATCCACGTGACAGGAGGCTCGGGATCGCAATCGCATGATCAACCGAAGGCTGAACAAAAGTTGTCAGACGCACACATCCCGAGGACGGAGAGCCGGCCATTTATCGAGACGATATCTTTACTCGATCAGATCGAGTCAGCGACCAGGAACCAACCGCGGAGGCGATAGCCTATAGGTAATGCCCCATGGCACTAAGGCAGCGCCCCGGCTGCTGTGACTGGCCACAGCTCAAAATGCGGAGGAACGCGAGGCCCACCGGTCGCTGATAACAGTCGCAGGCGGGCGCTGTTAGTCGTCAGAATAGAGCAACAGAATGGCTCATGGAGGGTGATAAGGACGACCATGCCAGGGTCGGCCTGGCCGATCGGGCCTCTTGGATGCTCCTCATCGGACCAATTTCGCGTGTCCTCTTATCGTCCAGCTCCATCGCCGGCTTGTGGGTGGATGGCTGCTCCAGATAATGACATATCTATAACGGTCTGGATATAACCTTGTCTCTTGGGCTTCCACATTTATATTCCACACCTCTGCTTCTTTTGCTCAGAGACTGGAGTTTCCCGGATCAGGCTATCGACTCTGGCTGGATCCTTCCGTGGTTGACGGCGTACTTTCTTGCGTCATTGTCTCGACCACCACCACACCTTAATTTACTGTTGATTACATCAGGAACATTACCTACTTTGCTGCCTCGAGCTGGTCTGCTGAGGATCTTTCTTGAAGTATCTTTACACGTTGCACAGTGAGGCAAGATGCCGGATATCAAGCAATGGATCAAGAAGTTGGAGGTGGAATCGGACCCGGAGTTGACCAACACCCAGTTGATGTTGACGAACCATGACCTGCGCCCAGGTGAGTCTCGGCGGCCTCCCGAGATACAGTTGAGGCTCTAACGGTCAACAGTCGACCCTGATCGCCGCCAATGGAGGTGGTACAATTTTGTCTTCTTCTGGATTGCAGACTCACTGAACATTGTGAGTCGTCTACGGTACTTGGCGTACGAGCCGGCAAAGCTAATATGCTGGCCGTACAGAACACATGGATGATTTCCTCTTCAATGATTGTTGATGGCTTGTCCTGGTGGCAATCCTGGTTATGCGTTTGGTTCGGCTACTTTCTCGCGGCTTGCCTTGTCTGCTTGACTGGTCGCATTGGTGCTGTCTACCATATATCCTTCCCCGTCGTCTGTCGGTCATCGTTTGGAGTTTGGGGAGGACTGTGGCCGGTGTTAAACCGTACAGTTATGGCTATTATCTGGTACGGTGTGCAGGGGTTCATCGGAGGTGAGAAACATATTTCCCAGGTCTTGTTACAACATCTAACTCTCAATCAGGACAGTGCATTACGTTGATGATCCGAGCAATTTGGCCAAGTTACGAAAACCTGCCTAATGGCATCCCGGAGAGTTCCGGCGTCGACACCAAGAACTTCCTAAGTTTCTTCCTCTTTTGGCTGGTGTCTCTGCCAGCACTCTGGTTCCCGGTCCATCAGATCCGCCATCTGTTCACTGTCAAGTCGATCTATTCGCCCATTGCTGCCATTGCTTTCTTCGCCTGGGCTATCTCTCGGGCCAATGGGCTCGGTCCAATTGTTCACCAGTCCCATACAGTCCACGGCAGCGCGCTGGCTTGGGCCGTGGTTAAAGCGCTCATGAGCTGCATGGGCAACTTTGCTGCCTTGATCATGAACGATCCCGACTTTTCTCGATTCGCACGGACACCCAAGGATGCCTTGTGGGCGCAGCTTTTTACCATCCCGATTGGATTTGGTATCACCTCGTTCATCGGCATCATTGCATCCTCTTCATCTGCGGTCATTTTCGGCGGTGATGCGATCTGGAACCCTCTTGACCTTCTGGGGAGATTTCTCGAGGGTGCGAGCTCGGCCGAACGCTTTGGAATCTTTGTTATCGCACTTGGATTTGCTTTAGCTCAGCTGGGCACCAACATTTCCGCCAACTCGGTCTCCGCTGGTACGGACATGACCGCTTTGCTTCCCCGGTACATCACCATTAGACGAGGCAGCTATATCTGTGCGGCAATTGGCTTGGCCATGTGTCCGGTACGCATTATCCTTCCAGACCCATTCAGCACATTCAACTAACATATGGCAGTGGAACCTGGTATCCGATTCTAACCAATTCACCACATATCTATCAGCCTACTCCATCTTCTTATCTGCCATTGCAGGTGTGATGATCTGCGATTATTACGTTGTCCGCAAGGGATACTTGATCATCAGAGACCTGTACAGTGGAGAGAAAGACTCCGTCTACCGCTTCAACTACGGCTTCTCCTGGCAGGCATATGCTTCGTACCTCTCAGGACTCCTTATCAACATCGTCGGGTTCGCAGGCGCTGTTGGTCGCGATGTTCCAGTCGGAGCCCAGTACATCTACAACGTCAACTACCTCTCCGGCTTCATCGTCTCCTTCGTGATGTATTACATCCTAACGCGCTTCTTCCCGGTCGAGGCTACAAGCGATACCTGGCACGAAGTCGACACCGACCTCGAGCTTGATACGGAGGGACAGGATATCGAGGCGGAAGACATCCATGCAACCGGAAAGCCATTGGGATTAGAGACCCCGGAGTCCCGGGAGGATTATAAGAGTGCAAAGATTGGATCCGCTGGTGTATAGATTGCGATGCCCTTTTTTCGTCATGACGATATGTTATTTAATCTTACGACTCTGCTCACTTCATGTGGCTAAAGACTTGTTTTGCATGTTCTCAAAATGGGAAATACCGCTGCTTGCAGCACCACTTTCTGATTCGTCTAAACATCGCCTGGATTAAATAATATGTATGAAGCTGAAGCCTGTCCGCTTTGGCCTGTCTAGATCTTTCCTTTTACCCAAGGAGATCGTAATGAGAACCCATACAACGGGCAGCCATATGTAACCGATCGCACTTTCTTATTTGAGTGGGCGCTCTTATCAAAGTGGTCGCGCGCCTACTCACTATGATTGTGCCCTAGTCTAGGGCAAGCGTGACTGGAGTATGTCGGTCCTTCCTCAGAATGTAGTACCTGCCCAACAATTCCCTCACCACCGGGGGTCGCCCCTTCCTCATACGGATAATAGGACCCTCGTTCGTGGGAAGGAGCGACCGGCAGGCTTCCCCATCGCTCCTTCCCCTTTTGTGGGCGTGCCTTCCCTGGTAGGGTTGAGATGCATAGGGAAGGTGCGATGGACAACGAGGGCGGGTCCTATATGGGTCGCTCTTTCCCAAACTTTTTCCCAAACTTTTTCTCAAACTACTAGTTATATACAGCGGAGTGTTGAGGCCGCAACAAACAAAGAACCCCCCGACTCTCATACCGTGCCTGATCCCAACTTCCTCACCAACGGCCGTCTCAACCCGCTCGAGGGCGAAATTCTCGTCTTGTCGCCTCAAACCAAGTCTTATGACAAGGACGCCAACGCTAGTCTCGACCGTGGATCCACGCATAACGGCTTCACGTTATTGAATATTATCGTAGGCGTCATTGACTGGAAAATGGGAGAAATGGCTGGGTGGCTCGGATGGAAGACAGCCAACGAGGTCCATAGAAGGATTTGAACGCCGCAAGAAGAGCATCTAGCAAGCGCTGGCGTGAGCTAGGAGAAGCTTGCAAATCTGTTGTGTTGGAGTGACCAGTATGATTAGGGTTGGTGGCCAGTTAGGGTTTGCTCCAGATTCACATGCCGGAGTGTGTGAGGGTCACCAAGACCCAGAGCCTCATGATAGCCACGATCCAAATGGCAAGCTGGCACGTCGGGGTCCTGATTCTCTATAGAGAAATACTGAATTTCCATTCGAAAGGGTCCAGACATGCCGTTTGTCCTCAGTCGGCGTCCAGAATAGGCAAGTCGATGACGTCATGTGAGGTGCTGCAGCAACACGTTACCTCAGGGGCACGCGCTGTATGGCTTCTTTGATGCGCCAGCCCGCCGTAAACAGTCCCCTGTTTGATCTTTTGACGCAGCTTTGACTCACCTTAGACTCTCGCTTGCTGCTAGCTCAGTTGCTGCCTCAAACCGATGCTTCTTAAAGGCGCGCATCGTCTACATCGTAGACCTTCTCCCTTCATCGTCGGCAGATCGTCGCGTGGGTCTCCAGCTCTGCTCAAACCGCTCAGGCTCTCGTATTCAAGACTCCAACCCACTATCACTCTCTTTCAATCTATACCTCTCCTTCATTCCAACCAACTCCCTCCTTCGTTCACCAGACCTCAATCCATTGCAAGAATGGCTTCCACCGCCCTCCCCCAAACCCTCCGCTCCATCACCAATACCAAAATCAAGGAGCTCTCCAAGCAGCGCACCATCTTCGAGAAGCGCCGCGCGGAGATCGTCCAGTCTGCCAACGCCACCTCTGATCTGCGAGCTAAAGCTCGCATCCTCTTAGAGGGTGTCACCAAACTCAAGGGCCATGCCAACGATGCCTTCGACAAGGAGGATCTTGATGTTGATGCGGAATCGTTTGAGACGCCGGTTAAAGATGGAACCGAACGCGCAGTGCACGCTAACATCCGCCGGTTCCTTCTGCAGGGGAAGTATGACCCTTCCGTGTCCGAGTCGAGCTTGCGGGAGTGGATTGAGTCGCTTGAGGGCGAGATCGTATACATGGAGCGAGCGCATGACCATGCCTCCTTCTACAGTGCGCTTGTGACGGAATGGTTGGAGGAGCTGGAGGCATCTGGGGCGGCGTCTGTTTTGGCGGGTGAAGAAGAGCAAGGCGTTGAGGATTCTGGCATGGAGACTGTGGGACGAGCAGAAATGCATGAGCAGAGAAAGACATGGGAAGACATTGTGTTCAGCGACTCAAACGTTCAGGCGGACGCGATTCGTACCTATCTCGACAACCTCTTCACTCAAACAGCCCTCTCGCAACAGGCCTTGAAAGAGCTTCGCGAAACCATCAAATCCTTTGCTACGAGCCTTGCGGCCGAGAAGACGTGGATCACTGTAGATGATCTCTCCTGGATATCCGGATCACTGTTGAGAACCGACCTTCTGTCGAAGGAGAAGACGGTCATTCTCAAGGAGCTCATGCGGAATAATGCTGTGGCTCAGGAGGTTGCTGACGTTTTGAATATGCGCATTGCTTCATTGGAGAGCTGGAGCTGGCCTGATGAGGGTATTCAGGTGGAGATGCGTCGCCAGCTGAACGGTAAATATCGGGTCTTTATGGATGAAGATCTTCTCGACAGCCTCATGTTCCAGTACCTGGGCTCCAAATGGGCGGTCGCTTTACGGTCTGCATTCGTCACCTTCCTTGGCTCACGGGGCTGGAAGAAGCCTCGCGATCATATCCCTGAACACGATAGGTTGCGCCGGAGTTACTTCGTCGGTCAAGCTCGAGCCCGCGGACTGAATGAAGAGAGGCAGCGCGTGTATGCGGAGGACTACTTCATGTCCCAGCTGCCGTCCTCGGTCGAAACCGAAGTAGCGAGCTACGATGACAACGGGGAGGAAGCAGATCGTCCCAAGAATGCCCTCGAAACGAAACACTCCCTTCTTCACCTCCTTCTCGCGGAATCCATCTTGCACACTACCCTCCATGGACAATTCACGGCTGTCCGGTCAGACTTCAAATGGTTCGGCCCTTCTCTCCCTCACACTACGATGCTCACGGTTCTTTCGTACTTTGGTGTCCCTCAGGAGTGGCTAAACTTCTTCCGCACATTCCTCGAAGCACCGATGAAGTTTGTCAACGACGGCCCTAGTGCCACTGCTGCAGTTCGAAAAACGGGAATCCCAATGAGCCACACGCTCTCAAGCGCAATGGGAGAGGCCGTGCTCTTTTGTATGGATTACGCCGTGAACCAGAGTACAGATGGGGCTTACCTATACCGACTACACGATGACTTTTGGTTCTGGGGCCAGGAGAGTACTTGCGTGAAGGCGTGGACCGCCATGACCGAGTTTGCCAACATCATGGGACTCGAATTTAACGAAGAAAAAACCGGAACCGTACGTTGGCAGGGCGCCTGTGACAAAGTTTCTCCGATCTTGACAACGACCTCCGTGGGCTCCGCTGAGGAAGATTTGCTTCCAACTGGCGACATCCGCTGGGGATTCTTGAAGCTTGACTCCCAAGAACGACGTTTCATCATCGACCAGGACATGGTCACAGAGCACACCGTCGAGCTCCAACGTCAGCTCTCTGCCTGCAAGAGCGTCTTTGCATGGATCCAAGCCTGGAATAGCTACTTTGGTCGTTTCTTTGTGAACAACTTTGCTAAACCGGCCGTTTGTTTTGGAAGGGAGCACATTGACATGGCCGTCTCGACGCTGAGCCACATCGAACACGCCCTCTTTCCTGACAGCAATGGTGGCGGCGTCACGAACAGTCTCCGAAAAACGATCGCGGAGAGGTTCAATGTCCATGATATTCCTGACGGTTTATTCTACTTTCCTATCGAATTCGGCGGCCTCAATCTTTTGAACCCCTACATTCCCCTTCTTGCGATGCGCGAGGACATCAAACAGACACCGCACCGTCGAATCCAAAAGGCATTCCTGGATGAAGAGGCGGCGTATCTGTCTGCGAAAGAAGAGTTCGAACAGAACGGGCCGAAGAATCCAGGCGCTTTTCTGAGGAGTAAGCGTGACTTCGACCTTCCGACAGATTTCCTCTCGCTGGAGGAGTACATGAAGTACGCTGAGAGCTTCAGCCGCCCGCTTTTGGATGCCTATCTGGACTTGATACGCATCCCGGATGAATTCGACGTCAACCTCACGCCTGCAATGCGCGGAACCCTGACTCTAAGCGCAGCGGGAAACAAAACAAAGACTATTTCCGGAAACTGGCCGAGTATGTCTCCTTACTGGAAGTGGACGGCGGAGCTGTACCGGGCTGGAATGGTGAAGAGGTACGGTAATCTAGCGGCCGTAAACAGGGAGTTTATGCCTGTTGGAGTGGTGGAAACCCTGAAAGAGGGCAAATTCCGCTGGCAGGGTTGATCCACTTGTACAATAATATCACGAAGTCACGAAGTCATGATAGAAAAATCTTAGCTCAAAGAAATGATCATTGGTCATAATTGGATTGGAATTGATCCAGTAGGCCCCATAGACGCTGCTTCTCCTCACCTCCTCCGAAAATTGCATCGACAGCTTCGCGAGCGATGCTAAGGATAGCTTTTCGGTTCAGTTGAAAGTGCTCCGCGGCCAAGAGGTACTCATTCGAGACGGGGCTGCAGAAGAAACCGACGTCATCCGTCTATCCAGTCAGCTGAGAGGAACTTAACTATTCAAGGATAAACTCACGCAAAGAACGACTGGGCATTCCTCGTGCCTCCAGTAACCAAAATGATGGTCAAGAAACCCCCCATCAAACATCTTCGCGTGCACATTACAAGACATGCACAGCTCCAACCCAAGCTTCCTGCGCGCGATCTCTCGCTTGATGTCATCAGGAACATGAATAACGTGGCCAAGACGATCCGGATTGAACGAAAGCATTGTCTCCAACTCCTCGCGAAGTCCCACGGAGTGTACTTCAGCGAAGTGTACTGTCAAGCCTAGGCCATGCTCCTTTGCCTTGGCGAAGGCATCTCGACACAGGGAGATGTCACCCTTTGTTGGGTTTCCGCAGACGTCGACCCCAATAACGCCACGCTCTCTGTTGGCAATAGCTAAATCGATTATCTCATGTGCATGCGTTGAATCCTCGGTGAGTTGACCGCGGTCCATGCCAAGGATAAGGTATATTGATATATTGTTGGCATTCTGGGATTTGAATGTAGCGATTGTATCGAGGACAGTGGAGAGATACTGATCACAGGTGAAGTTAAAGTTCGGGGACGCGCGGGGAATGGTGCGAAGCTCAAGATAGCGGACACCGTCGTCGAGGAATGCCTGAAGAACAGAGGTCGTGGCATATGCGACGCTCTCGAGGTCGTTGACTAGGTGATAGATGGATTGGTTGAAGACTTGGAAAAACCTTTGTGCCCTTGGTCAGTTCCGGTCCCCTTGCAAAGATAGCGCTGTACTGGACGCATATTTCATGTTCCATGTTGCCTCAGAAAGACCTACGTGTTCAGAGAGAAGTCCACTTTCCCGGCGGGCATCACCACCCATGGGTCTTCTACGTCGAAGGTTGGGTCGCGGAATTTTTTTTGTCGCCATATCTCGTGAAGGCACTGGCGGCTGATACTGCCACTAAGGTGGGCATGCAACTGGCAATTTGGAGTCAGACTTTAGTCCACTGCTACAGCCTTGAAGTTTGGGGTACGTTCATACCTCGATCTTCGGGAGGGATTTCGTAAATTTGGGATCCACTGGTTTCAAGAAATCCATCCTAGCGGGGTCGTTGATCTAGATTTCGACCCCAAAGCACAGCAGCGGCAAGTGGAGGTGGAGGAGATGTCGGGACTCGGGGGTTTACTGACGTGACTCGTGAGGACGGAAGGGGTGGAGTGAGGTTGGAGAGGTTGAAACAATTTGATCACGAGGAAAGAATGCAGGTGCAGGTGCAGCTTCCCGCATACCCTTCCCAAAGAATGACTCTCTTCAGAACCAACATTTCTTTTTCTGAATACGGAGTATCCTATCAATGATCAATCATGCACTCAATCAATATACAGTAACCTGTTTGTTTGGGGTTATCCCCCACACTCTACCTGAAATGACTTGCATGAGACTCGTTTCAGCCCCAGCCGATCATACTAGATAGTACATATCCTCGCCGTTAAAGAATGCCCTTGTACCGCGTTACTGCCGCCGGTTATCTCGGCGTGTTTCATCAGCCGAAACCTTAACAAGCTGCATAATGAGATACTCATTCGGGAATATGCTTTGTCCCACCTGCAAGGTATCTATAATTTCGGAGAGGAAGCTGCCAGTAATACAATTGTTAATTCGTATACAAAGTCCACTAGACTAGCACGCCTTTCCTATGGCGCGTCGCCCAGCCCAAAATGTACCAATGTGTCCTGGGTCTAAGTAACCTGCCTGCTTAGAGCCCAAGCCACAATGGCCAGTAGTTAGCTTTCTTACTACTTCAATGTAGCAGCGTTTAAGTTGATATGCGAATTGATATCCGGAGCCACTGTCGCCGTCATCAATAATGCACACAATAAGGTCCTCGACGCATACATAAATACGGTCCAGTCACTATGACCAGACTCGATGGCTCGACTTCCTGCCATTCAGAAGCCTGCTATGTGTGATGTCGTGCGGTTTCCCATAGGTGCAGCGGCAAAGTCGTCGAATAGAGAGTTAAACAGGGCCCTGCTGGCCTGAGGCGCTTGTAGCATCGTTGTCAAGCCACTCAAGCAGCGCCTTTGTGAAAGAAATTACCCCAGACTCGAGGTGTATGACAGTTTTGGAATGGGGATATTGTGACGGCTTTTCTGCGTTGCGGTGCGACGCTCGAGATCCATGCCCTTGCTGTAGATGTAGTCTGTCAATTCAAGGCCAACGCATGAAACGCGGAGACGGTCTATTCTGGGTCTTCGGAAACATGACTCGGGCGCCTTTGACTTGATCTGGACGGTGATCTTCGCGACCGATCTGGAGTCTGTCACAGAGGAGCGGGAGAATCAAAGAAAGCCATGCAGTGGGCCATCCTTGATCGTAAACGGCCCGGGGAGACCGGCAGAGACATGCGCCTGACCTGACTAGGATATTACTCCAAAGAGATCAGCATTCTTGAGACATTCGAAAGCACACTATACCTCTACCCCAGTGTTGTATGATCAGCCCAGGTCTTTGCCTCAGCAGCGCATCGTGAGCCCTGTCAAAGAGCTAGCTTTTACGATGTCTCTCAGCGACTGTGACGCTTTGTTCACTTCCTCAACGGGTTTCCAGTAGATGACGCATCCCTGGGTAATAGATAGGATTTCAAACGGATGATGAGGGAGATGGCGGGCAATCCTGCCGCAGGACAGGCTGTAATGAGTCAATGGCTGCAGGGCAGCGTAAAGGGTAATAGAAGAGGAGATTAGAAAATAGAATCAATAGATATCGTATCGCCTAGGACACGGGTCCGGAGTAGGAAGCGGCCGGTCGCTTTCGGTAAACTGCGATAATGAGTATTCCCACCTCGAGCCGTTGCTGAGATCAGTACTTGATAGTATCTAGGGGTTTCAGCTACCTTTGCTAGGGCGCTAGCTGGACACATCCGTCTCAACAGCTGCCCGCTCCGCATGAGGTAGTATTTCCGCTCGACGGGAGCACGAGCCACATGCAGTGTATCTACATGCGCCGCAATCGTGGCCGGATCATTGGTGGACTGTTATCATAACAGGTTGGCAACGTAGCAGCAACGTAGCTAGGGTTAATGTTGGGCGAGCCTCGGTCGAGTCCTGTTTCTCCGTTGGTGGAGCGCCAAAGCCTCAGCCTCCAGGGCTGAGTGCAGCTGTGCCGGCGCTGCAAAGCGGAGACTGTCCCACAAGACCAATATTGACGGTACTACTACCGAAGCTTGGAAGGATGATACAGAATCTCGTGGTCGAACGTCTGTTGGCAGTTGCTCAGAGTGACACATGCACGTTGACGCTGACAAGGCGCTGGGCGCCGTGCCGTTGCACAAGTGCCTCTCCATACCTGCGCGCCTCAGAAGTCAGGTAAGCTGCTGCCTGGCTGCCAGCGCATTAGTTCTCTTAACGTGCTTCTTGTCACCTTGTGGACTTTCTCGAAGGATTCGAGAAGCAAGTTAGCAAGTCTGGCCGGGACAAGACCCAGTCGGGTGATTGGCCGACTGGCTCCATAATTTGCTATATTTAGGCTCAGGTCCAGAAACAACCCTTAGATGTGGATTTCGAGACCCAGGCACCCAGCAAAGAGTCAAAGACAGCTATGTTTCAAGAGCTCTCTAACAGTTCCGAGGGACATGAACTGCGGAAACTGAGTAGGGATAATAAATACCTCGTTCTTGTAATACTTCTTACCACCGCAAGATGCGCAAGTTCCAGTATCGTACTCGTCGTACAGGAATAGGAAACCAAGTGGCCCCGGTAACGAGCTACTGAGGCACCCATGTTGAGGAAATCATCTTCCTCCTCATTCTGGCCCCTTGCATAGCTCCACGACAAGGCGGGCAGCTTCGAGGAATCTAGGGTCATGCTCAGAATGGGTCTGAGTTCTGTAACAAACTCCCATGGCCCATTGGTAGTTGTAGAATCACCCAGTCGGACCAGGTATTTCTCTCGCCAGTACTAACTCATGAGAGAACAAGCCGGGCAGTAAGAGGCTCGACCGTATGCGACAAGCGCAGAAGGTGAGGGCAAAAGCCATGCCATGTACCGTATGTCAACGCGACCTAATGGTAACCGGAAATCCGGCGCAGTCATAACAGGTGTGGCCTGGTCTTTGCAGCCGCAGGTATAACAGAGTCGCTTCAACGGTATGTAGTCCAGTCGTTAGGCCATGTAGTGATATTAACATTGCACGAAATCCCCAGTTTATGATCACAGCCTCGCGCCAAAGAACCGCCGGCAGGGAGTTATGAGACGGGCTGGTGACCATGATTGGACAGTGTTGCTGTTCAAAGGCTTGCGTCCTCTGTAACCTTCGATGATTTCTGTGAGCCGCTGTTAGCTTGGAAGACTACCTAGATACCTGGCGCTGGCGCGGCTTTCAGGAGCCTCGGCCACGCAGCGAACCTGCCAGCTGGGCCGTTTCCGGAAAACCAAAGTAAAGGATTGAGGTAACTGAGATAGATAAAGAAGAAAAGAAAATAATAAATTTGTTTTAATGGAAACGGCGAGAGAAGGGTTAGCGGTCCGCCGGTCACGCGGCTGAGAGAAAAAGCAACTGTCAACAGCAAGCGACAGTATCAACCGGCCAGACTATCGGGCTGTGAAGCTCGTACCGAATCCTACGAGTGAGCCATATCACGCCCTTAACCACTTTGTTAGGTGTATATCGATAGCTTGAGCAGTACCGTAAGGAATTTGGAATTTTCTCAGTATGATAGAGAGACTGGTGACTGCCGCACTTGGGAGCCTATATTGCACGCCTCACAGCACGCTGTGCTCTGATTCGTTATCTTAGCTTTATGGCACAGGGGAGGAACAGGTCTGTACCCAAATCGGGCAAATGCATTGGAATACGGAGTAGCGCTTCTGCGGCATTGTTAGCCAGGCGGCTCTTCTCACAAGACTGATCAGATGCAAATGTCGACCAATGACATGGCTAGTTTCCATAACAGTCGGACCGCCTCAATATCAATGATAATGTGCCGCGATGACGGAAAGCCACAAAATTCGGAGAAGGATCGAACTAGAAGCCATAGAAGGTATGTGGAAAGCGAGCCGTATATAGCACATGACGAGGTAAGGAAAGCGTCCTCCATAAAAGTACGCTTGGCCAATGGTGACAATAAGGCAATTCGGAATGACCTCGAGTCAAGAACTACTCCGTAAGGATGTAGTTGTGATCATGACGGGGATCCTGGTCCAGGAGGCGCAACTTTCCATCCAGTTGGGAACGACTGCAAAGCCCGGCGTATTGCGTGATAAGGCTGTAAGGAACAGGTGGCTGTACGGTTATTACCTAGGTACTGTAATAACGGAACACTGTGACTCGGATGATCAGCCTTGAAATACACTAATGCACTCAATCAACGTGGTAATTTATTAACCGCTATGGCGGGAAACTTATCGGGCCTCTCCTTAATCCTTATCCCTCCTTTTCCTCCTTTTCAACGGGGCCACCATTCTCCGTGGTGGGGAAGAGTTGCGTGCTGCTTCACCTCAAGTCAATGATGTCACCTCGCTAATTGATGATTAAGAAAGCCCGTATCCGGCCTCGCTTGCACCCACGGACGAACAAAATGCGAGGAATGGATAAAGAGCGCCGGCCTTATGGTGAAGAAAAGTTTGGAGATCGTCTCCTCAGCTGCGTGAGGGGAATTTTAAAGTATCAGCCAAGCCATCATATGGAGTAGCAGCATGAGATATTCTGCAGAGGATCACATCAATTGATCGAGGTTGAAGTGAACGTCTTGTATACTGCTAGACTGGGAAACCGGGGGCCTGTCAATCTCGCGTTCTGAATCGAATGTGGGCGAGATCAAGATGGCACAGCGGGGGCTGGACGTGCCACAGGAATTATCATTTTGATC